TTTCTTATCTTATGAGGGGAGCTGGGTTATGATTCAATAGGATAGGATATCAATATTGAATATCCAATAAATTCTCACGTTACCCAATATATCCCACTCTACCCAATATATTTATATTTATTGCATTATATTTTCTTTTCTTTTTTTCCTTTTTTCTTATACATAATCTTATCAGATTGCTAATCAGGTGCTCATCAAACACAGGACATGATATATGCTTATCAGCCCCATATCATATCCTACCCTTATCAGCCTCATATCATATCCTACCTTTATCTTATCATTTCCACCAAACGAGCCCTAAGGTGTTGGGTAAGGACCTTTTTAATGATTTATATTATATTCTCTAACATGACTTTTTATATCTTGCTTATTTTAATAGTGATTTTTACAAAAAGCAAAGCTATTTAGAATTTTTTTTAAAATATTTGATTTTTGAAATAAATATTTGATTTTTGAAATAAGTATTTGATTTTTGACTTATGTTTTTTTTGAAAGCTAAAATTTTTAACTTCAAAAAAAAAATATATGTTTTGACTTTTTTGTGACTTTTGTTTTCTTTTAAGTAGACATCTAAACAGACTTTATAGTGAGAAGTTTTTTTTAAAAAAAAAACAGCTTTTAAAGAGAGAGAAACTCATCCAAATGGACCCTTAGTTCTAATAATAATTGTATAATACTTTCGAAATATGGGTTTAGTGTGTCCTTTTAAAAGACATAAGATTATGTCTTTTTAGTAGTTATAACTATGTACTATGTATAATACATAATTATAATATTAAAATTGTATTTTTTTCTCTTTTCACGTTAGTCGGAGGCTTCTGAAGAGAAAAAAAAGTATTACTTTTTATTATAAGAGTTTTATAAAAGTTATGTTGTAAGAAAAATGATTGTGTTATGTTATAGAGATTCATTTTTATTTGCTAGGGACTAAAGTGGGCATCATAAAATTTGCTGAGGACCAAAAAGGATATTTACTCTATTATTTTAAAGCATAAACCAAAAGAATATTTACTCTATTATTTTAAAGCACAAACCAAACCACCCCACCCCACCCCACCACCAAGTTTTTCATTATAGCCGGCACCGCCATTTGAAAGAATACATGACTTAAATAAATATAAGGAAAAATTGCTCTAATTTTTTAATTTTTTTTTTTGGTAGGAATATTGCATTGCTCTAATTAAGCATAAGAGAAACACATCTGACTAATTAGTATATAACATAATTTAAGCTCTTATAAATAATTCTATGTATACAAATTATTTACAATTATGCACCCGGCTAATGTTCACAAATAATTATTGTTCAATTAAATAACATATTTACAATTTAGCTACAATCAGTGGCGGAGCCACATATACAACCTGGTTGTGGCCTCGATCGGGCTAAATTTTAACAAATTATACTTATTATATATAATTATATAATTAATTATAATTTTGCTTGGGTTAAAATTATAATTTGGGCCAGGCTACAATTTGTAATTTGACCTATCTAAAACTTAAAATATTTTTGATAAAAGATTTTGGTAAGGTTATGTGTTCAATTTTTATTTGTATAAAAAAAATAAAATATTTTTAGTAAAATTAAAATATTTAATAAAGTTATATCTCTTCTTGATGCTGACTACTCAGGTACTCTGTATTTAATATAATTTAATTATATTATAATATAAATTACTAAAATTAAAAATAAGTAAATACACATATAATTTTTTGACATCTGCCTCAGGGTACAATGCTAGCTTGAAGTATAAAAGTGATAGTTTAAGAACCACTTAAATAAAAATATGACAAATTATTTTTAATTAACTTAAAAACAATATAACAGTGTAAAAACTTTATGCAAAATTGGCCATACAAGTCAACACAACTAAAATATTTCCTAGGAGGAAAGTAAGATAGAAGAAACTGAAGTTTACCGACAGACCCGACATAACTCATGATTTCTATATTTAAAGTTCAAAAGTGTAATAAATAATACTCCATAAACTGGGTTACAATTTGAAGCAATATGTGTGACTGAAGAGATGGGGATAATGAGGAGCAAAAGCAGTATACCTATGTGCCGAATTCAATGAAGCAATTATGATTCTTCCATCAATTAGTAAAGACTTCAAAAATCACATGATGGTGGAGTGAAGCATCAGATATTTGATGGGTCCCATTGTCTCTCAAAACTTTGTTGCATCACTTTGTAAGTTTCATTTTCATCACCATGGTGAGTTTTAAAGGCCTTCAAGGGAATGTTCTTTCAGCGGGTGAAACATGGTCATCTTTACCAAACTTTGCTTTATCCCTAGATCATCACCTTATTGTATTTTTTAAATCAATTTGTTGGTACATAATTTTCTACGTATGCAATTTTGAGATAAGTTCTTTTTTTTTGTTGTTTAAATATTCGGGCTGTTTTAGGAGTATATTTGCAGTCTCATCTTAAGTTAGGGTGAAACAGATTTTCCTTTTCCCGGATTTAATACATTTATAAAAATTTCTACTAAATAATCATTTATGATGTTACAGTTTAGTGAATAATTATTGCTTAATGAAAAATTTAAGGAAAGAACATACTATTATATTGAACTTATAAATGACTTGATAATTCATAATCGTTTAATCTGATATACTTGCATTAGTTGTAATGTTGGAGTGTAAATAGGCGGAATTAGGTTAGACTTTGACTTAAATAAATTAGGTTTGTGTAAAATACTTTAGATCTGACATGCTGGTCTGTTAGCTTGTGTATGTCTAAATTATAAGTTTGGTATGACTTATATTTAAAAAACAAAAGACTTGGCATAAACCTGATAGTCTGTTTAAGCCTATTAGGCATTTAATAATTTAAAAAAATAATTAAAATAATATTACTTTATTAAAATTTATTAAAAGAAAAATTGATTTATTTTATTTAAATAAATAATATGATATAGGCCTGACATGTAAAAAAAAGCCTATGACATTTTCTCTAAATAGACTTTTTTTGATATCGAATTTTTCTCTATGTAATAGACTAAGCTTCGCCTTATGAGATCAATTACACCCCTGATTCCTAAGCTTCTTTTGCTGGTGGTTAGCAGCAGCCGCTAAAGGTTTCACCTTGCTTGTAAGTTGATGGCCTTAATGGTACGTAGTGGTGCACTTACATGGAATCCAAAGTATTCCAAGAGTTGCATTAATGAGGGGTCGAACCCTTGACACAATGGGGAAACGATATCAGCTTTATCACTAAGCCAATGTATATTGTGCACAATAATAATAATAATAATAATATATTTATTAAATACTTTTATATTAATTTAATTTTACTGCTTCAACCAATACCCTTCAGTGTCCTGACCGAGTCAATAACCAGTCTGGGTTCAATAACATTGAAACAAAGCAGTGGCATAGCCACTTTAGTGCCTGCTGATACTTTGGCACTAGCTCATTTTTAATAAATTGTATTTACTGTATATAATTATATAATTAATTATAATTTAGTCAGGGTTAAAATTATAATTTGGCATCACCTAAAAATTAAAACATATTTTTTTGATATACAAGTAGAAATTAAACACATAACTTAATACAAATTATCCAAATATTTCACCACCCCCGTGGTTTAATTAAAATATATTTATAAACACTTCATTTTGTCTCAAACATTCAGCCTAAGTAAAATCTCGGCTCTTTGTCTCTAATTTTAGTCTAGCTATCAAATGGAAGTAGCTTTTACAGACATGCAACCCGACATGTTACACGAAGGTGGGTCTTCTCATTACAGCATAGAGATGCAAGAAAGGGGGGCTGATTTTGATTTTGAAAGCTTTAAACAAGCTTTAAAAAAAGGGGGGAAAAAAAGTAGAGAGGAAAAGGAAAAATATGAGGTTTGAATACTAGTGATGGATTTGTTTCCTCTCATCCTCTGGTAGTCTGGTAATTTTATTTTTTTATTTTTTTTATTTTGGTGAGTTATTGTCGATTATGTTTATTTTTTTTTGCATTTTCTTGAGTTATTCTTACATGAGTTCCGACGTTCTTTACTTTGTTGGTGTTTTTTAACTTGGTTTGTTTTATTGCTTTGTTATATAATTATTAGCAATTACTTTTAAGAACCTGCTAACGTGGAGAGAGAAAAAAAAGCAACTTTAATGTTATAACTATGTTCCTCTGGGAGAACATTGTTATAAATGCGTAGCTGTAGATAAGCTTATCTAAAGTAGTTGGAGAAATATTTTTTCATATATATCTGTGAGAGGAGAAATGAGATCTTATGCCACACAAATAAAATTCGTGAGTCCCAGCGGTTTTTTAATAAAAAGAAAAGGAGAAAAGATTTGGTACAGGGTTTGATGAGTCTGCGGGAATGATTTGACTTGTTTCCGTCATTGCAGAAGCTTAAATCCCTATATATATATATATATATATATAAAAGCTCCACCCCATATATATTATATATAACTAAGATAAGGTGATTCACACAGAGTTTGTCTTAATTACTGCATCTAATCTCATATATTCATACAATTCATGTTCCAAAAATACTCAATAATACAAACTAGTAATCTGAGAGAACTGAAATCAAAAGGAAAGAGCAGGGAAGAATCAGAGCCAAACTAAAGTCAAGCGTACTACGTGAAGTTTCAGCCCACTATCAACAGAAAACCCAAACTATACCAAAATCAAATAGAATCAGACCCAAACTAATATCGCCCAAAAGAAGAGTCTATAACAGTCTTCCAAAAACAAAAGTGTTCCATTAGTCATATAATTAGAACAGTATTTATTGAAAGATAATGAAATATTTGTTGATTTTTTATATTTGAAAGAGAGAATATAAAAAATCATCAGATATGCACCTAAAATATAATTATTTCACTTAAATAACACAAAATTATATCATTAGAAAAAAAAGTATTTTTCCCTTATTTAATATGGAAAATAAACCCAAATTCTAAAGGAAGAAAAAACACACTAAAATCTCTTGATTCGCACGCCAAAATTTAGCCAAGTCAGTATAAGTTACATAATTGAAATATTTACTTATAAGTTTATAATAAAAAAATTAATACATGTTAATAAAACATTAGTTCCCTATTCTTTTTCTTCTTCTCTATCGAATTAACGTTTCTCATAACATACAATGGAATCAATGCAAATTAAACAAGTTCACTTCCACTTCGCGAAGAATTTGTCATCACCCCACAGCAACATTCTATTCAACGGAATCTTCACACCTCTCTCCTTCAAATGCAAATGCCGAGGCACAATCCTCTTCTCCAAACTGAACCCAAAGTACTGAGGAAAACCCTTCAACTCCTCCAACTCTCTCTCCATCTCCTTCACCAAATACTCAAACTTTGGCCACAGATTATTCTCCACCCCATACCCGAATATCGCCGGCAACCTTGCACAAGCCTTCATAGCCTCCTCGTTCGTCAACCCCACATCCTCGAGGAACCTCACCTTCACGCGCAGCTTCTCCACGCGCGTGTTCAGCAGGTGAGCGTTCCGGTTCGTCGCCCGGTTCAGGTCGCCAACCCCAACCTCCCGGAGAAACCGCAGGGTGGGTCGGAGGCAGAGGTCGACGTCTGAGAAGAGGAGCTTGGGGCACCGGACGATGAGGCCCCGGGACTGGTCGGCGGTGGCGAGGAGGTCGGCGGCGAGGAAATGGAAGACGGGGGCTATGTCGGTGGGGTCGACGGCGGAGGAGAAGAGGTGGGGACAGAGGAAGGCGAGGCGGGGGATGTCGGCGTCGGAGAATGAATGGGATTTGAGGAAGTTGAGTGTGGCGAGGATGTGGTCGACGGCGTCGGGGAGAGGGAGGTTGTTGGGTTGGGTTTTTGGGTCGATTATGGTTAAGGTTTTAAGGTAACGCAGGTTTTCACGGTAGTTTGTTCGGAACTTGATGTAAACAGTTGAGTTAGCATTATGGTAACGGTTACGGTTATAGTTAGGGTTTGGAGAATGAGTGTAGGAAGAGAGGGTTGGGAGATGATTAGAGTGAAGGAGCATTTCTGTTTGTGTGTGTGGTTCTTAGAAGTGATCAAGTGATGTACGTGATGATAAGGAAAAAGGATAATCCCACCTTTTCTTTTGAACCCAGGCAATTCAAGATATCATCTTCAAATAGTTAAAATGTACAAGAATTTTGACCCAACTGAAAATTGAGCAAGATTCAGGTAACAAAAATTCTTTCTAAAAGACTGAAGTATTTTTTGGGTGCTCTGTAAAAATTACGGAATCTATTTTAATTTCTTATGAAAAAAAAAAGTCGATTTATGATAATTATAAAATTCAAAATAGATTCAATTAGTCAAAATTGTGATTATTTTAAAATTCAAAGAAGACTTATATTAATCCCTGAAAAAAACTAACATAAATTTATTTTGAATTTCAAAAAGTCCACAAGTCGACTTTTTTTTTTTTCCTATAAAATTAAATTAGACCCCGTAATATTTATTGAAGTACTTTATTCTTCTAAATAATTAATGGATTCATATTTATTTTATTTTGTTATCGATGCTTCTACTCGGTTTTTGTTTTTAATCAAACTCTAAATCCAACAGTGCTAACTTCTTTTGCAACTTGGATCAATGACTCATCTTCTTAATATTTTTCCCCTCATGTTAATCGTGTGTGAAGCAAATTTTAGTAACACTATCAAATCTTACATATTCTCAGCTAATAAAAAATAAGCTCAAATTATTTATTACAATTCAGATAAAATTTTACTTAAACATAGATTGCCATCAACCCCCTCCCCCGAACTCATGCCAATTTTATGTTCACCAATTTTTCTCGCTGGACTACCCACTACTGGGAAATGACTTTTGTGGCTGTTGTTGTGTATAATAAAGTGCGCCAAAGGGAAAAGACCTATAATTGATACTTATCTTTCATCCACACCCGAGATGCGAACTAGTAATCAATGTAATGCACTACAAAAAGGCACCGTACTTTTTACTAAAAAAAAAAAAAAAGGCACCGTACTACAAGAAGTTCTTCTATAAATTAAGCTAATAAAAAACTGATGCACCAATGTAATTCATTAATGAAAAATAAATATTTGATTGATATGAAATGTTGTTTCTTATTTGATAAGAAATAATAATGTGCCAATTTATTAGCTTAATCTACAAAACTAAAAGAAAAGGGACTAGAACGACAAAAAAAAAAAAAAAAAAAAAATTAAACCTTCCATTAGAAATCTGATTATAAGTCTTACCCCTTACAGAACTTTTTAATATTTTTTTCTTTCCTGAAATGAATAATATTCATCATAATCTATTTAAACAAGTGACATGAGACTAGAAATTATGGAAATATGTTAATTCTGTTTTGTAAGAATCATATGATGAACATACTATCCCAGACTCCCAGTACAAAAAAGTAGCGCTGCATAAAACTGCTGCTTGAAAATTGTTTCCACCATTACTGAGGAAATTCAACATATATATAATATATTCACCCAGATCAGGACTTAACCAAATAAAATAACCGTTATCATAAAATGTCTAATTTATTCATAGTTAAACAGATTTCAACGATGCATCTGAAACCCAAAATCACAGCTACCAAAGTAGTACATATGAACCCAAACGCAATTTGAAAGTGCCAACAACAAATTACAAAATAACTGTAACTTACACCAACCATATTTGATGCAACAATAGTGCAATATTCTCATAGACCCCTGTCAAATTGCAATAGAATATATCAGGACAAATAGAAGCAAAATCCAAACTTACAAAATGTAAACATCACAAAGACAAAAAGAGAAAATGTTTGGGCAAAAGGGAATGAAAGTAGAACAAAATCTACAGATTGGCATGATATAATATGCTTTTGATCCAATTTAAACTTTAAGTTTATCCGAATCCCACAGTCAAGCATTGAAAAAATAAAAACCAGGCAAGCCCCCATAAAATTATCAACAAGAAAGATCAATGGCTAATAGATAACAAGATGTTATTATCAAAATAAAGTTCTCAAGTACCCAATATTATTATACACTCAGAATCAATGTTAACTAACATTTCCAATTCCAAAGATGATAACACCAACTCAAAACCACAGGAGAAACAACTACTAGCATACGAGGGAATACTAAAAACCAAAAAATGCCTTTACATTTGGTTGGAAATGAATGCTTCCAGGATGCTAGATGTTGAGTGCTTCTCCTTCAATCCTTAATTTTTATGAAAAACTAAATGTCTTGTCAATTAAAACAGCTTTTTCAATAGTTTGCAACATGTGCCATAGGATACCATTACTTACAAACTTAGAATTATTAGTGAATAAATCAAAAGTTCCAAAAACGTCCGAGATTGCAGGATAAGTTACTATTTGGGGCAAAATTACTTCACTTAAGCTAAAAATTCGCATATCAATATGCTCAGAGATTGCAGGCTAAATTAATATATTAGGTAAAAAAAATTCATTTCAGCTAAAAATTCATATATCCACAATGCTCAGAGATTGCAGGTTAGATAGAGAAGATCGACCTACAAGATATGCTACATCTTTGTTATCCAGATCCTATTTTCTTTCTCAGAAATTCCTAAAACACTAAGATATCATTTGCCAAATAACTGAAAGGTAAAGGTAGAAAAGCATGAGAATTACATAGGATTCAATTGTCAATAATTTATACCAAGGGAAATAACATTTGCAGTTGCAAACAACGTAATGTTGTTGTCACTTAAGATAATTCACACCACTGCAGGATATTCTTGGGAATTTAGCTAACATCATGTATTTAAAGTATTGCTGAAAAAATTAAAAATATGATGCAGAGTCAAGGTGCATATTTTGCTATGTTCTAACGGAGAAAAATGGGTCTTTGATATATGCGCTAATTACCTGACTTTCTTCATCATAATGGCCTTGAGTTTCCTAGAAAGGTCCTCGGATCGAATCCTCCGCTCCAAATTCTTTCGGGCTAAAACACGCTTCTCAGAGTTTTTGATATGGAATCTCTGTTCTTGCTTTATCATCCTCTCGATCCCACTTGATTGCATCTTGCGCTGCATCAATCCCAATGCCTGTTCCAAATTCCCATTTAAGACCTTCACTCGTATGCCTCTGCATTGCTGAAGCTGCTGCAGTTGATGATGCCCGTTATTCAAGGGTTCAGTTGTGCAAACAGACTGTCTGAATAAGCTTGATAAACGCCTCGCAATTGAGTTCATATCTAAGGGATATGAATTCGTTTACTACTACTCTTCCTTTTAGAACAGGTAAAAAGGCAAAAGATGAAACTCAATTTTCAAAAACAGAAACAAAATATTGCTGTATAGATTGTTCTTGAAACAGTTTCATGCAGAAAAAAGAAAGGTCAATTATAGTTTGTATTGTTTATAACTTTACTAGAATTTCCTGGGAATCATTGTTGGGGGTTTTAAATATAGTTATGAAATGGGGATCGCGACCTATCGTGGCTAACCCAGAAAACGATATAGCAATATATTGGGTTGTGGTATAGCGAAATAAAATCTAGATATAACACAAATAGAAATATATACTGACTATCATCCCAAAACAAATATTTAGATTCTAAATATTGTCAATAGAATTTTGTTCAGCGAACGTGAAGAGACAAGAAAAAGAACAATGTGAAAACAAAAATATGAATAATGTAAATTAGAAACAGAACAATATGAATACTGGGTATTTGAAACAAAATATATTTAATAATATGCATACAAAATCAGCAAAACAAACGTAATTTTGATGTTCAATAACTATTTAAAGATGGCAAAGAAAAATTTAACATATTTCCTACTAATAAATTTGATAACAGCAAAGCAGATCAAAATTTTCAGCCAAAGGAATAAAACTATTTCCTACTAAACATTTAACAATTGTAAATCGCCAAAATAAAGGAAAACTCTTTCTAAAAGCAAAGGAACCAATTTTCCATAGCCCTTTCGATGTTCAGGTGCAATATATAAATATAATGTAGACAGAGACAGTGCAAATGTGATTTTGAGTCAGAAATACAGAAAGCATGAATTTTTACAGAGACAAAGTGACAAACATTGGAGACGAGATATATGAGTACCTCTGTTACGCGCGCGAGAGAGAGACGAGTCAGAGACTTGAGGGAGTGAAAGACCAGAAATCAAAGAAATTTTTGGCAGAAAAGAGTGAGCGAGCGACGCAAGGGATATGCGTATGAAGCGAGAAAATGGAGAGAGAGAGAATATTAAGGGTTTCATAAAACCCAGTAAAAAGAAAAGAAAACAAAAACAAAAACAAAAACCCAAAAAATTGGACACTTTCTTAGTTATTGGACTCTCTAAATTAAATTGTGACAAAAAATAATGTGATTTTTGTTTTCGAAACAAAATCTTAAAAAAAAATTCAACATTTATTGATGGGCATTACTTTTTTGTGGTGGGTAAGTAGTAGTGTATGACTTAGAGAAAAAAAAAAAAATTAAAGTAAAATTATCAGGATTTGATATTATATATTAATAGTTTTGTGTCTGTAATTGACACAGTATTTATGGCAAAACTGCATAAATATTTTTGCTTTTATTGATTAGGAAAAAGTACAATACAATTAGAAATTTTCATCAACTCATTCAAATTGTGATGACCTAACTAAAAAATTAATAATCGAATTAACTAAAAACTGAAAAACCAAAACAAAATCACATGTTTTATTTAGATTGGATCAATTTTTGATTTATCCAAAACGATTCAATATATTATGTATTTATTATTTTCGAAAGATTGTGACTCGAAATCTTGAATGTTATTAATAACAACTATCTTGTTTTAATTTTTTATTGTCTATTAATCTATTTTAACTTTCCATGAGTTTTAAGATTTATTTTAGTTTGAAGAGTTCTTGAATTTTTATTTGAATGACTTTTTTTTGTGAACAACTTTGAATGACTTTATTTTGATATAACTAATAATTTGTATGACCAAAATTTTAAACTTTTCGAAAAACTAAATACTAATACAATTCAAATCGAATAAAATTGGATTGGATTGGATCAGATTTAGAAAAAATATAAACTAAATGAATAATTAAATCATCAAACCAAAGAGATTGAATCAAATAATTTTTATTTCAAAATTCATCCAATACATACCGAACTCATTAAAATTTTTTTGTATGCGGAGAATAATAAAAAACGAAGCTAGAAGACTGGACTTGAGGGGAGATGAATTTATGTCCCGCTTTGTATCTCATTATGTTTAATCCTTTTTTTATTTTTAAGATTAAACATGTTATTATGTAATTTTTTTATTTTTCCAAGTAAATACTTCCTAGCATATTGAAAAGTATAGTTGTGTGAGGATACCTCCAAATTATCTATAAAAAAAAAAAGTATAGTTGTTTAGAATATTAATTAAATTTTTTAAAAATAAAAATAATTTAAATGACTAAATGTTTAAAGTTGGTAAATTATAATTCTAGCTAATTTACCATATGTTTACCCCAAGTTAAAAGCGGGTAATTACGTTTACGGAAAGAAAAAAAAAAAGCGGGTAATTACAATGCTTAGAATATTTACTTATTGAATCTGGTTTTATTTCAAAAGTGTGAAAGTTCTAAACGTGCTGGGGAAATATACGGATTCAATAGAGGTATTATACTTATACACTCTTTTTTGGATCATATTTATACACTCTTTTGATCTGTATCATGGTAAGCTTTTGCAAAAATATTTATTTTGAATAAAACATTTTCATTGATTTTAATCCGCATCCTCAATTATTACAAAAGTAAAATGTAATTAGTCATACTCAAAAATAAATTTTCTTATGTTAAAATTTCATATGAAGAGGTCATATTAAGATTCTGTATTTATTTCTCTCTTCCTGCACATTAAATAAGTGAGGTTTAATTATTAAAATTTATCAATACTAATGAAAAAAGAATTAGACATAAACTTTTAACATAAATAAATTATGTAAAATTTTAACATGAGTATATTCACTTCATTGACACCTTCATTGGAAGCCTTCTCAATAAAGGATGTAAATAATTTTGTTTAATTCATGCAACTCTGCGATTTCGGAACAGTTGTTTTATATAGTATGGTGCAAAATTACAAACAAATTGCAACTTACAGATTCGGAACCAAAAAGTTACATGTTTGCAGTTCGGGAATTTTTAACAAATCTTTCAGAAGGAAAAGGTTATGTTGCCTCTTCTATAAGGAAGAACTCATTTGTACAAATCTCTGAGCTTTCTCTAGTTGACCATACCGGGTAAGAAGTCGGATCATTATATTGAAGTGTTCCTTAGTTGCATCAATTTTACATCTAGGCATTATATTGAAGATTCTACATGCATCATCAACAAATCCAGCTCTGTCACATATAGATAGAATGGCTTCAAAAGTGAAGTGGGTTGGAGAAAAACCATTTGATCTCATCTGATCAAAAATGTTGATTGCATCCTGATACAATTCATTATATCCATAGGCCCTTATAAGAGCAGTCCATGTCATAGATCCTTTAACGGGAACTGCATTAAACACCAACTTTGCCTTATTAACATATCCAAAAGTGCCATACATATTGATAAGTTCTGCAGAAACAAAATGAACTGATTCAAAGGCTCTTTTCAAGAACTGCCCATGAATCTCCTTCCCAAGCTTTATAAGTTTTAATCCACCACAAACACTCAACATCCTTGCTATGGCAACTGAGTCTGGCCTATGCTTTGACAATTGCATTGACCTTATCACACCAAGTGCTTCATATAGATACCCATTTTCTACATATGAATCAATCATTGACGTCCATGAAATCACGTTTCTTCGCTCCATATTATCAAATAGTCTTACAGAATACTCAATCACACCGCACTTAGAGTACATCATCATCAAAGAAGAAGTTATGGATACGTTAGGCAGAAACCAATGTTTCAAAGCATAAGCATGAATCTGCTTCCCTTGTTCAAGAGCCCTCAACTGAGCACAAATTGGAAGAACCGTGGCAACAGTCACCACATCAGGCCTGAACCCTTCTTGCTGCATCCAAATTGTGGACCTTAGTGCCTGCTCTAGCCTTCCATTTGAAGCATAACCTGACATCAAAGCTGTCCAACAAACCACATTTCTCTCCAATGTGCTATAAAAAATCCGTCTTGCTGAACTCATATCCCCACACTTGCAATACATATCAATCAAAGCAGATTGAATTGGCAGTTGCTTAGAGTACCATTTTGCCTTCATTACATAAGCATGAACCTCCTGACCTAACCTTATTGCACTAACTTCCCCAATTACAGGAATAACAGTAGCCATTATAACTGAATTCGGGTCTACTCCTTCCTCTACCATCCACCTTACATACTCCAATACTTCCCTCTGCAACCTGTTATGCGCGAAACCTGCAAGCATAGCTCCCCACACAACAACATCTCTATCGGAAATTTCCTCAAACACACGGTGTGCAAGCTTAACCTTGCCACATTTAAAGTACATATCAATCAAACTAGTCCTGAGGATGGAGCTATCAACCAAACCATTCTTGATCAAAAGGGCATGAGTCTTCAAGCCTTGAAAAAGCGCCGGTGCACCGGCGAAGCTCTTGATGACACTGGAGAAACTGTACACATTCAACTCAACCCCCAAAGACCTCATCTCTGAATAAGTGTTGAGCACATCAATGTATTGCCTCTTACCCGAAATCACAGTCCCTCTAAGCAACGCGTTCCATGGATAAACGTTCCAACAGGGTAACCCATCAAAAACTTTTCTAGCTTCTTCCAATGACCCACAAGAAGTGTACATATGAACCAGTTTAGTGCGCAAAAAATCGTTGTTTTCAAGGCCATTGATTCGAATATGGGTGTGAACTTCCCTTCCTTGTGAGATTGAATTGGTGCGGATGCAAGCAGCAATGAGGGAAGAGAAGGTTGTGATGTTAACAGGGATACCCTGTTGGTCAACGTAGTCCATGATGGTGAGAGCTTCCTTGAGCTTGTTCTCGCGAGCGAATCGCTTAATGTCCTTGTAAATGGAACGTGGGTTTTTGGTGTGGAGGGGTAAGGAGCATGGGAAAACATCTTTTTCTTTGAAAGGTTTCACCTTGTACTTGTTGTTATTCTTCTTGGTGGTGATTTTGGGCACGTTTCTGTGATGGGTTGTTGTTGTTGTTGTTGTGGGTGATTTAGGGGGTGGTGGTGATGGTGATTGCGTGGAAGGTTTGAAGCAGAAGACTTGGAAATTCGAAGAGAAACGGTGGAGTTGAAGGGATAGAGATGCAGTGGCTGTAACAGAGTTTTCCATGGATTGGATATTTTGCCACCAAATTGAGTGGATATTTTGAATGATGCCATAAAAGGGTTAAAGTACAAGTATTTTGGCCAACAGAGAAATTAATTTTAAATAAATATTTTTAAATAGAAGTAGTATCCTTTGACAGCAGTGTTAAATAAAAAAAAATCAACGACTCTGGTTTGTAAGCATGTGACATCATTAATCTTTTTTGATCTAACGGCTCTCAAATGAGGTGTCAAACTTCAAATTTGACACTAATGTCAAATGATCCTACCTCTTTTAAATATAAACTAAGGAAAAATGATTTCTGCATTAAGAGAGAAAAAATAGACTCGGGTCTAGCGGTGTTATTGGCCGACCTGGATTCTGATCTTGAAAGATTAAATTTGTATTTAAATGTGTTAGACTGACCTAGTCTGTAACCTATTATACATATAATTATTGACATGTGTCTTGATTTATTTATAAAAAATAAAAGTATGGTTTAGTCTGTTAAAAAAAATAAGACAATAAAAATTTATCTAAACAAAATATATGATCAATAGCATTAATAATTTCACAAAGATTCATAAATTTAATGTATATCCAAATAGCATAATATAGAATAAAATCATTCAAAAAATATGCTTAATCAATAATCTAAAGTAGTACAAAATATGCACATCCAAAAGAATTAAAGACTATAAATTCTGCGTAAATAATTTAATATATTGCAATGTTGCATCTTCTTACATAAAACAAAAAATAGGTCAGATTATTCTTGACATTCAATTATAATATCATAAGATATAAATAAGTAGTATAAAAAATATAAAATAAAAATAAGAAGAGATAATATACCAAGTCGGCCAAATAGGCTCTAAGGCCAAGCTTTTAATTAAAGCTCGGAGTTTTTTATTAAATGAGTTTTTACACGAGTCTAAGTTTGTATCCAATAATAAAAAAGTGTATATGCATACCCAGAATTACTTTAAAGCATGACTACCATAAATTGCTACTCTGCTGTCAAGTTTGAAGGCAAATTTTGTGAATTTTATAACTTAAGTACTTGGCCAAAAATTACAAACTATGTATCATTTTAAAACTAGAGAAATGTAGTTTAATGATCAAAATTCTTAGGATTTTTTTAGGGGTAAGAGAGTTTTCCCAAATTTTTAAACAAATCAATGCTGTTTAAAATTGGTATATTATTCCTTGTCAACTTTTATGATCTGTTTTTTAAAAATCATAACTCCTTCATTTCTTGTCCAAATCTAGCAAGTCAGATATTATTTTAAAGCCCTTTTAATGTCTAATTTTAGACGCCAAAGTATCTTGATTTTTGGATCTATGGGTGAGTCCTAATATAAGTCAGAGTTGCTAATAGTGACATAAACAAGAAGCAGAAGCATATACAGTATTAGTAAAACTCAAACAGTCCTCTTAAGAAAGCAAATATCATCCAAGAAGACTCACTTAAATCTCACAATATAACTTACTATTTCTGTAGCTGAAACCTACATAACCAGCATTAATTATCAAGCAAACAACTACACACAAACAACTCAAAAAGTAACAATTTTTAAGCATCTTGGCAGTGGTCACTCAAACTAAAACTGGTAGCGCATCATTAATCCTTAAGTTTTGAGATTTGGACAAACGAAACTAGATATGTAGGGCTTTCCATTGATATCTTATTCGTTAAATTTGGTAGAGAAACGAGGAAGTTGAGGATTTTTACCCTTCGTTTTTGCCCTCAACATGGTACAGTTCTCGAGCAGGCCTTATTCTAACTAGAACTAGGAACACACCATAATTCCATAAATCATGATATTTTGACATGTAAAACTAGACATTAGGAGCTTTAAAACGATATATTACTTTCTAGATTTGGACAAGAAATGAAAAAGTTGTGGGTTTTTTATTTTATTTTTACTAACAGGTCATATAATTTGATAATAGACAACATACCAATTCTTGGCGGTCTTGTTTTAAAGTAATATTAGGATGGCACTACTGCCACATAACTTATAAGAATTTAATACATGAAAGTAGCTAAGCTTTTCATTGATACCTTATTTGTTCTATTTGGATAATCATTGGCTGGGTTATCACTTTCAGAGTTTGGCTATACTAGGTAACTCGTGTAGGAATTCGTTTTGTGAAAATTAAAAAAAAAAATTCAAGCTCTTAGAAAGGAGGGATTTAAATCAATGTTATTAAATTTCGACCCATCATCGATCCGGTCAGAATACCGAGTCAATGGATCACTGATTCAATCAGTGGGTCACTGAATCAATCACATAAACTGGATATATATATAATTTATATTTTATACTCAATCATATAATAAATATCTTAAATAGTATAAATGAATCAAGAACCAAGAACCAAATGTAACTTAGTGGTAAATACTATAATTTATATCTTCACAACAAGGGTTCGATTCTTTGTTGGGCATCCTCATTATTGAGCATCCTCATAAGACTCGAGTTCGAATTCCAGGCTGTAATATTGGAAATATTTTTTCCAAAACTTATTCATCGATTAATACTAGTTTTCTGGGTCGATACCGGACCAATAATATATCCGATCCATTATAAGAATTGGATCGATTTCTAGGCCAACCGGCTGGGCCGGTCTAATTTTAAGAATACTGATTTAAATCATTTTCAGGTAACCAATCAAGTCACTTTCTCCGATAGAATAATTTTGTTACTTTATTAGTCTTTAAATAAGAAAAATATTATTTTATTTTATTGTTCCCCTCTGTTTCCAACCCATCTTTTTTCCTATCTATCTCCACTTATTCCTTCCACCAATGAAAAACATGCAAACGTAACCTTATGTCATTGTTTATTAGTATAGTACTTGTGTGTATATGAACTGTGTTAGGTTAGGCATTATTTCAAATATGACAATAAAATAAAACATTTTGAGTGGAACATGATATGTTAACGTGATATAAGTTAAACTATAGGTTCGTACGAATCTATATCTAAAAAAAATAAAAAATTGACCTAAGCTAATTAGTCTGTTTAAGCTCTCAAAAATTGAAAAACAAAACAAAACAAATGTTATTTTATTATTTAAATAATATTATTATTTATTTTATTCAAAATAAATAATACAACATAAGTTTGCCTATAAATTTATAGGTTAGACCTCATAAAAAAAGAGGTATAATCTGTGTTCTAAAGAGACACTTTTATTATTATTATTTTTAGTAAGAGATTTTTTTTGTTTATGAACCATGAGTATCCTTTATAAGAGACAATTAAATAGGCTTTTTTTAATGTGTAAGTATCCTTCAATTGAGGGGAAACATTTTTCCTCTGACCCCTAAAGAATTTCAAAATTACTTAGGCCAAGGATCGAATCTGGACCAAACAACCATGAGCGCTCAACTTTGTCGATTGAGCTACCCTTAAAGGTTAAAGTGTTATATTTTACTTGATATATTAGTCAAGTTTGATAATTGTCTTGTGAAAGGAATATCCTTGAAGTATATCTAATGAAATATCAAGAAATAATCTGTTATATTTTACTAGAAATACTTTAATGCCAAAGTAACGTCTAATGACTATAATCATTACTTGTCTACCAAATGTTGTGCGCAAGAGAGTTAATTTGATTCCCTTGACAGAGCAATTTGTAATTGATCAAATTAATAATTGGGAGTCAACCTTTATTCTTCCTTACTAATTGATCAAATTAATTTTCCTTGGCAGAGCAATTTGAAAAAAAAGTAATGATTATAGTCATTAGAATTAGACATTAGTTTGGCATTAAAGTCGCGTGGAGGCAAGAAATTGACTGAAAGCAACATTCGAAACCACAAGGAAGGTTGGCTACTCAATATTGGACTTTTCTTTATGGAATTTCTAAGATACTTACCAAGTCTTCTCTGGCTCGTTCAACCAAAAATATTAACAGTATAAAGATAATATATTCTATACAAAGCGTTTCAAGAAAAATCTTATTTTAGAATAGTGATATTCTCAATGTTACTTATAATTACTTGAAAATTCTATTTTTTATGATACAATGCCTATCCAATAACAAAGAAGCTGCAGAACTAGCTCCACAAAATTAGGATCGAAGAAGAAGAAGAACAAACTTGTACAGAAGTAATTAGACAGACAATAATCAATGCACATGCCAAATGATATGATTTTCTAGAGAGGTGTTGAAAATTACCCTAAGTTGTAAAATACAACTTAAATTTAATGCTTCTCTTTTAATAAATTTATTTTATTTATTAAGATAATATAGACAAGACAAAATTCAACACGCAAATATAGATAATACTTATCATCAAAGTCTTCGTATTCAAAGTCATCCTCTTAGAAATTCATGTTCCCTGTTTTCCCTTGATTCTATATATGTAAGTATCACAAAGAAAGTAAATACAAGCACCCATCTCGCTCTATATCCTTCTAGTTTTCTGTGATATTGTGATTTGTGAACAAATTTCTATTACTATTTGTTGTTCAACTGGAGCAGTTTTTCAATTGAGCCATTCTTTGATCTTCCAAATTTCACTCACCAAGTGTTATCATGGCAAATTTTGGAACTACACAGAGGATACCAACCTCCTCAACACCTTCATCCACTGTAGACACTCATGAACCAAAAGAACCTCATGAAAAGATGCACAGTGATTTCAAAATCTCTTGCCCCTTTAACATTCCTTTGACAGCAGAAGCTGCATCAGTTCGCATTATAAAAAACTTGGTGAATTTGGGGTTATATTACACACTCTTTGTGTGGATCATACTCTTCATAACCCTCATCCCTCAACGTAAGGTGTCCTTGATTCTGTTGGTTATCATGACATATGTGACAACCCTTTATCTTTTACTGCTAAGGGCATACCCCAATTCTGTTGTGCTTCATAGAATCATAGATAAAAGGTTTGTGTTGACTTTGTTAGCAGTTGCAACTGCAGTGCAGTTGATTTTGACTGAAGCAGTTATTCATCTTGCAGTGACTTTAGCTTGTAGTATACCTCTTGTTTTGATTCATGCAGTTTTATGGGTTGGTTTTGAGGCCTTTGAGATTGAGGACGCTTCTGTTACAGGAGAACTTGTTCCTCTTGCTGGCCATGATGAAAGTGGTGCTGGGAACTCAGATGCTGTTTGATTTTATTTACATCCTGAACTTTTCTACAACAATGTAAAAGAAAAAAAAAACGATATGGATGTTATAAAACAATGCAGATAGATAGATGTAATGTTTGTAAGGAGCATGAATACATGTACCAAGTATGTCTGCAATTATGTTTGAATAAAACTTGAGGAAAAAGTGTTAAGTTCTATTTTCTTTCCCCTTAGATTTTAAGTGTAACTATTGAAATATGTTTTCTCCTAACATTTTGATTAATCACATTACTCTTTCAAGGTCAATTGCAAATTGTAGAACCAATTATTCCTATAATTCCTCTTTGATAAAACAAAAAATAAGGGGGGGGAGGGGGGGGTTGAATTAATTGTAGGACAAGTTCTGACTATTGAAAGAATGATTTTAACCCCCGAGTTGTCTCATGGCATTATAAACCTGCCACCAAGGATTGTCAAATAGCAAGAGTTCAAATCTTGAAGAGATTCTTAGTAGTTCAAATAACTTCAACAACGTCTTTTTTTTTATGATATATACATTGCTTTCGCAATTTCAACTTGAGTATAGTGAAAGTCAAAGGTCTTCCTAAGAATATTTCTCTAAGAATCGAACTTTAAATCTTAGGATTCAAACAATCACTTTTAACCACTGCGATGGGCACCAATTCAGTGTCATGTCTTTGTTTTCGCTGTTCGTTTTTGAGCTTTTGCCCTCTCCACTTGCTAAAAAAAATTATCACCATTAGCTCTTAGTAAGGCTTTTAGTATGCCTATGTTTGTTCATACATATAATATTTTATTAATTTCATTCCCCACAAAATAATTTTATCATTTTGGTCACTGAAGCTTTCCATTCTTAATAATGCCTTGTAATCTTACAGGGTTGGTTTAGCTTGATGATATGTGATGCGTAAATAGACAAACATTCACAAATTCAAATTTTAATTATGTTCATCAACCTTCGGCATCAATAGAGAAAACAAATTATCTTAAAGAAACAACATCTGTTAGACTCGGATTTCTTCACACACAAAAATTTCTGCATTTGTTCTTCTAATATACCGTAAGTTCTATTGTTTTACTCTCTGGTACAGATTTTTTTTATATAATATAGATCCATCTTGACTGCTCAGATTCTGACCCTTGTGAAATCGGATATATTCCAATTTCTAATGTCTTACTTGTTATCACAAGTCACTCAACAAATTTAAGGAAAAGTCATATTTTAATTGGGGAAAAATTATAATTACAAACTCAACTATGTATTCCTAGGAATAGACTCGGTTAGAAATGCATTCTCGGGTAAGAGTTTGCAAACAAGTAGTTTGTAAATATAACTTACCTCTTATATAAAAACTTCTACCTAACTAATTTAATAAGATAGTATATATAAAGTCTTATTAAATGAATTATGAATAAAAAAACAAATGAAAGTTGTACAAACTTAAAATAATTCCAAGCACACACACTGTAACCTGCATTGCAATAATCGCTTACAATTTGCAATTGCAAGTTAAAACTATAGAGAGGATTAATATATATTAACAACAAAAATCAAACATTCTCTGCTTCTTTATGGCCAGCAAGATGAGCCATTTCTTGAGTACAAGAAGAAGTATCCTCAATCTCAAAGGCATAGTGACTAACCCATAAAACTGCATGCAACAAAACTATAGGCACAGCACAAGCTAAAGTCACTGCAAGATGAATACCTGCTTCAGTCAAAATCAGCTGCACAACTGTTGCAAATATTAACAAAGCCAATACAAATCTTTTATCTATGCTTCTATGAAGCACAACAGAATTGGGACATGCCCTTAGCATTAAACAGTAAAGGGTAGTCACATAGGTCATGATAACCAACAGAATCAAGGACATCTTACGCTGAGGGATGAGAGTTATGAAGAGTATGATCCACAAAAAGAGTGTGTAATATACCCCAAGATTCTTCAAGTTTCTTATGATGCGAATTGCTGCAGCTTCTGAAGTCAAGGGAATGTTAAAGGGCCAGTAGATTTTCAAATCACTGTATAGCTTTTCTTGAGGTCCTTTTGGTTCATGAGTATTAATAGTGGATGAAGGTGTCAAGGAGGTGGGTATTCTCTGCGTAGTTCCAAAATTTGCCATAACACTTGAAGTGAAATTCGGAAGATCAGAGAATGGCTAAATTTGTTCCAAATGTCTCAGACAACTAGAAGGATAAAATTAAGATGGGTACGTGTATTTACTTAATTTCTTAGTGAATTTGGATCAAATTCATACATATATAGAATCTTAGATCAGTTTCTAGTCCAGGGAAAGGACCCTATATCATAGAAGACATAGCAAATATCAAGGAAATTTCATGAAGAAAAGTTCAATATTAAGGAACCTTCTTTGTTGTTTCTAATGTTGCTTTCAGACAATTTTTTGGCCCCACGTGACTATATGCAAACTAGTGTGTAATTTAAGTAAACTTCATTTTTGTTTGACAATTTTAGAAAATAACGGAGGAAAATGATGTTGAGTTTGAAATCTATATATATACTTGGTTTTTATAATGATTATAATTTTTGTTCTTAATAATCTTAGTAAATCACTTAGTTTATATTAAAATGTGATTCTTTTTTTATTACCTATAAAATGATGATTAAAATGTGACTGTAGATACCGTGAGGTATGTGTGAGCGCTTCATAAACTAAGAATTTGAAGTCAAATTCCAAAGGTGAAGAAAGCCTAGTATATTCTAATATTAGCTAGCAACATGTACAAATAACAATACCAATATTTATACATCACTTAATATGTTATACTAATATATGATTAATACTTTACTGACTAAATAACACACGTTATTGGCTCAAAACTACACCATTAACAGGAGTAAAAATAGCGTTAAAACTAATTTACAACAATCATCTTCCTACAAACAATTAGCCAGCAACACATAAAAACAATAGAAAGTTTCAAGATTAAATGCTTTCAAATTACTACAAACACTTAATTTATCTCACTTTGGCTATAAATATAACCATGATAATAACAAAGCATCTGATCAACATTCTTTTGGAGAATTTAAAATCCATTCACTACTTGTGAGTTGTCTTCCATGCAATCCTTCTTTTGCTCAGTTTTGTGAGCCCCTTGAGGTGACATATATAAGTATAAAGTGGTAAGCATTCCTTAAGATTTATACAGAGACTTTAAGTATACAAACTTCAAGTTATTTGATCCCCACGAGAATAATCAAAGGAACAAGAACATGTGTATAATTTTGGGGAGGAGAGGGTCAGCAATCAACTTTGACGAAACTTGGGCCACACTGTGATTACTCCTGGTCTCATCTCCTCAAATCGGTATCTGCAGAACAATAAAATGAACAAATAAGATAATAAGAACCAAGGTAAACCTTACTTATTCCTGTTTTTTCTAGAGACCCACAATGGGTAAGCCTCATGCACTAGGAAACCATTTTTTATTCTTATTTCAATGTCCTCAACGAAGTTAGAAGAGTATTTGAAAAAAAAATAAAAAAGTCATGATGGAAGGAAAGGCATAGTATATAATATAGTGCAGGTAAAAATATTCCACCTGTTTTCATTAAGGAAACTTCTCACAGCTATAGGAAGTGCAGCTTGTCCTCGGCTGTGGTTGCCAATGCCTGTAATAATATGAAAAGGCAATTAAGGCCATCCTTAATGCTGCTTGCTAACCCCATGTGTGAATACAGGTTTACTTAATAAACAATTAAAATACTGATTTTATATTCAAGAAAATTGACAACTACTCTATGAAATAAATGAATTCATTGACCTGTTCATGGGAAAGAAGGAATCCATAACACAAACAGAGGCATGCAACAAAAAGTAACATAGCTGGGGATTAGGAGAAAAAGTTGGAAAAAAACACCAAAGTAGAAGTTCTTCACTTCTTTGGTTAAAAGCCACGTTTTTGCAGTCAATTACTACATTGTGTTCCTTCATTGTTCATATTACCTGCATAGGATACCTCCCAACATATTAAAAACCTAAATGCTACCTACGGTTGAAGTGCACATTAGCCTGTGCATTTGCAATCCAAAAGCAATTCCAGAGGCAGAAAAAGCACAAGCATAAACATAAACTTTATAGGTTATCCATGGTAAAAAAGAAGTGAAGGTACCTGTTATGACATGCAAAGCTAATGATCTAAGCCTTAATGGTGCTTGTTTATCCAAAATTTCCCTGTCCTTGAAATTAAGAGATCCCAGAGTTGAATGTGCAAGCTCATTCTCCTTCACACCATTCAAAGTGGCTGATCTCTTTGAGAAGCCTTGACTTTCAATTTTATGGAGATGCTTTTGCAATGCTTGAATAGCTTCTGCTGCATGAAGACCATGCAAATCCAGCCTCCATATATCATTTTCACTGTTCCTGATACTTAAAATTTTTGTGGCTGCCTTAGAATTAAGTTCTTCGGCAGAATACCATTCCTCCCGAGCTTTCATTGAATGTTGTTCAGCAGAAAAATGATCACCTCTTAGAAAAGCACTATTGGCTGCCCTAGAATGTCGAGACGCTGACCTGTTCAATTAACAGGATATAAAATCTCGAATCCTAGTGAATATCTAAAAGGTGTAATATGGAAATGCAATACTTGCAATAAAACAAGACAGTTAAATCCAAAAGGTTTAATATGGCCAATTACAAAATCCCAAGGATTGAAGATGATTATTCTGTCCTAAAATATAAGCAGATATTTAAAACGTCTTTTACAAATGAAAAGTCTCAAAGAGGCAAATAATAGATAGTGTAGATTAAATAGATCTTTGAATCTGACTGAATATCTAAGAGAATATGCAAAAAATAAAAAATAAAAATCTATTATATAAAGTCAGAATAGGCTAAAGCTCTTTCTCAAAAAGTTTTTGCAAATCCAAAACCAAATCACTGCCAAAAAACAAAATAGAAGGCACCGCCATGGAAGTATATCCATTACTTGATCCTACTTGTGCATTATACAGGTTATTTAAATCAAAAATCTAAGATTGCGAGATTTTTTATTTAAATCAAATATTCGGCACATTTAGGATAATGCAGATCACAAGTTGACGATTGGCACGAGAAGTTCTCAATGCTAGCATTGATCAATATGTTTCACTGCATGTAGATTCCATCCCTCACTATATATGTTTTACCACATCATCTTATATAAAGTAAACATAGACAATAGAAGAGAAAAATGCTAATAAATAAATGACCATACAACCAAACACACGCAAGCAAGTGAGAACTAATCAATGCCATCTCAAGAAAGAATGCATGAGTTAGCATTCATGCCTCATTGTCGTCAATGCATCCTTTCGATGGCTAACGTAAATATCATCGTCCTCCCATTCAGGCTCAACAGGAACAGAATTCAAGAGCTCCATTTTGCATCTCAGGCTATCAACATCATAAAGCTTATGACCTGAGGAAGCATTTCTATCCTCCACGTCTTTATCATTATCTTTGAGATTACCAACAAGATAAGAATGGAAGGGAATATCATCCTTGACCTTTTCTAAAGTAAGACTTTCATCAGTTTTCTCATATGGAATATCAACTGAAGTAGTTGTTGGTCTTGGATCGCTGGATACTTTGCATTCTTCGAAGTTGACGGCAACGGCCATTGTTTCCAATAAAGATGAGGCCTTGTCAACATTATTATTAACAGCAGCCAATATATCCTCTATCAAGCTATTTTCAGCCCAAAGATGTTGCTCTTTGAGCTTTTTGATAGCTAAATTAACATCTTCCTGAGCAGAAGTACCACAATATTTTCCACCAGAATCAGAACCTAACATTGCCTTTTCGATATTCCCATCCTCTTTCAAAGGTGGAAAAATTTTAGTAGGAAGAAGTACCGAAGAGAAAGGCTTCACAGGGACATGGTTCTTGTTGATTAACTTATCACCATGTTGCATAGAATCAGAAATGCCTATAGGTGGGAAAGGGTCCTTGTCAACATCAGATTCAAGATTGTTCTTCTTTTTCTGTTTGAGATCAAAAGCTGCCCAACCAGATGATTGACCCCTAGCCCACGACATCTTCTTAAGGGAAGATCTGGCCGAAACGGTCATCTTGGTCCGTACACCATAATTTGAGCACAAACCACTATGCTTTCCCTCTCTCTGAAGACTGATGCATATACAGAAGAACTCAGGAAGCCGCAACCTGGAGACCTGGCTTGCAAAAAGTCCAAGTCGTTAATGGTAACCATCATAAACATGTGCTAGTAGTTAGAAAATCAATGTATGATATATTGAGGAAAACACAATGTGATCAAACATCTGGTATTACAAGACATAATTTGAACTAGCTCAATTTTATAAGTCAATCATGTAAAACACCATCAATTGAAGACAGAAACAGAATTCAAAGCAAGCAAAACACAAAACATATGCTTTAATAATCTCAAAACAAGTCATTCCCAGCAAACCCAGAAACTAAATTTGAAAAAACAAAAAAAACAAAAAAAGAGAAGAAAGAAGAAAATTTGAGCTGAAAGCAGAAAACCCAGATGAAAACTAACCTTTTTATTTATCAAAACGGGTTCACAGAATATAACACAATAAAGAAGGTAGCTTCAATGCTATTTGGGAAGACCAAAACCCAGAAACCGTAACCAAGGAATGAATCTATACAAGGGTTGAAAAAGCGATGGAACGACAAAACCAAACACTTGTTGTTGGAAGGAATTTGCGACGAAATCCAGTTGCAGTGAACCAAATTTGCATCCGTTATCCATAAATCTGCTCTGTGGAGATTGCAAAGAGGGGAAGAAAAAATTTGGGGTTTTTCTCCTTTTTCCTCCCAATGGGTCTCTCAGAAACCACAGATAGAATCTACAGACAGAAAATTAGGGATTTGATAGCCGCCGACGTTGACGACAACTTAGGAATTTACGAATTTCGCCCTCGTTTTTTCAATAGTTATCGAGTTTAAACTGATTTTGGTTTTAAAATAACTAACTAAAAATATATGAAATTTTGTATGGATATCATTAAAAACAAATCAATATATTTTTCAATATAATAATTTTGGAAAAAATATTTTTACTTGTATAGAATTATGTCATTTTAAATGGAAAAAGATATAATCTAATATTTTTATTTAAATTTTAAATTAAAAAAGTCATTTACTTTCTCTCCTACTATTTTCATTATTTATATTTTTCTCTCATTCAAAATAATATAATTTTATATTTTTTTTTAAAAATAATTACTTAGGGCCATGCCCCTCCTTATTTACAAACAAAAATAAACACTAAACTCAATAATTTTTTATTTGTTAACGTCATCATTAAGCTAAAATTAAAGTTAATCTCCTAAATATTTAAAACATATTCATAGTGAAGAAGGATTATATTTACAACCCAAATAGTTTATAAACTCTTACAATCATATCTTAATTGTTGATTTTCGTCAATCAACGGTTGTCATTTATTGTGAATTTCGATTTGTGAAAATCTTAACCGTTGATTGACGGAAATCAGCGGTTAAGATATAGTTGTAAGAAGTTGTAAACGAAAATAGGTTGTAAATATAACCTTCGTGATGTTTGTGACAAATTAATCCAACACGTGGAATGAACATTTTTCCAATAAATAAATTTATAAAATGGTCACTCATATATATATTATTTACTCACAATGTAGTATTTTGGATATTACATGTGTAAATTATTCAGTTAAAAGCATAATTTTCTAAATAATGTAGTTAATATAATTTGCCGGTAAATATATACTTCTCCATTGTTCATATGGTTTTAATAGATAATTTGCTTGTGAATATACTTCATATACTTGTATTCATCAATTAAGATAATTTATCTATCATGGATAGTGGATCACTTATGATTTTAATAATTATATATACCTATAAAATGGTCACATGCATACTTATCATCCATTAATACGAGTCTCTCCAACCTTCCTATGAAATATGACTTTTAGGAATTAAATCTATTATCCTATAAATAGTCTAATTTGGTCGTCACAGCCTATTAAATCAACAACCTTGGTTAAACAATTTATTTATATAATGCCAATGAATATACTTCTCAAGCATTTAGTAATGATTATATGTTTAAATGTTAAATATTAAGATGCTTTTGTTTATATATTTATAATTCATAAATAAATAATATTTTTTTCAGTCTCACATTTTATCTTTCAATGATAATAAACAAATGAAACAATGTTATTTAATAATATTTTGAGTTTTTTTTAAGTGTATTGCAAGTCTTAATACGTGATAATTTATAAAGAAGTAAATTTGATAAATGTGTAAATTTACCTCACCAAAAAAAAAAAAAGTGTAAATTTATAACTTTAAAATTATCACGAAGTCATAAACAACGGTTTTTTACCAAAAAAATGCAAATTTCAAAAAAAATTCCACATGTTTAGTTCGTTGACCAAACGTTTTATCGGACTAATGCAGGAAGACACGTTTCAGGTGGTTACGCATTTAGTCGCACAACTGACACATGCGCGTTTCTGACAAATCTGAACACGTCTGTACCAGGTATGTGTCTGAACACGTCTGTACCAGGTGTGTGTTTCTAACAAGTCTGACGAGCACAATATTAAGATGTGTCATATTCAGGTATGCATGTCGCGTCACAGTCAGAATTGCACATCTGGTACAGACGTGTTTAGACATGTACCTGGTACAAACGTGTTCAGATTTGTCAGAAACGCGCATGTGTCAGGTGCGCGATTAAACGCGTAACCACCTGAAACACGTCTTCTTGTATTAGTCCGGTAAGATATTTGGTCAACGACTAAACAGGTGGATTTTTTTAAAATTTGCTTTTTTTTGTCAAAATCCCATAAAGAACAAATAGTTAAATCTTCGATTTCATGTATGTAACAGATTATATAAATATTTGTTATTGCCTAGACTATTTTGAATTGCTTTGGATTTATGAAAATGAGATAATAGACAAATAAAGAAAGTGAAGATGAGAGATAAGAAAAATTAGAAAAAGAAGAGAAGATAAATATGAAAGATCATAAAATTGCATAAGAAGAGAAGATAAAAATAAGATATTAAAAATAAAAAAAGGGAAGACAAGTATAAGAAATAAAAAAATTAAACAAAATTTGAAGTGTTTGTCTTAGTTCCTTTTTGTCTAGTATTTATGAGTTCGTCTTTTTTATAGTTAATGTACATAAGTTATCTACATTGAGCCCAAAACGCAGTGGCGGAGCCGGCCCAAATATTTAGGTGGAGTCAAAAAATTTGACATATCAAATTATCAAAATATTTCTTGTAATCACAAATTTATCAGGAAAAAAAAATTATGAATTCTAACATAATTATCTAAATTATGTACTAAATAATGTCACATAATATTGAAAATTCAAATGAACAATTGTCGTTGATTATCAAAGCAAACATATAAAAATGCACTAACATTTTAGATAAATATTTAAAATATAAGAATTTCACTTTCCTCTCACAACATAATAAGTAATGAACCAAACATTATCCTAAGGATAAGAAAAACACAAATATAATAATTATATGTATAATAAGTTCTGTCCTTCCTCTCTCCTTTCATTATCTATATTCCTTAAATTTTCAATATCTCACGTTAGAGAACATCGCCCTTGTTTGCAATAACCATAAGCACGATGAAAAGTTCTCACATTTGAAAATTGGGTTTTTGACTATTTATTGTGTGTGCAATAACCCAAAACTTTGGTTTCATGATTTTTACTTTCAAGGGTTAAGCGTTTGTCCTTTTAAAGTTCACAAATTGTGTCCTTTTAATTTTTATAACATGGAAAGTTATTTTTTTTCTTTCCACGTCAGCTAAAGTGTTTGAGGAAATATAATTTTTTTTTCTCATATCATAATTATGTTTTATTGATAAGATATAATGTCAAAAATTAAAATAAAAGGATACAACTTTGTATCCTTTAAAAGGACAAACCTTTTTTCCTACTTTTGATTTAGTTGGACCCAAATTTTGAAATAAGTCAATTAATTATTTTTGTGATTAGGTTTAAAAGTTTTTTTTTTTAAATAATAGGAATAAGAATAAATAACATACCTGATTAGAATAAAGTATAAAAAAGCAAATATATTGGATAAAAAATACAAAAGGTAAAACACAAAAATAACCACACTATACATGTTCTTTATTATTTGTTTGCATTTAGATGGTTTGTTGTTACTTTGTATTGAGTATTTGATTTTTTATTTAGGTGGTGCTAAATTATAATTTTTATCTTAATTAATTATAATTAATTATATAATATATATAATAAGTTAAAAAAACTGGTTTGTGTGTGGCTACGCCACTACCAAAACGATGTCGTTTTAGGTGAAAAATCAAGGTATTTTTGTAATTATAAATTATTTTAGGGTTATAATAGTCTTTTTATTATAATTTTTTATTTTTCAGCCCAAAACGACGTATTCTTAGGAGTGAATGTAGGTAACTTTTCTATATTTACTGTAGAAATATTAAAGCCAGTATTTATACTATTTTAAAATGGGTAAAGCATTTCTCTAGTCAATAAGTTATCTCCGGTGAGTATAAAACAATGTCGTTTTATGGCGGATTTCAATGTGTTTTTATAATTATAATTTATTGCAATATTATATTAGTCTTTATCATTATAATTTATTAATCTTACAATCTCAAAACGATGTCATTTTGAGCTCACTAGAGATAACTTTATCTCTTTTAAAATTAAGTAAATATATAACTTTTGTATTGTGTTGTCCCTTAGTTTTTAGCAATAGCCAAACATACTAGGGAAAGTGTTATAAATATTTATTGAAAAAATGTTTAAAAGTTATTCCAGGAAACTATTATATTAACCCAATTCGATTATAAATAAACTTGTTTATGAGGAGGATTTTGTCATAGGAAAATATATGTATTATTAGGATTTTATTTTATTTATCTCATCATAACATTATAAATATTTTCCTTATGTATTTTATGAAAGGTATACCTTCGATGTTGATTAATTACATTATTCTTTGTATATTCTCTTCTATATCCTTTGAGTATTTTATACTTATTTTCGTAACACATTCAAACCAAATTTATAATAAATTATATAACACACCTTACGTAGTTTGAAGTATTTGACATCCACTCTGATGCCTATCTACAAGGATCAAAACATAAAAAACAGAATAGAATAAAGTCCTCCAATAATGAAAAGAAAAACAATTATAAACCGAAGTAGCCAGCCGTGGAAAGTGGATAATAACAAGGGTTGATAGTTTCAAGATAATTTTATTTTTTATATATGTATAAAAGTGTGTAAGGTCTATATTTTTTTTTCTCTTTGCTCTTTGTATGGGCTTATACGAGTCTGATGCACTTTTATATGTGTATACAAAAATAAAATTATCTCTTATAACATAAAAAATATTAAATCCTAATAACCAACTATATAAAGATAATCTTTCCATATAATTATATTTTCGAGATGAACTGTGAGTCAATTTTCTTCTCTTTTTTTTTTTGTTAAATTACATATATATTTCATTAGAGACAATTCTGTTTGAGTCGGGAACATCCACATCATGATTGGATTCATTCTTCCAAAGAGTATTTTTGTATTCACAAAAACTTGAGTTCAAGACATTACTTATGTAAAATTAAATATGTATCACTTAACCTAAACCAATTTGCTTGAGTTGAACTTTAAATGCATTATTTGTACACCGGATAAAAAAGATGGGTTTAAATCACTGTTGTGAAACCCGGCCTGACTCGGAACTCGACAAATCGATCATCGGACTGGTTCGGGTCAAACATTGAACCGGCCAAACCCGGACAACACTGGCCAAACCCGTTGACTCGGCGACCTGGTCGGGTCATTAATTTTTATAAAAAAAAAACCAAAAAACTAGAAAACCAAAATTGTTTCATCTTGTAGAAAAAAATATAAAACTCATTTTAATTTTTTTTGTTATTTTATTTGCTAGTATACTCTTCTACAATGATTTCAAATTTTAGCTTCCAATACTTAAGCAATTTGTGAAACAATAAATTAAGAAAACGTGACATATGTAATTTTAACGTAAACGAATTTGAAAAATATGAGTTCAATGTCATTGAAATGTATGCTTATGAGAATTATGAGTTGCAATTTAAATTAACATAGTAATAGTGTGCATTTTCATTTATTTGTGCATTATAAACTTATAAAAGTGTGATTTGATAATTTTTGAGCTTCTTCAGTGAACCTTGTTTAACTCATTTTAGATAAGGAGAATATAATTAAATTTATATATTCATATTTATATATTTATACATATCTGAGTCAACCAATCTAATCAGTAACTCATCGATCCAACCAGTGACCCAATAACATATTACCTCAACCGGGTCGGTTTAAATCACAATTTAAAAAATCTGGCTTATTATTGATTAGTTACAATCTCATTGGCGATAATTTTTTTGAAGCACTTTTTAAAACATTTTAAATATTCTATTAAAAAACCTAAGAATAATAACAATTATGCAAACATCAATTATACAAAGAATTATTCTTCCTAAAAATACCATTACTATCTATTTTTTTGGGATCTAATCACCAATTTAATGATAAAATATTTTCATAGAGGAAAGGGACAGAAGAATTTTCATTAAATAATGCCTTAATTCAACTGCAACTTTTTTTTTTAATGGTTTAGTAAAAATGTGTGAGTGATTTTCTTAATTAAATTTGTTACTTACCCTTAATTTTTATAATTTATTTTTTAAATGTTCTTTGTTTTACTTTTGAGAGTTTGTATAATTACACAAACATACCTAAGAGATTGAGAGAGAGAAAGAAAGAAGAGAGAAAAACAAGAGTCCGAAGCAAGTGTCATAGCTGAGTTCAGGATCGGAATTCTGTCGCCGTTCATCGTTATCTCAAGATTCTCGCTCAGCTTCGAACGTTTTCCTCGTACGCTACGATTCCCGCGGTTTAATTTACCTTTTTCTCCCACGATTCGTCGTTTTCTGGGTCTCTCTGCAAAATTCCATCGTCGTTGGATTATATATGCCTTGAAATTCTATTTGGGTCTCTCTGCGAAATTCCATTTCTGGGTTTTTTTTCGTGTTGGTTCTAAACGCTCATCTTTCATTTTTCTGCTTTGAAGCTCTGAGGAATTTTTTTTTTACCTATGTGCGATGAAATCGTTGATTCTTGGCATCGATTGCATGTCTGTGTAATGCGTATCTCTTATATTTAAGATGGTTCTGTAGATTTGGGGTACTTGACTTTGCATCCATTTTTTTTTTTTTTAAATATTGATTAGGGAATTAAAGAATTCATGGATATATGGGGTGCTTGATGGAGGATACTATAGGTTAATATTCAATTATTCATTGATAGGAATTCAAGTCTTTTTTTTTTTCTTGATGGGAAGAAAGTTTTGTTTTGAACTTCTACTACATATCCATGTTTTTTGTGCAAAATAATGGTAGTAAGATATATGTTACTCCATTAGTACCAGTGAGGGAACTAGTAGAATGCATGGGATCCCAATGGGGCAGCAGAATCCTACCTAGTAGAATGCATGGACTTCTTCTTTTTTATTTTTTATTTTTTGTGGTGGGGGGTCTTGTTGGGGAGGGATGACCATCAAGCTGGACTACTAGTCATAGGTGGGATTTGAACCAGTACATGTGCAGAATGTAGAGTCTTATTTTGGATCTTTTTAAACAGTGGTGTTGGCAGTTTCCCCATATTACATCATCCCCTGTGTGTATTTGTAGAAGTTGAAAATGCAGATTATGATTTTTTTAAGGGTAGCTGAAGAATGAGAAAAATTGCTTTTATCTTTGTACTCTTAGATTGTTAATGAATAACAATGAGCATGTGTTTTTGGATGCTTTTCAGGTCTTTGTTTCATTATTCACCTCTTTACTGGCAAATATTGGCACAAACTTAGTTTGCTTCTATGAGCCAAATCTTGTGTTTTCTGTGGCTTCATAATGGTATTGAAGAGTTTCTGTGAGAGGATTGTTGCTGCAAAATGTTCTTCTAAAAGCTCTACTGAGACTGTAGATAATACTCCTCAGGTGCCTGCTTGTTCGAAAGCAGGTTCTAGTGACAGTAAGTTTCCCAAGGCTACCTTATGGTCAAGCTTCTTTACATCTGGTTTTCCATTCGTTGAAACATATAGTGAATCATCGGCTTCTGAAAAGAAAGCAGTTCATTCTCGAAATAGCGGGTGGGCAGCTGCTCTGAGGAAAGTTGTTACTGGTGGCTCAATGAGGAGAGTTCATGAGCGTATACTAGGGTCAAGCAGGACTGACATTTCGAGCTCTGATGGTGATATATGGTTTCTAGGCATCTGCCATAAAGTTTCACAGCAAGATTCTACTGGAGTAGATACTAGTAATGTGTTTGCAGCATTTGAGCAAGATTTTTCCTCAAAAATCCTAATAACGTATAGGAAAGGTTTGTTGAATTTATACTACCTTTTTTGGGATATATTCATATGATAGATATTAGACTACAATTTTTTTAATATATGCTCTTATCTGTAGGCTTTGATGCTATTGGAGATTCAAAGTATACTAGTGATGTTAATTGGGGTTGTATGCTTCGAAGCAGTCAGATGCTTGTTGCTCAGGTATTATGCCTTCTATTTAATGAATGCTTTTCAAAATGGTATTGTCACACCATACCTTCTAATAATATTTTTCATTTTTTTGGCCGTGCTTTCTTCTCTTTTTGTTTTCTTTCAAAATAAGGCTGCTAATGTGGCTTCCTCATGTACAGGCATTACTTTTTCATAAATTAGGTAGATCGTGGAGAAAAACTGTTGATGAGGTCAGGTGATTGATATGCAATCTGTTGTTTCAGTAATTAGACTGTTGCTCTTTTTTCTCTACCATTGTTTTTGTTGTTCTGTTTTTCTTTTTATCTAAACATGTTTATATGTTTTGATTTGTCTTGAGATATAATGCCATTATGTTGACTCATTGTTGTATTCTAATGATTTACAGCCACTGGATAAAGAATATATTGACATCTTGCAACTTTTTGGTGATTCGGAGGCTTCTGCTTTTTCTATCCACAATCTTCTTCAAGCTGGGAAAGATTATGGCCTTGCTGTTGGGTCATGGGTGGGACCATATGCAATGTGCCGCACATGGGAAGTTCTAGCCCGTAACCTGAGGGAGACAAATGACCTTGGAAAACAGCCACTTCCAATGGCTATCTATGTTGTTTCTGGAGATGAAGATGGGGAGCGTGGTGGAGCACCAGTTGTCTGCATTGAAGATGCCTCCAATCGCTGTTCTGAGTTTTCAAGGGGCCTAGCTGCTTGGACACCTCTACTTTTATTGGTTCCCTTGGTACTTGGACTTGATAAAGTCAATCCGAGGTGTGTTATATTTTCAAGGTTCTTTGGTGCTATATAATTGACCCACACTTGAGCCTAATAGTATTATTATGTTTATTAAATAGAAATGTTCCCTGCCTATTTGGATTCTTTTATATATAAATAACAGAAGTGGCATTCCGTAAAGAAATTTCCTTTATCTTAATTCTTAAATAAAATAAGCCAATAAAAGACATAGAACTTGACATAACATTTTACTATAGAGTGTATGTTGAAATTGTCCAAAGCGACAACAGTTCCTTCCACCTTTTTGTTATATTTTCAGTTACACTTGTTATGGACGTTGAATCACACAGATAGAGACTCCCCAACCAGGTTAACCTTGTATTTTGTAGATATACCTCATCAACCTTGCAGAAAAACAACTGATGGGTTCAAACTCTAGGCATATCTTCGTAGTGATGTAACATGATAATTGGTTTCTCTGTCTTTGTCTAATGAGTTTGTACTTCGTGGAGATAATAATTCAGTGTAGTAGGTGCATATATAGTCTCATATTCATTGGTAATTGGCATATGATGTTTTTGAAATATAATTTGAAAGTTGTTCAGTTTTCACAGTAGCTCAATCACTGATTAGTTGCATCTATAATCTGTTATCAGGTATATTCCATTATTGCAGTCAACTTTTAAATTTTCCCAGAGCCTTGGCATATTAGGTGGCAAACCAGGTGCTTCAACATACATTATCGGTGTTCAGAATGAAAAGGCATTCTACCTTGATCCACATGATGTTCAGCCGGTATGGCAGTATCAACAAAACTATTATTACTTACTCACCTTATTATATACTACTAAGATTGTGAAACTTGTTGTCATATGGTTATATAATAATTAACTTATCAAAGTTATAATTTATAGAATGGTGTGCTCCATTTTGATTTCATGGTTTATCACTAGTCTCCATCTGGTGTACGAAGTTGCCCTTTCTAAGGAAACAGAAAAGTTTAAAAGAATAACCAAGAAACTACTCTGGTTTTGTTCTCAACAAATGCATGTGATTCAAGCATGATTTGGTAAAATGAAATAACAATGTTTGCAAAGATTGTATTGATGAAATCAAGACAAATATCTGTTCAGATTCATTTATGATTGCTTTGCTGATAATAATAGTAAAGTAGTAGTGGTTCTTTGTACTTTGAAGCTTTTTGCATAGAATCAATCAGCTATGATAAATCAGAAAATGTAAAGAACATCTTAGGTATTTCTCATTACAAATGAAGCTGGATCAGCATTTGCTTCCTTCACGTGACCTTTTACAATAATCTTACTTTTTGGCTTTGTTGGTGGGTAAAGCACAATGATTGAGGAATTGAATGATTTCCATTGATCACTTGTGCTTGTTATGAACTGAAGTATCAAGAGTTCATACGGTTCAGGCAAGAATTGTAATTTTCTTGCTTCTAAGCTGAAGAACATGTTTAGGGTAATTCATGTCACTTGGGTTCGATCTGATTTTGAAAAGATGTTGCAACAGATTCAGATTGATTTATTTTTTTGGAACCTAGGGCCATGAGTCTTTTCAATACTTTGAGTTGCAAGTTACTACTCATGTTAATCTGGTTTTATATTTTTTAAACTTTTACCATTTACCAGTATTTCTTCAAGAGATCTTCCACCCTTGTCCTTTGAATGTACTTACTTGATTGATTGTTGTGACTCAAATCATAGGGATGTTTTATACTCAGACTTTCAAGCCAAGATGTTCCGGTGCTTTTAACAGTTGGGATAAATATACTTTTATGTCTCTTATGTTATGATTTATGCTTTTCTTTTTTAAGTAATAATTAATATTTTGTATCAATTAAGTTATTTTAAAATATTGTTACGACTATATTTAGTATTCTTCTCATTTTACGTATGGTTAAGTTGTTTTGTCAATTCCTAATTTAAAATTATTACGTTTGAGCATTATACATCTTTATATGATATATTTTAACCTATCTTTCATTGTGTCTCTCGGTACGATCTATTATTCACAATTTGAAAATTAGCTTGGTGATTTGAACTGGGATTTTATAACCTTGGTTTTCAGGTTGTTAATATCAATGGGGACAATCAAGAGCCAAATACTTCATCTTACCATTGCAAGTAAACTTTTTACTAGTATTGATTTTCTTTTATATTGTTAAATACAACTCGTTAATTCTTGTTTGTCTAATTTATAAAGCTCTTTCCAGTGTTATCAGGCACATACCCCTAGATTCAATTGACCCATCTTTGGCTATTGGATTTTACTGCCGAGACAAAGGTTTGTTGATTACTTTCATGAGTTCAATAATTGTGGCTAATATATAAGCTTTCTTGTTGACCCTCATCACCTTGTTAATGGTGGCTGCCAGATGATTTTGATGATTTCTGTTCCCGGGCTTCTAAGCTGGCAGAAGAGTCCAATGGTGCACCATTGTTCACTGTAGCTCAGTCTCGAAGATTCTCAATGCAAGTTACCGGTAATGATGCCTCAGCTGACAACAGTGGATTCCAAGATGATGTGGACCTTGTCAATGATGCAGGAACCCATGAGGATGACTGGCAACTCTTATAATTGCAAGACATTGACATGAATTTTAAAGTAGTCTCTCAAAAATTTGTTGCTTGATTCTCTCATGAGGCTAATTGCCACTGCTGGGTTTGGTTGATACCTGGCCTTGGACGGGACTCCCTCTCTTCAAACGTTGTTTAATAGGGCTTGCTGAAAGTAATTTAAACTCATTTTGATTCATTGGCTTAAATTATTTGCTCATTTGTTCATATAGCTAACCAGGTATTTGTTGTACATTACACGGCTAGTTCGTTCATATTTGTTGCGTGTACCCTTTTATTGGCTACAAACTTGTAGTGGATAACACTTTGGGACTATCAAATAAATGGTAGAAAGTAGTTCATATATTGAGATGGGAATGTTTTCTTAAGATAGAAGATAGTATAAACGAAACACTTGAGTCATTTAAGTATGCGTAAGAATTTTATTACATGCAATGCTACGTCATGTGAATGACATGTCGATACTGCTATTGTTTTATTGTGTTGTGCTATAGAGACCACTTTCGTGACTGATTTCAGTATATAACCATGATTGAATGAGATTGGAATGAGGATACAGTCAGAGATAAACTACATTACAGAATTTTAATGTTAACAAAGGCTACTGGGTCAGTAAAGTAACTAGTAGAGATTGGACATCCAAATGAACCTTTCAATGACATAAATTGATATCGGATTTGTTTTGGGTACAAAATGTCATGGATTTAAATCCTGTCATCCTTAATTACTACTCATGCTATGAGTAGTAACAGTATATAGATTAACGAAGGATATTTTAGAAATTTTAATTTGTTTCTTATTGTAAGAATTTTATAAAAACACTCTTCGTTCAATTCTCCAACACCCAAAACGATATAGTTTTGAAGTTAATAGATTAGAGATAATTTTATCCTTGGAATGTAACATAGAAATGATAAATCCTAAGAATTGTCTTGTATTTTGTTGCCCTTTTGGAATGTATCCTTGGGATTGTTTCAATGTTTTTTTGTTCTTAATCAATTAGTATGTTTCTAATCAATACAAAGCACCTACATATCTTTGGCCAACAAGAAAAAGAAATAAAAAGATATCACTAAAGATTTTATTACCATAGGAATGTCTGATTATTGTGCAATAAAAAAGATTTGTCACATTGAATATTCGTTATATTTAAATTTTTTAATAATATGATGACATATTATTATATGATAATATAAGAAATAAATTAAAATTAAACCTAAAAAATCTTGAAAAAATAAATCTAATAAACTACAAAAATCTAAAATTAATCCAGCTTTTAAACAATACAAATTTTGTAGCATATTAATAAATGTAGCGATAAAATCAATTTTTTTTTGGTAGTCAGCCATAAAAGCATTTTTATACATAAGTATATGCGGATAAAATAGTTCTATTTAGTTAATGGATTTTATAAGAGTTATGTTGTAGAAAAAGTGATTGTGTAATGTTATAGAGATTCGTTTTGCGTGTTTTTTTATTTTTTTTTATTTTTTTGCTTTAGAAAGTGTGGCCCCACAAAATGTTGTGTGTGTAGAAAAATTGTTGGTGTCATGTGACATGATAGAAGTAAATCCCTTAGTTAATTAGTATTGAAGTATTTTGCATCTAAGGCTTGCTTTGATTTTGAATACTCCTATATAATGCTACAATTATTTTTTGGAAAATAGTTATCTTATTTCACATAAGATAATTGTCTTATATTGTATATTCATGGAATCTTGTGTCCATTTTTTTTTAAATTGAGGGCCCACAACTTTATTTCACTCACATAAGATAACTATCTTATGTCACATAAGATTATTAACTCCCTTATTTTTTAGATAAATATAGTCACAAGTTTAATATATTTTTGGTTTTTTTTATAAATATACTAAATTTTAGTTTTAAATTATTTAAAATTTGAGTTTTAATTTATATTTTCAAAAAAAGTAACATTTTTTGTCTCTGTTATTATCATATGGTGATTAAATGTGTACATGCTATTTTACCGTGAATTGAGATCCATTTACTATGCTAGTGCTTAACCGAGAAAAAGTTATTTTAACAAATCTCAAAATGATATGGTTTTGGGAATTTTTTTTTAAAAAATAGAGCATTTTAAAAAAAAAATTTCTCCTTGTATTATAAATTTTATTAAAATATCCTATATCTCACCTTTTTATAATTTTAGTAAAGGAATATATACTCCCTTCGTCACACTTTAGAGTTAAAATATTTATTTGATTAATTTTCACCTAGTAGAAACCATTTGTTCTAGACACATGTTTCAAAATATAATTATAATTTATAACCAACCCTGCACCTTTAACTTCTTATTTTATTTTTCACAAATAATAATATTATTTAGTATGATTTTTTCTTTTTCATTTTCCTTTTCACAGTAAGGGCCATCGATGGTTGTGGCTGAATAGTTGAAAGTTGTAACTAGCGAGTTTCCGAAAAGTACTTAGCTATTATCTTTCGTCTGCAATCCTGGTTCTATCGTTATTATTAAGGTACAAGGTACAAGGTACGCACCTCCATAAACCATTCATTCTTTTCTTTAACAGATCTCACTTTCACTGTTGTGAAAAAAAATGACTCGAACTTTCTCAGCTCATTGTTGTGCATTGTAGTCTAATACAGCACATGTCTTACTGAATCACTGCACATTGGCTTCAAAATTCTCTTACTTTTTCCTCTGCGCTTCTTCTTTGTAGCTTCATTTTCCTTGTTTTCGTGCGTTTTGTGAAAAATGGATCCACCGGGAATTCTGTATAGCAAGCTCAAGGTTCGTAATTTCTCTCGGATTATGAGTTTCTAGACTATGAATATTCGTGGGTCATGGTTAAAATGCTTTTTTATCGTTCTCCCTCTGATGGGTTGTGTTTCTATGAATCTCATCAGGCTGCAGACCCGTTCTTCCTGCTAGCGGGTCCAAATGTGATTGAATCAGAGGAGCACATTATGCGGATGGCTAAGCACATAAAGAGTATTTCATCTAAGTATGTTATCTCTATTCAAGTCTAATGCTTCTTTTATTAATGGGAAATGAAGGTGTGATTTAATGGCAATCCATTAGTGGGCAGGGTGGTTGTGATTGTTGATTTGAAGTTAAGGATCTAATTTTGATCCACTATCTGTGAAAAAGTGTTTCTACACTAGCATCACACAAAAAGCATGGCTATGGTAACAATTACTTGAAAAGTAAAACTCTTTTACACTGAGGATCAAAGTTAAACTTGTACAGTAAAATGGTCAGTAGACATGATATTTGGTTTTATATTTGTTGATGTCTAACATGATCTTGAGTATGCATGTATCTTTCAGAGTTGGAATACCATTGGTTTTCAAGTCAAGCTTTGACAAAGCTAACCGAACATCGTCAAAATCATTCCGTGGCCCGGGGATGGTTGAGGGACTGAAGGTTCATATTTATACTTCTTTGTTGTCATGAAATCACTTTGTGGTTTGTATCTTGAGGATTCTAGTTGTTATAATTGTCTGATAACATGTGATTATACTTGTTCTGTATAAAGTTTTCAGGACTTTTGTTATATACGTGTAATATAAAATTTTCTATTAGAATTGGAAACGGATTGAGCCTAGCTCAACCACAAATGCCAAATTGAGGGGGGAAGGATTTTAGTTATTATAACTTTTAAGGGGTCCTTTGGCCATATAGCATATACCCAGCCAATGTGGCATCTTGACATTGTCCTTGATAATTTTTTTGGCTCCATCCATCTCTATAGATTTGGATTAGATGTTGTCATAGGTAGCATCTGTACAGCTTATGGCAGGACCTTTGATAAATCTCATCTAGGTCCCTTGTAGGGGTTTGCAAGGCTATGCATTTGGAATGCTTCTATGGGTCAGATGTCACGTCTTGCAGTCTTACATTTTTTCTCTAGCCAAAGGATAACACTAGTAAAATTTCAAGTCATCTTTGTAGTATGTGGGAATTACGGCAGAAGTCTTACATAGGAAGGAATTATGACCTTTAATAGCCGTTAGCACAACTGTTGGTACGGTAACATACATTTAGTATGTTTGTTTAATGTTAAACTACATCTAAATTGCAGAATTTTGTACTGGATAAAGCTATTTTGTCTTAGTTGAATGTTTTTCCTTCTTTAAATTTTACTGTTTTATTGTCAGATACTTGAGAAGGTTAAAATAGCCTATGACATCCCTATAGTGACCGACGTGCATGAGACCATCCAGGTAAAATATTTTTAACTTTCCTTAGTGTAAGCTAATTGGTTTTTTATTTGTTTTTGTTTGTTTGATTGTGTTATATAGAATTCATATTTCATAGCCTTGTTGCCTTGGTCAAGGTTCTTATGCAGTAGTAACATTATTAGGCATACCAACTAGACTAATTTGGTCTTGATTATATGTTGTTCTGAAGGGACATTATTACATGTCTCTCAGTGCTAAAGGACGAAAATAACACAAGGTTTTCTTTAAGTGATGCTCAGACAAACGGAACTGCTACTTAGATAAAATTAAAATCATGAGATAGTTTATATCTAGATTAAATTCTTATATGTTCTTTCCTCGAATGTATGTGGGTAGATGACAAAAGCAATCAGTCTATGTAGGAAGAGTAAATAGAAAGACATTTTGCTCGGATCATTCATTGGTTTGAAACTATATCTACATAATATTTTCCTTAGCAATTGATTTTTACCCATCTAAATTTGACAATCAGAATGGTTAGCACCTTTTTTATTGATAACTACATAATATTTAAATAATTGAGCTGATTCTTCCAACATATACTTGCAAGTGGAGTGTGGTGATGACATTTCAGGTTCTGCCTCCTGATCTGCCTTTGACACATTTATCTTTTCTTTTGCCAGTGTGAACCAGTTGGCAGAGTTGCAGATATCATTCAGATTCCAGCATTCTTGTGTCGCCAAGTAAATATTTATTACATTGAATTTCAATATCCATTGTAATTGGCTAGCTATTAAATTTAATGGTTGTGCCAACATCAATTGTTTCAATTATTTTGCCTCTAATGGCAGACAGATCTTCTAGTTGCAGCAGCCAAAACTGGGAGAATTGTCAACATCAAGAAGGGCCAGTTCTGTGCTCCTTCTGTGAGTACACTATCCAATTTTATGAGATACAATTTTAAAGTTAACAATAAATTAAGCTTCAGAATGAACGATCCCTGTTTTTTTAGGAATATTCATATGTTTCATAATTTTCACTTATACAGGTCATGGCAAATTCAGCTGAAAAGGTTCGGTTGGCTGGAAATCCTAATGTGATGGTTTGTGAGAGAGGAACTATGTTTGGCTACAGTGAGTAAATAACATCTATTTTGAGGTTTTCTGTATGTTTTTAATGATGTTATTCTCGCAAGAACCATCCAATGTCAATAATTGCTGTTTGTGGAGTTCCTGGAATTACAATTTTTTCGTTGTACTTCTATTTCTAAAGCACTTTGCACTTTGCAGTATTGCAAGATTTGATTTAACAAAGAAAAAGCATATCAAGTGATGCTAGCTATTTCTATGTGCCCACCTGTTGCATTTTCATTGTTAGTCTTGTGTTTTTTTCAGTTATCTAATTTAAAGTTGAAATCTCAATTTTATTTTAATAATTTATTGCCCACCCTCGTGGCCTATCCTTTAGTTCGAACTTTTAATGTGTATTTGAGTTTTAACTTTGCCTCAAAAAGTGAGCATTGATTCAATGCCCTTTGCCTTTTTGTTTTCATAACCTAGAGTTGATTAAATTCCTTTCCTTTTCTATAGATGATTTGATTGTTGATCCACGTAACCTGGAGTGGATGAGAGAAGCCAATTGTCCTGTTGTAAGTAAATATTTCTTTTATAGTATGCTTCTCATTAAGATAAACTATTTGAATCTTTGTATCCTTTCTTATTGAATGAAAGGATAAATTGAAGAAGGTATTTTCTTCCTGCACCCTTCCTTGATAGCGTTGTCTGCTAACCATTTATTTGATGAAAGTATAACAGTTGATTAAATGGGATGAATCCCTGTGAACGCAATCCCCTGATAGACTCCTTTTAATTTTGTAAAAGTTGCTTTAATTGCTAACTTTATGGAGGCATTATCTCTCAAAAGCTCAAATTTCTCCCTTCTCTGTAACTTAGGAGATGGCTGATTCCGTAGTCCCTAAAATGTTTTTCTTGACCTGGATTTATTACCTAAGTGTTTTGATAGATATCAACCAACACAGGGAAAGATTGAACAGAACTAAAGGAAGTTTGATATTGATATAGAAACGTGTAAACAATACAATATTACAAAATAATATTTGACAACAGTAACAGTGATGGAAACTTAAGGAAAATGCAAGAAGGAAACTGAAAGGTTAAATATTTCTAGAGCAGTTCGAGAGCCGCTCTGGAGGTCTCTTCCACTCTGGTTTCCCAGCCCAAGATAGTCCTAATTTCCAGCCGAACCTCTCACATGCCACTTTCACTATTTGACCAATTCCTCTTTCCAACTCAGCCAACTCAACAGAGAGTATTCTAGAATATTCTACCCACATGCTGAGTCATCTTCGGGAGCTAATCTTCTACAGCACTTTCTATATTACCTCTTCAGAGGAGTCTTATCATGTTTATGTACAGATGTTCTCATCAATGGTATTTTATAATATCCATAGAAGGCTAGAACAAGAGCATTTCACTTCGAATTTGATATACAAAGAATGGATTCTTGTGTGGTTCAGAGGACCTATTTAATTTTTTTTTATCTTTTAGAGTTTTAGTTTAAAAATTTATAACATTTTCTATTCTTGTGATCCCAAATTAATATAGTAGTTTTTTAACCAATTATTAATCAATTAAGAAGTAAGCCAGAGTGCATGCATTTATTTGCCTATTGGTAAGAATGGGATTGAACTTCATTCTTTCCCATGCCCTTACTACAGAGAAGAGAACTATCTTATAAGCGGCTTTTTTGGCATCAATCTAAATTTTCTCATGGTGAAGGTTCTTTTCACTATATTGTATGCCATTTATTTTCTAGAAAACTAAATTATTTGATTATGGTTTTTGCCTCAGGTAGCTGACATAACTCACTCACTACAACAGCCTGCTGGAAAGAAGGTGTTTAGTATTGTTAATTCCCATATTTGCTTGATACTAACATGGTTTTGCAACCTTTTGTGTTCTGAGCTGTATATTTCATGTGACATTATTTTAGCCTGTGACGCTTTTGAAAATCACAAAAGAGAGGAATAAACATCTATTACTGGAGTGTCGGTGCTGAGTGCTGACAATATCTGTTAAAACATTTGGATTCTTAGTGTTTTATGAGTTATTATGTTAGTTTTTATTGGTGGACTTGTCGTAGATATGCTACACTAGAACATTACCTAGATTATTAGTATAAGTAGGATTGTTAGTGGTTTGCTTTAAAATACGTTGCGTCAATCTGATATCAACCATTGACAGTTCTTTTTCTCCCTTTATTTTTCACATCTTTTCCCCTTAATTTCAACAATTACATTTTTAGATTTGTATTGGGCATGTCATAGTGTGTGATACATCAAAGGCAATAATGTCACTTGTTTAATTTCACTGGGAGAATTACAGATCATAGTTTTCTTTTCAGATTCGTGATGTCAAAAGTTCCTGTCTGCCTTCTATGCTTTGCTTGTTCATGAAAATCGTTTAGAATCTTTGAGTATTGTATTTTTCTAGTGTGTATGTTGTGTAAACCTGCTTCTATGCTCTGGTCCTATGATATCATTTTGATGGTTTTTTCTCTGTACTTTGGTGTTTCACATGACCTTTAAGTATATTACTTTGAACGCAATGATCAGATCTGACATCTATAATTCCAGCTTTTAAATAACTTTCTCAAAGTACCTTTTCAAATCTTACTCCTGGTGGGGTTAAAATTATGCTTTCATGTGTAGTTGGATGGGGGAGGTGTAGCAAGTGGAGGTCTTCGAGAACTAATACCTTGCATTGCAAGGACAGCAGTTGCTGTCGGAGTGGATGGGATCTTCATGGAGGTAAAGGGAATGGCTGATACCTGTTATAACTTTTTAGTATTATTATAAAAGAAAATATCGTATTTTTCGTTTGGGTTCATCTGCCACAAACCTCAACTAGTTTGGGATTAAAGTGATGTTGTTGATAATGTTGATTATAAAAGAAAGTAGTTTGGGGTAAAATTTCAGGTATATATTTACCATACTTGTGATTCCTAGATCTGCTATTCTTAAAGACTATCTTTATCTATTTAGTTTGTCTACCAGTGAGCTTCTAAAAGTTTTCTCGGGTTTTCAGGTGCATGATGATCCACTCAGTGCACCCGTTGATGGTCCGACACAGTGGGTGAGTTGTTGATTATCATAGTTATTCAGATTTATAAACATTATTTCCTCAATGTTTGTTTTCCTTTGGATGCTCCATACATATATTTTTTGTCAAATAGCTCATTTAATGAACTATATACAAAATCACCTTATTGACAGCCTCTGCACCACTTGGAGGAGCTACTTGAAGAGCTTGTAGCTATTTCTGTAAGTTGTTGCTTGAAATTTATGATTGTAAGTTGCATAATATAATCTTTATATAGGCTAACTGAACTAGTCTTGACAACCCTAGGGCCTAAGATATATTAAGTTTGCTTATTATAAATAGAAATCTTAATTTATCGTTGAATATATTCTCCAACATTGATTAGCTATAACTGTGGTATCTCTCATATGGGCTGAGAAGGGAGAATTCAGAGAGTATATGGTACACATATATTGAAAGTGACAGTGCATTTACTTTTCTGCTGAAAAATAGAAAACTTGAATGTTGTGTTTTACTTTGTAGTTTTGAACCTATACATTTGATTAACTCCAGCTTGATGTATTGTAGAGGGTAAGCAAAGGGAAGCAACGATTCAACATTGATCTCACACCATTTCGTGAATAAAAAGAAGGGTAAGAAATGCTTCGTTTAATCACTTTATATTTATGTATGTTTTGTTTCTCCAGCAAGTTAAGAATCCTTTTTCTTTGTTGATAATTGACTGAAATTATATAACCAGTATACTATAAATAAGTATCTCATAGTCTTAAATCTTATTGTGAAAGCATGTTCTTAAAAACGTCAAAAGGATGTAAAAAGCTAAGATTTTACATATTACATGAAAATATCTCTTGCAAGAACTTGTAAATGATATACATCCATTGAAGTCAATCATTTACGATCTTGCTTACATATTGCTTAAAAAGTCATATAAATAATCCTTAAACTTCAATTAAACATTGACCAATCACAAAGTTATAAATAAACTTCATGCAAGCATCTAAGCAAGGTTTAAATAATCAAGGACTTCTAGTGCAAGACATGTCCAGGAATGCAATAAATTAATTGATAAATTCAGAACTAGTTAAAATAACCACATTACTGACTTTTATCCAATTGTGATTTGAGTGTAATCAGAAGAGCTTTATCTATTTTTAAGGATGAATGGATACACGTTTCATTTAATATAAATTTTGCTTGCAGGTGATGGTTTTCAGTTTATTCTGGATATAATTTCCTAAGCATTGGTCTTCTAAGATTGTTCAAGGTTGAGTGCACAACTGTCTTCATTTCCTAGCACAAGTTCAAGTGCCTTTATAAGGATGGTTTATCCTAAAGACATTTTTCAATGATGCATGTTTGTTTCTCCATAGAAGTAACACTACCAACCGATGTTTGTCACAGATCCTGTGTAGCCTTAATCATGTCGGTTACTAAAGTTGAGGCAATTGATTAAATATCAAACTATAGGTAGTTTATTAATTAAATTATTTTAGTGTTTGATTAATGAATATACGGACTAAAATGAAAATCTTCTTTATAAGCCAACTTTTTTTTTCATTTCTCCCAAATACTTTTCTAAAACATTTTCAAGCCATTTTCAGTCCAAAACATATGTTAAAGTAAAATGGGCCTCTAGTGTTCAAAATCTTGGTCATGTTTAAGGTAATTATAGCAACTGAACATGGTGTTTTGGTTATGGTTTGGCATCTTTGAGTTAGTTAGAGTCAAAGTATGTTGTGCTGATTTTCTCTTGGGATATCGTTTAGGATTCAGGAGAAATTTCAGAAAATGGTGTTTTGTAAGGATGTATGATTTAACGCATGATCTATTTGGTAAATTTGCCTAGGTGCTTCGTTATTTAAATAATATAATGGACGATATCCAATAAAAATAATGATCATCGACCTTAGGGTCTGTTATATATGTATAACATTACATTTACTTTCCTCTGGTCTGTTAATTAATATGATTATATTATGTGGGAGAATTATAACTATATAAAAATAGATCAATAATGATAAAAAAAGAGAAAAATATATTGGGATATGTAGTTATAAAATTATCACAATTGATTTACCTTTGTATGATTAGGATTCTCACATATAATATTGTCATGTTTATTTCCCATTTGATATGCATTTATAGATAGAAAAGAAAAAAATTGGAGGAATAACAATTTGCTAATTCTTATTTTTTTTTCTCATCCTCCCCTTGAATGGAATGAAACAAAAAATTGTGGATTTTATCAAATATTTTCATTCATTTTACGCCTATTTTCGTTCTTTTATTTTTCATAAGGAAAAAGTGTTTGTCATTTTAAATGACATAAATTTATGTCATTTTAAGAGAGATAGACACAAAATATTATTTTTTATTTAAAATTTAAATTAAAAAAAAATCACTCACTTTCTTTCCCATGATTTTCATTTTTTGTGTCTATCTCTCTCCTAAAATGACATAACTTATGTCATTTAAAATGACAAACATCAAACCCTTTTCATAAAACCAAACAAAGAAAATGAAGTCTTTTTTTATTGAACTATATCAACCAAAGAAAAAGACAACTTCTTTATTTTCTCTCCCTTTTCTTTATAATTATTATATGCTTAACTAATCTGCACAAGCATTACTCTCTCTAAATGTGTGTTGCAGCTTCACCCTCTATGTCTTTGTTTAACATTGCTCGAATGTGACAAACCGAAGAGGTCTCACGAGCATCATCATGTTAGTTAAAATCTCGATTTAAATCTGCGCTTTTACGATTTTACGACTTTTTTTAATCAGAACGATATCATCAAAATTTCAAACGCTTTTACGTTTTTACGATTTTTTTTACGTTAGGATTTTACGTTTTATGATTTTTTATTTTTCTTTAGATTTTAGGTAAAATCTCAATTTTAACTACCATAAGCATCATTACTACATTCTTAAAGTAAAAAGTATAATAATTGTTGACTTTATAAAAATTTACATATATAGAGAGAGAGGAAGAATGAAGAAAGTAACAAATAGAACAATATTATATATTGATATGACATGATGTAATTGAGAAGACAAAATATTAAGCTCTATTTATATTAAGGATTCGTTTTTTCTGCAGTTACTGCAGATAATTTATCTGCAGTAAACCTAATACGATATCATTTTGGGACGAAAATCATGGTATTTTTGTAATTTTAATTTATTTCAGGGTTATTATAGTCTTTATATTTATAATAATTTAGTTTTTCAATCCAAAACAACGTTTTTTTGAGAGTAAATGCAGATAATTTATCTGCAGTAACAACAGAAATATTATTCTGTTATACTAAAATAAGAAAATAAATTACGAAATATGTAAAATTAATAAAAATAATTTTAGAAAATTTATAAAATATTTTAAACTATTTAACTGTTTTCAGATACAGTGTTAATATAATACGATCTTTTTTAAATATACTAGTATTTTTTTCTTTTTAACTAAATTCAATCCTCTCTGTAGTTACATTCTAATTGACCGATAAATAAAAAATATGGCGTAAAAATTATTTCTCTTATCTAAGCTATACAATTTGAAATCAAGTATCATCTGTGTGCTTTCTGGCCTCTTGCCCCCTCCTATGTATTAAAAAAAAAAACACCATTGTAAATCAAGAATAATTCAGCTAATTAAAAAGTAAAAAGATATAGAAAATAAAAATGAATCATTTACTAAGCATTAAAAATTTAATTAAGGACATTACAGAGTTAAAAAAAAAAGTGTGCGAGAAATTAGAATTATTGTAAAATAAATAAATAAATATAATAATAATAAGGATTAAATTGGATGCTTTCTAAAATTAATAGTGAAAACTCGGGGTGTTTGCGGTCTGGATTGGATCGGTTTTGGAAGCAAAAATCATCCGATCATATTCCTTCGGTTTTATCATGTAATCATCCATTCGATTTGGATTTTTTTTCAAATCCGATCCAATCCAATCCAATTTTTTCCGGTTTGGATTAGATCGATTTTCGATTTTTTGAAAATCTTAAAAATTGTTTCATGATTATTGTGCAAATAACATCTTTTGTATATGTGTTTGCTTTTTCTGCAGTTACTGCAGATAAGTTATCTGCAGTAAGCCCAATACGACGTCATTTTAAGGAGAAAATCATGGTGTTTTTGTAATTTTAATTTATTTCAGGGTTATAACAGTCTTTATATTTATAATTTTTTAAGATTTCAATACCAAAACGACGTCGTTTTGGGAAAAATGCAGATAACTTGTCTGCAGTAACTGCAGAAACATTTTCCCCTTTGTATATATTGACTTTGTAATTTTATTTTTTTTAAATACAAAAGTATTAGTAAACGATAATATAGTTTTTTTTTGGAAAATGAGATATGAACCTCTACATAGATGAAATTTTGTTGATAAGATGTGACTAATTTTTTTCTTGGGTTTAGTTGATGGGTTAATGAGTGTTGGGTTTAGAAATTTTTGGGCTATGATTGGAGAAAGACCCAAGTAGGTAGAGGGAAATTAATATATTGGATCAGGTTTTATCTACCAATCCGAAAACTGATCTAATCCAATTAAAATTTGCTGTTTTTTTTCGGTTTTCGATTTTTTCGATTTTTGATTTATTCGATTATCGGTTTTTCGATTCGATTACCGCGGTTTGGATCGGTTGATAAACACCCATAATAAAAACTGATATAATTAAATTGGTTTTAAAAAACTTAAAACTGATACAATCGATTTGGTTTTGAAAAAATCAAACCGAAAAGGACATTTTTTTTAGTAACAAGGACCAAATTTATTATTATTATTTCTTTATTTTTTTTCTACTAAAAAAAGTTTTCAATTTCAATTTCCCATTTTAGTAATCGGGATAGGATATTGTGACAACCAAATAGTGTTATTACTAATGTTATTACCACATCTTAACCGTTGATTTCCGCCAATTAACGGTTATCATTTATTGTGAATTAATAATTAATTAATGAGTTTGATTTGAAAATGATAACCGTTGATTGATAGAAATCAACAATTAAGATGTAGTAATAACATTGATAGTAATATTATTTGGTTATTAGAATATCCTATCCCACGCTAATCTCGCTTTGTGTTCCTTTTAAAAGGGTTTTGCGTTCCGCTTTGCTCCTCTTCGATTCTCACGCTGTCTTCTAAAAGGGTTTTATTTTTCACTCTCAAACAAAAACACAATTTTCTTTCGTTTTTTTTTTAATATCAGCCCCTTCCATCTTCCCCAAATTAGGGTTTTATTTAGGGTTTTCTTATTCGCACAAAAAATTGGGTCTTTTTTTGGTTTGGGAATCTCGTTTCTTCGATTCAGGTGAAGGAAGCTGTGAACAATGCCTCCAAGAAAGGTGAAGAGAGGTGCTGCGTCAAAGAGAACAACGAGGGGATCCTCAAAGCCTGCACTTGAGATTCAACAGCAGCAAGAGCCTGAAGCTGTGGATGTGAAGCATGAGGAAAAAAATCCAGTTCTTGATGCTGTGGTCGAGGAGAAACCCATTGATGCGAACCATTTGGCTCCAGAGGCAGTGCCTGATGTGAAAAGTAAGTCACTTTTTTTTTTAATTTAAATTATACGATTTTTATTGAATTTTTTCATTCCAATCTTGGGAGGCTGAGATATGTGCTATGTTATTTCTTATTAGTGTTTATTGTATGTTGTGGGTGCTATATAGGGTTTTGTCTAAAGTTCAAATGTTGGAAACTATTGGTAAAAGTATAGTTTGATTATGTAGCGAGTGAAATCTGATAAATGTTGGAACCTTTCATAGAAAGCATTGCTTTGATAGATCATGATTAGATGTTACCACTCATTATCACTTCTTTTGTACTTTTGTTAACTTGAGATGGACAGCTATTGTATGGGATGGATTTGCTGTGGAGGTGGGTTTTTGTTTTTTGTTTTTTTTTTGCTCTAGTTCTTTTTCTGTTGTGTTAGTGTTATACGTCTTGCGATGTTGGAAATAATTTGAACCAAGAATGATGAGGATTGGTTATGGATTATGGACCACCCCAATTTAATAAATACTGGGATGTTGGAAAAGTTAAGTGTGCTTTGATTGGGATGATTTGAAATATTTATTTTATGGCAGACAATGAAGAGGAAGTTAAGGAGTCCATAGATGAATGTGAAAAAGGTGAACACTTAGATTTGGAGGATAATTATCCTGAGTTTGAACCCGAGGAGTATGGTGGAGTTGACTATGATGAGAAGGAAATTGAACAAGAAGAAGATCAGGAGGTGGGAGGTGAAGAAGAGGAAGAACCCGAAGAGAATGTAATTGAAGAAGAGAGTGATACAGGTGATGAAGAAGTTGAATATGTTTATGAAGAAGTTGAGTGCGATGATGATGTTGATGATGATGATGAGCATGCTGGTGAGGAGCAGGGGCATGAGCATGAACATGATCATGCACAGATGGATGATTTGGAAGAAGAGGAACATCGTGAAGTTGTAAAGGAGAGGCGAAAGCTGAAGGAATTTGAAGTATTTGTTGGGGGCCTAGATAAGGATGCTACTGAGCATGATCTGAAGAAGGTTTTCAAGGAAGTTGGGGCGATTACTGAAGTCAGGCTGATGATGAATTCCCAGACTAAAAGAAACAAGGGATTTGCATTCTTGCGTTTTGAAACTGTTGAACAAGCAAAACGAGCTGTGGCAGAGCTAAGAAACCCAGTGGTAATCTTTGATCTTCTCATGGTTAGAGCAGATTTAAAATTGTTTGCGTATTAGATTTTATGTTTTATCACTACAATTTCAGATTAATGGCAAACAATGTGGTGTTGCTCCAAGTCAGGACCACGATACTCTCTATTTAGGTAACATATGCAAGACTTGGAAAAAGGAAGCTGTAAGTTTTTTCCTTGTTCTATTTCTTGCCACCTTCAAGGCCTGAGTTATGCTTACTAGCATGATGTCCTGTCAGAAGTTTGCTTAGTTTCTAACTGTTAATGGAACTTCTGGTGCCAGTTAAAGGAGAAGTTGAAACACTATGGCGTTGAAAATGTTGAGGATTTGACTTTAGTAGAAGATGGTAACAACGAGGGAATGAACCGCGGATTTGCATTTTTGGAATTCTACTCTCGTTCAGATGCTAAGGAAGCGTATAGGCGACTGCAGAAGAGAGATGTTGTGTTTGGAGTTGATAAGCCTGCAAAGGTTTCCTTTGCAGACTCCTTTACTGATCCGGATGACGAAATTATGGCGCAGGTATTTTTCTGAATCTGATTTCCTACCTTTCGCCATGGGTCGTTACATTGAACCTGTGAAGTATGGTTCATGGATCTTATTGAAGCTTTGGGCTTTTTGCAAACATCTGTGTTGGTTTTCAACATCAGTAATGATTCATTTTTTTAGTAGACTGTATTTTGGGTGCTATGACTTTATTTTTCTGCTGATTATTCATAAAAGAACACTGTGGGTTTATGTTACAATCTGAAACCAGTAACAAGGGAATTGAAAGGAAAATAAGACAAAATGTGTTACTGCAATGGAATCAAGTAAATCCAAGCAGCCATACAAGACATATTCCAGCAATTCCAATTACAATGAAACAGTCAACACAGGTGAAATGAAATTGGAATGAAAATGGAAAGGAAAATGGAATAAAAGAAACCACCCTGAAGAATTAGAGAGCTCCTGGTCTCTCCCAAGCCCAAATCCACAGATCCCGAAAGATGATTTTCCTTGCCCATGGTTCACCCCTTTTAAGTAGTGTTTTCTCCTCCAGCAGAATTCAATTACCAGCTTCAGGATCCTTCTTTGTTAACAAACTTGCTGACTCAGCACTTGGCTATATTCTTCTAATTCTCCTTCTTTCGTACATCTTGTTTGATCAAAGTGTACAGCTTACTTTTAGGGTTGATTAATAAATTTCTCCGAATTTAACCCAGTTTACTTTGGAGGGGGAATACGACAAAACTTTAATGGTTTTAATGTATGGACAAGCATGGATTCTATCCTTGCTGTGGTTGTTAGTGTTTAGCTGTTAATATACCTTATATTTGCTGATCAAGTGCTTTCAGTGCAGCTGATCAAGTATGTCTAAGTTGCAGGTTAAAACTGTGTTTATTGATTCACTGCCTCCTTCATGGGATGAAGAGTATGTTCGTGATCTTCTTAAGAAATACGGGGAGATTGAAAAGATTGAGCTTGCTAAGAACATGCCAGCTGCCCGTAGGAATAATTTTGGTTTTATTACGTTTGGTACTCATGCTGCTGCTGTGGAATGTGCTGATAGCATTACCAGTGCGGGGTTAGGTGAAGGTGACAAGAAGGTTTGTTTGGCTTTTAAATACAAAGTACATGTGCAACTGCTAAATGTTGCAGTTTATAATGCTTCCAGCTTCTTTCAGGCAAAAGTTAGGGCTAGATTGTCAAGACCTCTTCAGAGAGACCGTGGCAAACGTGTTCGTCATGGGGACTACCGTTCTGGCCGCAATTCTGGAAGATTGGCAAAGCCTTCACGGAGTCGACCTGCACCACGTAGTCGTCCTGCCCACGTGGTGAGAGGAATTGGAAGCCGTGTTCCGCCAGTTAGGCCTGTTAGTGTGAGAGATAGACGTCATGTTGCATCCATGCCAGTGAGAGCTAGGCCACTGGCTCGTCCAGCTAGATCCTATGACAGGAAATTGGCTGGTATGAATTATATATATATTTTTTCCCTCTTTTTTATTTCTAAACAGACTACCTATTGTTAGTCTTTCTTTACGAATAATATACTATGATATTGTTTTGTTAGCACCTGTATATACAAAAAGTAGCTCGAAAAGAGATTATGATCGACGTGAGGATATGCAACCTCCAAGTAGAATTTCTGCAGATTATGGCTCTAGGTTGGCCTCTCAAAGACGCCCATCTTCTAGGGATTATCCAGCCCGTGGCTCTGGCTACGCTGAGCTGCATAGAAGTACATCTCATGCTGCACCAAGGAGAGGTTATGTGGATGATGGCTATGGCCAAAGATTCGAGAGGCCTGCTCCTCCTCCTCCTCCTCCTCCTCGTCTTAGCTATCGTGAAGCGCGCCCCCATGATTATGACTCTCTATCTGGCTCTAAACGTCCTTATACTGCTATAGTAAGTATTATTTCTAAACGTATGTTGTGATGGTATTGTTTTAAATCTCATCTTAGTTCTGGTTTTAGTGAATGAAATTCTTTTTACTTTTTTTTTTTTTTTTTTATAACAAAAATTCTTTTTACTTTCATTTGTCATCAGGATGATGTTCCTCCACGGTATGTGGATACTGGTGCTCGGCAATCAAGACCACGTTTGGACTATGACTATGGAGGTAGCGCTTCACAGTATTATGGTGATAGGTTAGTTTCCTCTAAACAGGATTCTTGGATTCTCCCTGCCCCGGCAAAAAGAAAAAAGAGGGGCATAAAACCTACCGCATTTTTCTTTGGTTCTGATTCCTTTCATTTTGTTGTAGACTTGGAAGATCTAGTCTGGGATATAGTGGCAGCAGAAGTTCTATTTCTACTCAAGACTCACATGGGACATATAGCAGTCGACAGGGCATTAGTTATGGCGGAGGTGGATATTAATGCAGATAATCTGATATTTTGAACATCAAATGTTATTTGCTCAGTCCTTACATCTCTATTATGTGTTGCATGTCAGGTTCTTTTGGTGGTAGTGATGGTGGTTTGTACTCATCAAGTTATGATGGTGATTACGTATCTCGTGGAAATGATGTAATGTTACTAGCCTTTCTCAATTGGAATCAGTGTTATATATGGTTACCTATTTGTGACATTCGTATATTTTATTGTGCTGGTGCTGTAGGTTGGTGGAAGTTCGTATTCATCCATGTATCCTGGCAGGGGTGTGAGTGGTAGCAGCAGTTATATGGGTGGTGGGGGATCTAGGTCTTATTATTGAGGTAAGTCGATCTGATAAGTCCTTGTTATTATTGCATTTTGTGAAGTACTAGGGGAATTGCCCATTAGTGTCTATTTGGATCCTCTTTTTTTTAGCTTATTTTCTCCTTACAAGTAGAAGCTAAGGCACGAAAGCTCTTATAATAAAGAGTTTTTTTTTTTATAATGAAGAAAAAAGCCATAAGCTCTTATCAACTTTTCTTGAAATGTGTGTTTTTTTTTTTTTTTAACTTAACAGCTTTTAAGCTAAAAAATTTATATAATCATAATAATCACCAAATAGCATTTAGCTTTTTTCCAAGCTTTTTTTTTTTTTTTTAGTTTTAGCTTAAAAAACAGAAGATCCATACAGGCTCTAAATATCTTTTACTGAGAGATTTCTCTGTCATTGAATGGCATCTCTATATTTTTCCGTAAGGGATGACTGATGAAGATTGCACACCTGGTCACTCGTGACTTTGTCTATGAACAGATCTAAATATAATGTAGAGGCTGCTGTTGGATGTGGACTTTTGAAGCTTATGCTAATGCACGTTATGTTGCTGAACATTGCTAAGTAATAGCCTGGTTTGGGAATTTGTCACAAATCAGGGGTTATGTCTATTCAAGATAATCTCAAATCCTCTCTGGATGGATGTATACTGAGTTCTTGAATTTGTGCTGTAAGTACTGAAGTTAATTAGAGATGGAAAGAAAAGTGCTGAGCATGTGATGTGTAATTAAACCTCGTTTTACAAGACTCTCATATGAATGGATAATGTGAAACATCGCTTCATGTCGGCGGATGTTACTTTTGGTTAAGGATTATTGGGATTTTCCTGCTGTCAACAAAGTTCATTATTTTTTTTTAATCACAACAGAGTTGTTTTGTTACTTTGGATTGATTTCTTTTTGCCTGTGCAATTTCTTTTTGTTATGCAATTATTTTTGGGCGCTTTGTTACTCTCCAATTGCATAACGTGAAAAGACAAATTGTCGTGTGCTATATGATTGGAAAATGCAACATTGACGTGATTGTAGTTGGTGTACCCTGTGCATGGCGTCAACAAGACAAATTCTTTTCACATGCTTTTTAGGCTTTTTCAGATCTTGATGCTGCTTGGAAGTAGTTGGTGTCAGTCTTTGTTTCCATGGTTCTTAGCTTTTTTATAAATAGTTTTCATTTAATTACCCTTCACATGAATAGGGTTTTTTTTTTTTTTTTGTTACTGAGTTTCTAATTTACTGATCTTATATTGTGGTTGTATCGTGATATGCTCTCGAGATTAGTTTGTTTCCCGAGGGGTTACGGAAGTGGGGAATGAGGTTTTTCCAAACTGACCCCTAGTAATATTCGCTTTTACTAGATTCTTAATTTGGAAGATGCTTGATTTCCTAAAACTCATAATGGGCAAGTTTATGTTTGCTTTTGATTAGAAAGCATATACTGTCATAAAATAAATAAAGCATATAAGATATACATATTTTACATAAAACGAATTATATAATCAATCATTAAGTGTGTGGTGACAAGTGCTTACAAATTTTTTACATAAATGATTATATGAACATCATTACTTAACAATAGGGATCTCATCTTGATTCCATACCAAATTTATTGTATATATATAAAGCATTAATTATGGGAAATTATAATCATACAAAGATAGAAATAAATATAATATTTTTATTTTTTAAAATTAATTTTGAACGCGGACTTCCTTTATCCCATTCAAAACGACCTAGTTTTTAGGTGACTGCACCAATGCTTATATATATATGGTCATTTTGTGACTTATACATAAATTTTAATTCTTTGACTATAAATTATCTAAATACAAGGAGGTAGGATATTTATACTACCAAATTTTTCTACTACTACTTCACTACCACTCTAATCACCATTGGATTAGAGGAAAAGTTGAATGAAGAGAGAGAGAAAAAAAAAACAACTTTTGAATCCAATGGTGATTAGAGTGGTAGTGGAGTGGTAGTAAAAAAATTTGGTAGTATGAATATCATATCTCAAATACAAGCATCACTAACAAGAAAGTTTCATTTTATTATCACAATTTTCATTTCATTGACTATTCTGTAATACAGTTTTAAAAACAAAAAAAAAACACAATCAAATAAACCCATCACTTCTCGTGCCCGTGTTTGACTTCGTGATTTCTACCATTCTTTCTCAAGCCAAACTACTTATTTTGGGTGCATTTGTTTTAAGGATAGTTAGTTTTTGTGGAAAAATTAAATATACAAATATGATATATATATTTTTTATATTTACAAATATGATATTTTAATACTCAATACAACGACATTATTGATTTGTAATATGAGAGAATCATAATTATTCATGACAAATTAAAGGTGATAAGAGATGAAAGAATCATAATCATTCATGACAAATTAAAGGTGATAAGAGATGAGAGATAAAAAAATATCAAGATATGGAGTAACAAAATTATTACCGATAATTTTTCCATAAATAATTATGATATTAAATAACACATAATTCATTTCCGAACACGGGCTTTCCCATTATATAAAAATGAAAATTGTAACCCAAGAGTTATTGGTCTTGATCCGAGTATACACTCGGATAGGTCCACCGGGTTTAGATCCAGAGGTTAGGCCCTTTTAGAGAGGACCTGGACTTCGCCACCCGGATAAGGTGTATTTAGAAAGAACCCGGGTCGTGGGATCATACCCACGATCCTTTTCCACTCTCTGATACCCACAATCATCCCTTAACCAAACTATACTAATGCCACGATCACCGTAATAATTGTATCTTCTAAGAATCCGCACCGTTAATTAAGAAAGTTAATCAATTAATTATGTGAAATTAGGAAATAATTCCATAATTGACCCTAATAATTATTATGAGGCTTTAATAATTATAGTAAGTGATTAAGAATGCTGAAAGTCGCTTTTCGGAAGAAAAGTGCAGATACCGGTTCTGCTAGTCGGTATAAATACGTACCGAAAAAGTATCTCGGAAAATTATAATAAGTGCATGATAATTACTAGAATAATATGTAAGACTTGTAAAACGAGTTTCAAGTCAAAATAATGAGAACTGATGCCAGAAACTGGTACTGGCTACGAAAAGCGCGTACCGAAAAAGGTGCTCCGAAAATTATAAGAAAAATATGATAATTCTTGTAAAATTGAGTAGGTTAAGGGTGTGCATGACAACCTTTCCAGAATCAATTCTTTTTTAATTTTTGTTCGAGAGAATAGAAATGGATAAGAAACTCGTATGGTAAAATCGGTTTATTTTTTTGTTCCCGGGATGAACCGGTTTAATTTTTGTGCTGGGGAACAGAAAAAAGAATCAGAAAATTTCAGTTTTTTGTTCCCTGGCACAAAATGAGAAACACTTATATCTCTCAATCACTCTCCACCTCTACCATCATCACCACCACCACCATCATCCCGACACGACTGCCGCCACCATCGTCGCCGCCTCCATCGTACCTCTAGTGTCGTCGTCACCACCCCTCACCACCACGATGCCACCGCCACCATTACCACCTCCTCCACTACCACTACCACCACCACCACCTATCACTACCACCATGCTACCGTCACCACCACCACAACTACCACCACCACCACCACTATCACCGTCACTGTCACCGTCACCACCACTACCTCCATCAACCACCACCACCACCACTATCATCGCAACCACTGCCGTCACCGCCACCATTGTCATCACACGCCACTGCCACCACTACCACCACCACGACGCCACCACTACCATCACCACCACTGTCACCAACCACCACCACCACCATCGTCACAACCATTACTGTCACCACTGTCATCATTACACCACCCCCGCCACTACCATTACCACGCCATTGCCACCACTACCACCACTACCACCACCGCCACCATCACCACCACCACTGTCACCTACCATCACTGTCGCAGCCACTGCCACCACCACCACCACCATGCTACTGCTACCATTGTTGCCGCCACCAACTACCATACCCACCACCATTGTCGCAGCCATTGCCGTCACAACCACTACCACCACTATCTTCACCATGTCACTGCCACCACCACTACCGTACTGTCGCCGCCGCCACCATCACAACCACATCATATGGAAAGGAAAGTGATGATTCAAATTTTTTTATATTTAATAGGCATTATTTTTATTGTATTATTTGTTGTGTTATCAAACACAATTCTCATTCTCGGAATAAAAATAGAACATGTTAGCAAACACAATTTTTTCTCAGAAACTGTTCCAAGGCACAGAAATAAAAAAGAATATTTCTTTTCATAAACAGTGCTAGGGAATAGAATGGTTGTCATGCGCACCCTAAGAATCCTGAGTTTGGGATTAAAATGCTAAGCGTAGCAATTAAAGTTAATACTGTGTGTTAAAGACTTAAGTGACTATAAATGTAACTTATGCACAAAACCCTAGGCCATATTGGCTTCCTACATGAATGCTCAGCTGCTGAGTGCCTCTTCCTTTGCTGTTCATCCCTTCCTCTTCACCTTGAGAGCCAAGAAGTCATCTTTCTTCTTGGTTTCTTCATCAAACACTTTGTGGAGTGTAGTGTGAGTGGGGAGAGTGCTTTTGTTCTGAGTTTTGTCACTGCCTTGTGAGGCGTGAGGGGCTGAGTTGGTGGTTTTGGTTGTGGGAACCTTGGAGTTGGCTTTTTGAGCTTCAAGGTGTGATCTTTTGGTGCAAGAATCAACCTTTGGTGTGGCATTTTCGTGCACCTTCTTGGTCTGCATTGTTTGAGCTGTTTGGAGAGCTCCATGAGCCTTTGCTTTTCTGTTTTGAATCTTGAGTAAGTGGTTCTACCTTTGATCTTGAGTTTAATGGGTTAAAAATGGTGTCTTGGTATGTTTAATGAGTTAAACATGTAACCAATTGTCTTATGAACATAAATGGACCTTAAGATGCATGTTTAAGCTTCTGAAAGTGTTAAAAATAGAACCTTGGAAGGATATCTTCACGAAAAGCAGAAACTGCATTCTGTCGCGAAATATCCGGATATCTGCTCGTAAAATATCCGGATATTGGATATCCGGATATGGGGATCTGGATATCCAGATATTGATATCTGGATATTTCCTGAGAGATATCCGGATATTGCATATCCGGATATGCCCTAGAGGAATATATGGATATTCTGGGTTTGCGAGGAACAGTAGCGTACTGTTCACCCAGAACTGATCTAGGGGTTTGTGGACCCTAGTTTGAGGAAGTTGAACTTTTGTAATTAATTAATGTAAGTCAGAATCATATGATTAAGGGCTTATGACATGTGTGAAGCCTTAAGACGTAAAACGTAATGGAAAGACGTTGTCTTAATATTGTATGCTTGCGGTGCATGTTTATTGATATATCATTGGTCCGTAACAGATTGTGAATCTGTCGTGTTTGGACTTTGAGCTGTGGACTCTTGGCTTTGGGTGTTAGCTTACAAGGTAAGCTTTCGTGTCCTCGGTTTAGCCATGTTGTGGTTCCACCATGTCTCATGGGGGTATGGTTATATGCATGTTGTGTTACATGCTTTGGATATTTTGAAATGCTTTTGAGCTGATATGTGCAATGGCTTATAATATGTATGTGTTGTTTCCACTTAGTCGGTAAGCCTGAGTATGTGGCGTCATACAAGATGGTGAGTCCGTGGGTGGGTGCAAGTAGCGTCGTGCATATTGTGTGGGTAATAGACGTATTCCTGCATTTCTTTGACTAGTAGAATAAAATTGACACACATGACATGATTATCTGCTGCATTGCACTATTTTAGAACTGATGATGATAAACTGCTTTTGAACTTATATTGCACATGCAAGTGAGCTTCAGGTGGATAATCCTTAGGACCCTTTGCCTTACTGAGATTTCTTGTTTAGAGATCTCACTCCACGTTTGGGGAATGCTTATTTCAAGTTCAGGTAGTATGGTGACTGATGCCTCTGGTGACAGGAGGCCAGAGCTTAGCTGATTATGATATTTATGTTGTATTGCTGACATGACTAGATTGGATGCTGTTTATGTTTTCTGCTCTTTATGATTTGAGTTGAGACTTTCTTTGGGCTTTGTTGCCTTATTTGGGTGAGCATGAAAGTTGTCCATGCCACTATGTTGTTAGTACTTTTGAGTTGAGTTGTATAAACTGATAGTTGGTCCGGTCTACGTGTTGTAGTTCCGTGACTAGAGACATACATTATGCTATTTAATTAATGAGGTATTTCAGTTAGCTGTTTTATTGCAATTGCATATAGGCGATGTTTTATTAATCGATTAATAAGCAAGTTGGTAATGATAATGACTTCATAATTGAAAAGAAAAAGATATTCCGCATTTTTAATTAAGCGCAGCTTAATACGATAGTATGATAACGTTACCGGATATATACGGAGTGTTACATATCTCAAGGCTCGTATAAATATATCAATAGTACCTAAGAACAAACACTTCCGTCACATTGCATTATCCTATACACTTTGAACCTTAAACCATTGATACCGGATCAATCCATACTTAGCATTACATTACATCCAATACAGTACCCTACCATCTTAATATAATATAGTAGTTGGTGTTCACGCTGAACAGATTTAGTGGCGACCCAGGTAGATCCTGGGATTGACCTCCCAAAAGATAATGAGTTTGATTCTTGAGAGTCACAACTCTTGGGAAGGGTAAAAAGGTTCAAATCCGAAATCAAATTAACAATTGTTAAAAATATAAGTTGTCCCATTATATTGTATATGAAGAAAAAGAGACAAAATATAATTAGTTTATATTGTCATATAATCCGCCATTTTCGGTTCTTAAATATAATTTTTTTTTTCAAACACAGCTATTAAGAATTACTCTGGTTCAATAACTTTTTATGGGTATCAGTAATTTGATTAGTCATGAAGTATTTATTACTTATTAGTTATTACTTATGCTGAATGAATTTCAAATATTTATTAATAAAATTGACAACAAATAAATATTTTATGATTTACTAATCTCAGCAGAAAATTCAACACTAGCGCAAGTTATTTGGATCCAAATCCAGACACCTTTTGGGCTAACCAAGCCGGCCTAATATTTCATATATATTAGGGAAAACTTTAAAAAAACCCCTATAAATTTTCTTAAAATCACTTAACTCCCTCCCCGAAATTTTTAATCATTTACCCCTTACTCAAATTATTTTATCACTTACCCCCCTAATTTAATTTTGCATCCAAAATTTTGTTAAATTTTTTAGAAGGTACCAAAATTACTCTTAATAGAAAAATGAAAAACATAATTTCCTCATAAACTACTTTGTAACTAGTTTAATATGTCTTTTTAATTTAAGGGATGATTGCTTAATTTTAAGCTTGCAAACAATTGCTTAATTTTAAGTTTTATATCAAATCATTTGTTATTATTATTATAACAAGGAGGTATCAATTGTGTATTTAACTACGCTTAAATCACCTTGTGGTTCGAGAATTAGCTATGATAAAACATAAAGCTTTTTAAAAGGTATCAATTGTTTGCAAGCTTAAAATTAAGCAATCATCCCTTAAATTAAAAAGACATATTAAACTAGTTACAAAGTAGTTTGTGAGGAAATTATGTTTTTTTTTTTTTCTATTAAGGGTAATTTTGATACCTTTTAAAAAATTTAACATGATTTTGGATGGAAAATCAAATTAGGGGGGTAAGTAATAAAAAATTTGAGTAGGAAGGTAAATGATTAAAAATTTCGGGGAGGGGGTTAAGTGATTTTGAGAAAACTTGTAGGGTTTTTTTTTGAAGTTTTCCCTATATATTAATAAATATTTCGGGGAGGAAGTTAAGTGATTTTGAAAAAATTTATAGGGATTTTTTTAAAGTTTTCCCTAATATATATATACAATATTGGGCCGGCTTGGGTAGCCCAAAAGGTGTCTGGATTTGGATCCAAATAACTTGCGCTACTGAGATTAGTAAATCATAAAGCTACAAGTTATTTGATTATTATATAAAATTTTGAACTTAAAAACTGTTTATTTAAAAACAAAACACCTATTTTTTTTTAAAAAATCTGATATAAATATAAAAAAATTATTTTCAGGAGCTTTTATCTTTTACTTTTTTCTTCGTTATAAAAAAAACTCTTTTTATTATAAAATTTTATTTAATCTAACTTATGCTTATAAAAAAGAAAAATCGAAACATGCACTTAATATGGATAAAAAGTTGTAGGTGCAAATAAGTTTATAAAAGTAACAAAAATAATTAAAATATTACGTAAAAAAAGTGTCGTTATTTTCTGCTGATGAAGCATTACCTTTGGGTTTGTTGTTTTTATTGCAAGTTTCGTCATGAAAAGCTGCGAAGGTGGTGGTTGTTGTTGTTGTTGTTGCAGAATCATCTGTTGTCGATACCATAAACTTGTCACAAACCTAAGAAGAAGCAGAGGAACAACGAAGGAACCCCATTTTCTGAAATGGGTCGTCGCCAAAACGACTCAGGTTTCGGTAGATATGCGCTTCTGGTTCTCTTGTTGATAGGTACAATCTCCTGTTCCATGGTGTATCTTTTCCTCACTGTGATCTTCAGGTCGAGCAGTGCATCTGTGTCTTCAATGAAAGACTTTGATGAAAAGGGTGATGTTGGTGGTGGCGTTGAGGATTTGGGGAGTGGTGAAGAAGGGCAATGTTGTAGAGGGATTGAGCATTTGGAGCTATGGGGTGATGCTGTGAAATGGGGTGCTGAATTTAGGGTCAATTCTTCAGAGGAATGTTGCATGGCTTGTAAGAGAATGTGTAGAGGTGATGGTGGACCTTGTTTGTGTAATTCCTGGGTGTTTTGTGGAGATAGAAAGGCATGTGGACCTAGATTTGGTGAGGTATTGTTGCAATTCTGCATTCCTTTTAGTTTACCATTGTACTTGATCATATCTGGAATGTGATTTAGGATCCTGGGTTTTGTGTGTGTGTTTTTTAACCTTGTAACTGCAGTGATGAGCTGTTTTCTTGGAGATTTTGTTGAGATCCTGAATTGGGTTGGGAAATGACCTGTTGTTGAATTTTAGGAGATTGCTTGGTCGGAGTAAAAATGGAATAATAATAGGGGAAGGATAATAAGGATGTATCTAGGCATATGTTTTGTCCAAGCTGTATATCGTTTAACATTCATGAACTAATAATTTAAATGATGCCACCATCTATGTGAATGTTGAAACCACTTGAATGACTTAATTTCCTGGAATGTTTTTTAAAAGTCTTTTCCTCCCTCTGCAGATGCTTAAATTGTCATGTTTAAGAGGTTCTTATTTTCAAAATCTTAATAATAATGCTTTCAATTTTTGCATACTTACCAATTGGTGTTTATTACACCTACATTGTTCTGTTTATTTAATACTTGACACATAATGAACTTGTAGAGGTTATCGCAAAGATCCTTTTAGATAGCTATCTGTCTAGTTGGCTTAATGCTTTTGTTGGTTGGGCATAATAGTGCCATACTACCATCATTGTAAAGATATGCTGCTCTTTTAGCTGGTGAAGTTTATTATTGATTCAAATATACAATTGTGTAAGGATGGAATATTTTTTGTTTTTTGGGCATAGAATTTTAGATGTACTTTATCCTAATATTATATTATTACCTTCTCTTGTTTCAGTGTTGGTTAAAAAGACAAAAAGATGCTTTAAACCCTGATCGACGAGACTCAGGAGATCAAGTTATGTGGACTTCTGGGTTTGTCTTTGATAAGGGAGAGGTAGGAATGTTATATTATTGGAATTAGTTCCTCATTGACACATACTACATATATCAATATGAGATATGTATCTATATCAAATTATCTATATAAAAGTATTTTCTGTTTTTGATAATAAGAAGAAATTCGTTAGGACAGGGAAAAGTCTACAAAGAGAACATAGGATAAGTAATCCTCCTCAGCAGAAGTACAAGACCAAAAACTACAAAGAAAAAAGACCAAATCAATGCAATGAAGCTGTCTGTAACAGACAAACTCCACTAAACCAGAAATAAGAAAACAAATGAGAAATGTATGGCATTGATTAAACTGAATCAAATAAACCAGAAGAATTACAAGCCATTTTGTGGTACTGATATGGATATTCTCTATACAAGAAATCATGGAAAAGAAAAGCAGAAAGAAATGATAGCCTTGGGGAACTGTAGTGCTCCTAGTCATGGGACATTGACCGTACTGTCCCTTTTTTCAGAAAAAATGTCAGAATGCCACCCCAATCAGAAATTTTGCCAAAATGTCATGACACCAAACTCGCTACAACTACCAGGGAGTTTGGTTTGGCCATATGGCATGTTTCCCAAGGCCACCAAACTCATTACTAGTTGTAGCGAGTTAAGTGGTCAAATCAATCAGTCTGATTTCTGCTTTTCAGTAACAGGTGGAGGAGAGAGACAAACTTGCTGCAGGGTGCAGCGAGTGAAGTCTCAACCATAACAGAACTCGTTGCTACATGTAGCGAGTGTAGCTGACACTTAGCAATATCTATCACTCTACTTGATGTCAGCTAGCTATTATGTCTTTCATAGTTCACATAGCAAAAATAGCTTATCAGTGGACCAGCTTGTCTAGTCAACGCACTTAGCAATGTCTATCACTCTACCTAACACTTTACCTTACTTTATTTTCTTCTATTAAATTATATTTGTACAAGTTTTTTTTTCCACTGAACTCTAATAAACTTTCATATAACTCAATAATAAAATCAACTTATTGTTTAATATGGGTGAAACCCCCAATGTTTCTAACAAAAGAAAAGAAAATCTCATCTTACTACATGCTAATCCTTCTAAAGTTAATATATATGTATATATTCTTGCTATTATAATTTGATCAGACGAGGTTCAACCTCTGCAGACCTCAATTTTATCTTCAAGCGTTTGTAATTTATTAGACACATATGAACAATGCCAAATGCAACAAATTGAAAATAAAATAAATAACTCAAATATTGGAGCGATGCCTATTGTGGTGGATGATTTTGCCTCGATGTTTCACACTGCTCCCTGCTTTTAAGCTCTCTAAGCTAGCCACACCTAAAAAATAATGTGGTTTTCAGGTGACGAATATAAATATATATCTATTTCATTTAAATAATATCAAATGTAGTAAGATTAACTTCAGAAGGATTATCATGCAGTAAGATAAGATTTTCTTTTCTTTTGTCGTAAACATTGGGGGTTTGACACATTAAATAATAAGTTGATTTTATTATTGTTATATGAAAGTTTATGAGAGTTCAGTGAAAAAAAAAACCTTGTACAAATATAATTTAGTAGAAGAGAATAAAGTAAGGTAGAATTGCCAGGTAGAGTGATAGACATTGCTAAGTGCATCGAATAGACAAGCTGGTCCATTGATAAGCTATTTTTGCTATGTGAACTATGAAAGACATAATAGCTAGCTGACATCACGTAGAGTGATAGGCATTGCTAAGTGTCAGATATACTCGCTACATGTAGCAGCGAGATCTACTACTGTTGAGGCTTTACTCGCTGCACCCTGCAACGAGTTTGTCTCTCTCCTCCACGTGTCACTGAAAAGCAGAAATAAGACTGATTGATTTGATCACTTAACTCGCTACAACTAGTAGCGAGTTTGGTGGCCTCAGGCAACGTGCCACGTGGCCTAACCAAAATCCCTGGCAATTGTAGCGAGTTTGGAAAGGTGGCATTTTGGCAAATTTTTTTGACTGGGGTGGTGGCATTCTGATAATTTTTTTGAAAAAAAGGGCAATACGGTCAATGTCCCCCTAGTCAATCCCAAACACCAAAGGTGTCCCTATAACTAAATAACCCAAGATACCCCTCCCCCTAACAGATTCTCCCATCTTATAGTATGAATTTCCCTCTCCACTCCTAACCACCTTCGGCCCTCACATTTTCTCCATTTGTTGAGTCAACAGTTGGTTGCACTTGATTCACCCTCATGTGATCCAAGGTTCTCCTATATCGCTGCCTACCGTACACCTGAAATTGGGGTGGGTTCCTATCACTGTCCAATCCCTCAACATATCCACTAGAGAAACCCCATTAAAAAGGTCATGTGCTTGACACCAGATTGAAACCAAATGCCTAATTTTATCCCAAATCAAGTGCTGTGCCATTGAAACCTCCTTAGAAATACAAGAGCTACACTCCAACCAAAGGTGCCAAATTGTAAAAAGTTTATGTTATGGATTACACTATGAAAATCTTCTATACTGGACAGTAAACAAAATAAACGAATTGCTGAATTTCCCCCCTATTTGGCTGTAAGAAAAGGCAGAAACATTTACTGTACAAATAGGAAGGCCAAGTTCTGCATTCCCTACCAGTTAATCTGTTAATGTTTGAACTTGGGGACATTTATATTTTTGAAACAAATTCTAAAGTACTTTTGGAGGATTTCTAATACCAAGCCTCATTATTGTTTGTATGCATATTGAGAATCCAGCTTTATGTTAGAATTGCTTCATTCTAAGAACTGAATACATATTAATGAATTTTTTTTTTATGATCATAATGTCTTTATATAATTAATATATATGTCATCTTTATGACAATAAATGTATTTAGTGAGTAAGCAATGATTTATGTTTATAGCAATGTGCTCAAAATATATTTTCAATAATATACTTGTTGTCTTGTGAACATCTGTAAGCTATGTGATTGTTGTCTATGTATTTTAGTTTCTCTATTTCTTTGAGCTATATATTTATCTTTACCTTATAATTTGTACTTTTAGGCAATTGTTGGTCTGGAAACTGACTATGGAATTCTTCGTATTAAAGTAAGTATTTCTCTGCATGTCCACTATAGTATACATTCATTCCACTCTTTTACCTTGGTTATTTTGTATCCAATATGCTGAGCGTGTCTTGCATTTTATCATATTTTCTATTGTCTATTCCTAAATGTATAATCTAGCAAATGAGGCATGTCCAATGTGTTGCAAAACTCGTTTAAAAAGAATACAATCGTTAGCAGATTGCTTATTTGCCTCTCTACATATTTCTGCATGTATGTGTGTAAAGGAGAGGGACGATGCCTTGATAATGAAGGACTTTTCTGAGCTTTATTTAATACTTTTCTTTGGTTAGTCAGCTTTGTTTTCTCAATGTGCTATTGTTGAGTCATTTTTCAGATGGACCATGGGAATTTCAACTCACAATCCGTTGTAGGAGCCTGTTGATACATTAGTATATCTGTATATGTGACCGGAGAGAAAGAGAAAAAATATGTGACCGGAGAGAAAGAGAAAAAAGATTTTTATACTTTGTTTATAATTTCTTGTTATTACACCCATTTATACTTTGTTTAGTGCACTGTCAGATTACTTTTTTTCTCATGATGATTATTTTGTGGCTTGAATCATTCATCTATTACATAATTCTTGTTCTGATTATATGGTGAATTTTTAAAAAAGTTGCATCTGATAGAATCAGCCAAAGGTTTGGAAAGTAGAAATTGAAGACAATTTATTGGATAGAAGATCTCTTTGAGAAGTTATATACGTCTTATGACTTTTGTGTGGAATTTGGGTTCAAAAACGCCTGTAAGGGTAGTTGTTTTGTTGCATACAATCTTGGAATCTAGGATTATGAACTTGCAAGGAAAGTAACTTCTTACTAGGGTTGATACAAAGTGCAATTTGTCAACCAGAATTTGATACAAGTTCAATATTAGATATGCAAGTTTCAATAGACAAGAAGTGACTGAGGGCTGTATCGGTGGTAACTATACCAAGCAAGTAGTTATAGCTTGAAGATATTGCATATATCTTCATCTCTTCCTTATACTTTCCTTTAGTTGGAGAGTGTGGCTGTGTGCAAGGGAGGAGGTGTTTAGATTAGAACTCTGCCTCTTGTTTTTCCCTTGTGAGATAAGGATTCTGTCTTCTCTAAGTATTAATCGGATTCTGTCTTCTCTATGTTTTAATCATGCTGTTATGTGGCTTGCAATGTTATGTCATGACCAATATCTGGATATAATTGCTTGAATGCTTGCTGATATATGATTTCTGATATGATATTCCAATGTTCATCTAGTTTGAAAGGAGGAAACAAAAATAAAGGGTTCTCATCATGATTTAGCAAGAACTAGTTAAATTTTAAATTAGTTTTTCATTTCCATCTACCTTTGAATCGTGCACTTAAGGAGGTTTTTCATCTATTCTTCTGGAGTTGAACATGAATGTAATATCTAAACCCTTTTATGAACTTTCATTGCTACAGCTTTTGCCTGACTGTGCTCCACAATCTGTTGCCTACATTCTTCAGTTGTTGGCATTGCCTCATTGTGTTGGTTGCCAGATTTATCGTGCTGAAAGCCGTGCAAGCTTTTGGGATTCCGTAGGAAACCACATAAAAAAGGTAAGGTTTATTATGTGAATAATTATAAAATATTGTACATGCATATTACATTATTGCGTAGTGGACTTAGTGAAAGAAAATGGATCTATCTTACGTGAAAATGCCAGGAAGACGCTCATATTTCGAATCTGCTCCCTTCTAGACTTTTAGTGCGAGCTTCTTTTAGAGATTAGAGTTAGTCCAGTTTGAATATCACTTGGGTTTTAGTTTAATATAAAAACATAATGAAGTTTTCTGAATCCAAGGCTTAAAAGTTCCAAACTTCTGCTCCCATGCTGAATTCCTGTTATCCTGCTTTCAATTTAAATGATATTAAATTAATTCATTTTGATTTCATCCTGTACTTGCATCTGCTTCATTTCTGTTAGAGTAGTTGTTAGAATAGTTTAGTGTATATAGTCTCACATCTTGTGGGTTTAGCTTATTAGGTCTTTTAATCTCTTTAAATAGAGAGCTCTTGTACATTGTAACACATTATTATTCGATATACAATTATTCCGCTAAGACCTAGTAGGCTTAGCCCATTAGGTCTTTTAGTCTCTTTAAATAGAGAGCTCTTGTACATTATAACACATTATTATTCAATATTCAATTATTCTTTAATCTCAAGTTGGTATCAAAGCTATTTGTTCTGGGGATCCCCTTCCACTAAAACCCTAAGCCCACTGCTTGGGTGCTCTCTTTTACTTTGTGGTGCGTCCTTCTGGCAAGTCTTCATCAGTCGTGTGTCCTTCCAGCAGATCCTCTACGCCGTGCGTACCTCCGACTTTTTTCTTCAACCGTCAGAACCACCGATCGCCGCTAGAACCACCGTTCGTCACTGTTCACAGCCACTGGAGTACTGTTATGGCATGTTTTTCAACTGGGAAGCTTTCGATCAGAGTCCTCTCTCTCCGGCGACCAAGTCTGTGGAAGACCCATCACCAGAAGAGTCCCTACGCGCCTTCACGCACGACTCCTTCTCCTTGCGCGTGGTGCTCACGCGCCTCCCTTCACTGGCGCGTGTGAACTATTCCGGCGTCCTTTTCCGGTCGTTCCTGGACAGACTAGCTCGGTTTTTCCTCCTCTTTCCAGATCTGTGCTTGGTTCTTTGTGGGTCTCACTTTCGACGTTCTTGAGTGGCTATCGTTTGCCTTCGTTTTTGGCTTTTATATTTTGTTATTAGTGGCAGCAACGTCCCCTGATCTCTCGGAGGTTAACTCTCCTACTCCTGCCAAAACTTCCTTGGAAATCATCTCTACTAATGTTGGGCCCATTACCTCTTCCAATCTGAAGGGTTCTGATAACTACAAGAATTGGGCCACCTCTCTTGCTGCGAATATAGCTCAGTTAGACACTACATCATCTGGTTCAGTTTCTCTCTCACCTGCGGACTATGCTGCACTCCAGACTCTTCTCATGAAGGCTTCTCCTCAGTTTCAGCCTTCCGCTCCAGATACTGGTAATCCTGTTACTTGTGTTTCTCATTCTACATCACTTGGCCCTTGGATATTTGACTCAGGTGCTACCAATCATCTCTGTGGTAATAAAGAACTTTTTATATCTCTTACTTATTCTGATCATTTACCTTCTTTTGCCCTTGCTGATGGAACCAAAGCCCCAGTTCGTGGGATTGGACAAACTCGTCCGACCTCTACCTTGACCTTGACATCTGTTTATTACATTCCTGCCATCCCTTATAACTTAATTTCTATTAGTAAATTGGTCCACTCCCTCACTTGCACCATTACTTTTCTCTAACTATTTTGTTTCTGTGCAGGATCTGGGTACGGGGAAGATGATTGGAGTGGGTCGTGAGTCACAGGGGCTTTACTATCTGGTTGTGCCTCGTCCTTCAGTGGCATGCTTTCACAGAATCTCCATAACTTATCCTCAGCCACCTAGGTCATCCAAGTCTTTCAAAGTTGTAGATAATGGTTCCTTTTTTATCTGGTCTTCATTCTTTAGATTGTGTGTCGTGTCAGCAAGGGAAGCATACACGCTCCTCCTTTGCCAGTCGAGTCAATAAACGAGCTGATGCTCTTTTCTCTCTTGTTCATTAAGATATTTGGGGTCCAACTCGTACTTCGTCTATTTTAGGTTTTCGGTATTTCGTTACCTTTATTGATGATTATTCCCGTTGTACTTGAATTTATTTAATGAAAATCGTTTTGAGTTATTTTCCATTTATAAAAAGTTTTATGCTGAGATTCATACTCAATTTGGTGTTTCTATTCGTATTCTACGTAGTGATAAGTGATAACGCTAAGGAATATGTTTCTATTGATTTTTCTAATTTCTTGGCTACACAAGGTACTTTACATCAAACCACTTGTCCTCACACTTCACAACGAAATGGGGTGGCTGAACGTAAAAACAGACATCTCATTGAAACTGCCTGTACCCTTCTTATTCATATGCAGGTTCCCCTTCACTTCTAGGCGAATGTCGTACTCATCTCTTGTTTTCTAATCAATCGCATGCATTTATCTGTGCTCAACTAAGATATTCCTCATAATCTATTGTTTCCAGATGCTCCTCTTTATCCTCTAACTCCACATGTCTTTGGTTGTACTTGTTTTGTTAATGATCTCATCCCTGGTAAGGATAAGTTAACATCCAAAGCCTTTAAGTGTATCTTTCTTGGTTATTCTCGTATTTAAAAGGGTTATCGTTGTTATTCTCCTGATCTTAAGCGTTATATTGTTTTCGCTGATGTCACTTTCCTTGATCAACAACCCTTTTATTCTATCCCATCTCTGTTGTCACAGGTTGATCAGGTTCTTCCTGTTCCTTTTCTTGACTTGTCATTACCAATTGCAAGTGACTCTCTCCCAGAGGAAAAACTTCTTGCCTCCATCCCTACAGACCGCCTTTTTCTCACCTATCAGCGTTGTCAGAAAATGCCTGCTGCGGACTTGGCCTTGGGTGACTCATCGCCTTCTCCAGTCATCTCTTCCCCTCCGACTCCTTCACCAGAGGCTCTTCCTATTGCCCAAAGAAAATGTATACATGCTACTCATAACCCTTATCCTCTTTAGACTTTTTTAAGCTATGACCGTTTTTCTACTTCACATTACACCTTTATTTCTAGTCTTTCTTCTCTTTCTATTCCTAAGACCATAGGTGAAGCACTTTCTCATCCAGGGTGGCGCCAAGCAATGCTTGATGAGATGACTGCTCTTCATTCCAATGGCACTTGGGATCTTGTTCCTGCTCCTCTAGAGAAGTCTATTGTTGGTTGTCAGTGGGTCTTTAATGTCAAGGTTGGAGCTGATGGCCATGTTGACCGTCTCGAAGCGCGTTTAGTCGCCAAAGGTTTTACTCAGATCTTCAGACTTGACTATAGTGACACGTTCTCTCTTATCGCTAAGATGGCGTCGATCCGAATGTTTCTTGCTATCGCTGCTGTTCGTCACTGGCCAATCCTTCAACTAGACATTAAAAATGTTTTTCTTCATGGTGATTTACAAGAGGTTTACATGGAGCAACCACCTGAGTTTGTTGCTCAGGGGGAGTCTGGGATGGTGTGCAGGCTTCGTAAGTCCTTATATGGCCTCAAGCTGTCTCCTCGGGCTTGGTTCAGCCGTTTCAGTTCTGTTGTTTAGGTTTTTGGCTTAATCCGCAGTAAGGTCGATCATTATGTATTTTATAGGTTCACATCTCCTGACAAATGCATCTATCTGTTAGTCTATGTCGATGACATTATTCTCACTAGAAGTGATCAAGCTGGGATTCACCAGTTAAAACAGTATTTGTTCAGTCAATTTCAAACAAAGGATCTTAGTAAGCTTTGTTACTTCTTAAGGATTGAAGTAGCACAGTCTAGACAGGGCGTTTCTATGTGTCAAACGAAATATGCCTTGGATATCCTAGAGGAGACTGGTATGTTGGGGTGCAAGCCGGTTGATACACCCATAGATCCTACTATCAAATTACTATCCGACAGGGAGAGCTATTATCTAATCCTGGATGTTATGAGAGGCTGATTGGGAAGCTTAATTATCTCACTGTGACTAGGCCGGACATTTCTTTTACTGTTAGTGTGGCTAGTCAGTTCGTTGACTCTCCTTGTGATTCTCATTGGGATGCTGCTCTGAGGATCCTCCGGTATATCAAAGGAACACTAGGGAAAAGCTTATTATATTCAGATCAGGGAAATACATAAATTTGTGGTTATTCAGATGCCGATTGGGCGGGATCACCCTTGGATGGGCGCTCTACTTCAGGCTATTGTGTCTTCTTTGGAGGAAACCTGATTTCTTGAAAAAGAAACAAACTGTTGTTTCCCGCTCTAGTGCAGAGGCTGAGTATCGTGCGATAGGAGTTGCTACCTGCGTGCTAATTTGGTTAAGCAGTTGATTCGGGAGCTCCATCTTTGTGAACGAAAATAGCCCTGACACTCATTTGTGACAATCAAGCTGCGCTACATATATCATCTAATCCTGTATTTCATGAGAGAACCAAACATATAGAGATCGATTGTCATTTCATTTGAGAAAAGATTCAGTCAGGAGAAATCAAAACGGCATTTGTCAACTCCAATAATCAACTTGCAGATGTCTTCACTGAAGCTATTAGAGGTCCTCAGGTTGAATACATTTGTGGCAAGCTGGGTGCTTACAATATATATGTTTCAGCTTGAGGGGGAGTATTAGAGTAGATGTTAGAATAGTTCAGGGTATATAGTCCCACATTTTGTGGACTTAGCCCATTAGGTCTTTTAGTTTCTTTAAATAGAGAGCTCTTGTACATTGTAACAAATTATTATTCAATATCCAAGTATTCTTTACTCTCAAGTATTTCCATCCTTGCTTTCTTGTTCTGAAATTGTTGTTGAAGTCTGCTTGTGGACGGGGGAAAGCATATACACTGCTATATCTAGTTTTTGTATCAGATTATTGATTTACTGGCCCCTATATGATGTGTTTTTGAATTTCAATGTTGATGTAGGCTCCATTTGGTCCTCCTTTTGCACTAATTCAAGGAACATTTGAATCCCACGGCTCTATATTCAATGATATTCCAAAAGAATACTGCCCCACCATCAGAAGAGGATCTGTTGCATGGGTTGGTTCTGGTCCAGAATTCTTCATCAGCCTTGCTAACCACGGGGAATGGAGAAATGCATACACTGTGTTTGGCTCTGTTCTATCTGAAGATATGGAAATTCTAGAGAAAATTTCTCAGCTTCCAACTAAACCAGATTTTTGGAGTAACATTAAGGTCTCTGTCTTGGAGAACCCCGTTTTATTAAGGTTTCGGAGAATGAACACAAAGTCATAAATCCTCAAATCTATACACAAGGTGCAGAAACTGTTAGATTGTTCTTGGTTCCATTCATTTATTCTCTCAAAACCTTTTTTTTTCTTCCCTTTATTAAGTGATAATGGTTTCAGTTATCAAGGCAATACAGGAATGGATCTCAGTCTCAAGTTGCTTCTCTTACATGCTTGATGGGACTTAAATAATGCAGATATTCAGGCACAAAAATTTATAGCTGATTTCAAATCAATTGGAGTTGAGTATACTTCAATCAGCTTGGTAGGTATGTGGCATTGTGGATAATTCTTTATTCTTTTTCTGTTTTTGTTTTGTTTTAAAAGAAGGCACAGAGGAGATGGGAATAGGGCCAAAGATACCATCACACACATTCACAAGCATTGTGAGCTACAAAATTAGTGGACATTTCTTGGTTCACTTTTTAAGATATAGATAAGCTAGAGACATAGAATAAGACATGGTGTCAAGAATAATTACGAGAATTCCCTAATTTTTTTTATTCTAACTTTTTTTTATACTTTTCATTATTCATTTTTCTCTCATTCAGCTAGATATAAGAATTACTATTGGATAAGATATAATGGTAGGAGTTACTCATTCGTTCAATAATGAAGATCTTTTCAAGTTTTTTAAATTTAAATAAACTTAAAAATAAAATAAAAATTAGTTCAAAAAAATTATATTGAAATAAAAAAACTACATGTTGCCCGATTGTATGATGCATTTTGGTAAGAATAATTTTAGATTCTTATAACTAATTCTTTTAGTAATTTCTTAATTATTAATTGAAGGAAGTATTAAATTTTTTTAAATATTAAATAACTTGTAATGCTTTATTATTAAATATTAATGGAGTTATTTTAAAGTGTTTTAAGAGATTATATAAAAAATGAGTTAACAATGAAAACTGTACATATGCTCATGCAGATCTACTTTCAACTTCTATGCTGGCAAAAAAATTAAAATATTATTATTTTAAAAAATAATTATGAAAATATAATAGTTTCGAAACTATCTACAAATCTATTGCAGTTATTCACGCTCAAATTGGGCGTGACTATTCACGTCCAAATTAGGCGTGACTCCCAAAGAATTCACGCCTAAATTAGGCGTGACTCGTCTGGTGTTGACACGTGTCACAAAAAATTAATAATTTAACCGTAAAATTTATAAGGTCATAACTTTTGACTCAAGTATCCGAATGAGGTAATTCTTTTTTTGATTTCACATAACTTTTCGAGATCTACGCAATGACATCTCATTTGATATATTTTATTTCTTACAAACACAATTCAAATTTGCAACAATAATACTATAAAGATGGCACCAAAGTAGATTAACTCATCTATAAATAAGTATACTTAATGTCATATTAAAATATATACTTCTACCAAGTGTTTGAAAAAAAATAATGTACAAAGTTATTTATTTAATTATTAAAATATATACAAATTTATATAATATTCTACCAAGTGTTTAGAATATTTATTTAATTACTTTCTTTATTAATACAGATTTTTCAAATTGATTTTTGAGTTTAAATCACAAATTTAATGATTATTTTATTTTTCTTATTAATAATAATTTTTTTTTTTGTAATACACTATATAATACAATTATTGCAAATTTGAACTGTGTTTGTGAGAGATAAAATATATCAAATGAGATGTCATTGCGTAGATCTTGAAAAGTTATGTGGAATCAGAAAAAGAATTATCTCATTCGGATACCCGAGTCAAAAGTTATGACTTTTCAAAGTTTTACGATTTGTAAGTTGACTTTTTTTGCCACATGTCAACACCAGATGATTCACGCCTAATTTAGGCGTGAATGCCTTGGGAGTCACGCCTAATTTGGGCGTGAATAGTCACGCTTAATTTGGACGTGAATGACTGTTATAGATTCATAAATAATTTCAAAACTACTATGTATTCGTGATTATTTATTAAAATATTGTTGACCTTCCCCAAAAGTTAAAAAGGAAAAAGTTACGTAGTAGTATCGTAGGGTGACCCTCCGTCTACATTTCTCATCTATCTGGAATTATTTCGTTATTTTATACATTAGTATCTTAACTAATTCTTATTATATACTTTTATGGAAAATTTACAGTTACAACTTTTTTTTCGTTACACTCTCCTACAATCACTTATTGAATTAAAATCAAATCAAAATTACAAAATGATATTAAATGAAAGCTATTGATTGGGCTATCAAAAAAAAAAAGCTGTTGATTGAGTTTTGATCCAAGAACCAAAAAAAAAATTGTAAAAAAAATATATTGTAAATATAATTTCTTAATTAATTTAATCATCCAAAAAAATGATGGTAAGAAAAAATAAGTTAAAAGTATAATCTCCCTTTTTTTTTTTTTAAGGGAAAAACTATTTTCATGCTGCATGATATAAGTTTTTCTCTTACATATTCTTTGATAATTGTTTCATTTTTTTTTTGAATGGTGGAGTTCACAAATTTATTTCTATGATATGAGATAAATTATCTCTTTTAATATGAGATTAATAAAATCTTTTTTTAATTACAAATTGTGAAGTTTCACTTGAAATACTTATGGTTAGTGTCATTGTATACGTTCAAGTGACGATTGATTTCTTTCCTACATATATTTTGTGTCAAACTTATATTTTAAATCTTTTATAAGGTGGGACAACGATCGTACGAGAATTACAGCTGGATTGGCTCGTGAGTTGTGAATAGTGTGATCATAGATGATAAGTAGGGTACCCCAAATTGGGCAAGTGTTTGGTTTGATTTCAAAGTCCCATTGGTCGTTGGCATTGGCAATCCACGCGATGACGTGAACCAAAATCCACCGAAACTCCCTCTCCCCAATGTCCCAAACTTTAAGACATCCCACCAAACCCATCCTTCTTTTATTTCTCTCTCCAAAGACTCAAAAAGTCATTCTTTCTCCCCACCATGCCACCACTAATAATAGCACCATACCACAAAACCTTTTGTCCCTCTTATCTTATGGTCAAAACCAAACCATTCTTTCCACCGAGAAATATTTAGGTACTATTATGGCACCATTCATAGGTGTAACTAACCAATAAAAATTAAGAATAACTATAATACTTGTATGAAAAGAAAAGAAAAGAATCTTTTTATCCAAATATCACTTATTGAATAACATATACAACATATTACAATTGTACAGAAAATGATCTCCTTGCCACGACACCATCCCCTAAAACCAAAGTAACACCCCTTAAAAATGTTGTTATTAATTGCTAAATGCTAAAACACAAAACCAAATCACCCTCTCTCACAAGTCATATAACCAAAACAAAGTCACACCACACCCACCCACTTCCATATTCCATTTGCATCCTTGGCGGCGGGTAACTTTAATAACACATTAACACACTCACAAAAGTCCCACCCCACAAACAGCTAATTTTGATGATCATGATCATGATGATGATGACGAGGAATAGGATAAGGGAATTGGTCATGGCCAAGGTCAGAGGTGGACCTCTCTCCCCCGCGGCGCACGTTAGCCCCTATCCCTCACCTAAGCGGTGGTGTATGCTGTGGTGGCCTCCTCATCCACCCACGTCATAAAATCAGCCGCACATCCCTCCCACACCCCCACCCCCACCCCCAACCAACCCTCTTTAACCATGTCATTCTCTTCCACCACCACCATAACAACCACCTTAAAAAAACAATCTTTTTCTCCTTCCACCACGACCCATCTTATCCTTCACCTTAATTCTACACCTTAACCCTTAATATTCCTTTTCCACCACCGCAACCACAACGTTGCTATCCTGCGCCTTTTATCTTTATCCTACGCCGCTTCATCCATGGCCTCTCCATCTTCCCCTACAGATTCCAACCCACCCTCCGCCGTGCCGCTCCCTCTCCCCGCGGCGGCGCCACCCTCCACTCGCCGCCTTCCTCCGCCGTGCTGGACCCCCGAAGAAACCGCCGCCCTCATCGACGCCTACCGCGACAAGTGGTACTCCCTCGGCCGCACCAACCTTAAGGCCACACACTGGCAAGAGGTCGCCGACGCCGTCACCGCCCGCTGCCCCAACGCTTCTCCGGCGGCCAAGACCGCCGTGCAGTGCCGCCACAAGATGGAGAAGCTCCGCAAGCGCTACCGCACCGAGATCCAGCGCCTACGGTCCCTCCCGGTGGCGCGTATCAACTCCTCATGGGTTCACTTCAAATCCATGGATTTCATGGAGAAGGGTCCCTCATCGGTGAAACCCGATCACGATAACAACCACGAAAGTCTCGATCTTGAAGATGATGACGAAGATGATTTGTACGAAAGGTTGAAATTGAAGAATGGGAGTGGCTCCAACACAAGGAGCATTAACAAATTGTACAGGAACGGAATCGCCGGTTCCGGCGCCGGCGCCGGAGCTGGGTTTCGGATTCGGATCCCAACTGGGGTTAGCGTAGCCCAACATGGGTCGAAGTTGTTTGGCAAAGTTGGTGATCAGAAATTGAACAACCCCACAAATTCTAATGGTGGTGTTGGTGTTGGTGTTGGTGGTGGTCCAACAAGGGTTGTTAAGGAAAGAAGTGGATTGGGGAAAAGGGAAAGAGAGAGGGAGAGGGAGAGGGAGAGGGACCCTGTTGGTGAAATGGTGAGTGCAATCAAGGTTTTGAGAGATGGGTTTGTGAGGATGGAGCAGATGAAGATGGAAATGGCGAGGGAGATTGAGACCATGCGGATGGAGATGGAAATGAAGCGTACTGAGATGATTCTGGAGTCTCAGCAGCGGATTGTTGAGGCCTTTGCCAATGCTGTTTCTGAGAAAAGGAAGAAGGGTAAGACTATACCATCACCATCAGAATCATAGATAAATAAAAGATTGAATCTTTTTTTCAATCTTGTGCTTGCCCAAGAGATAATAGATTATGGATGTTTACTAGTTCAGCTTTTGTTTTAGGTAGGTTGATATTAAACTATACTCATCTACCACTTTTGTTTCTTTCTTTTTTTCCTGGTGATTTTGGGATCTGTGGAACTTGATGATCAGTTTCTAGTAGTAATCATGTTGCTGATTTGTATTGAAATCGAATTATTCAACTCAGGGAACACAATTTCGTTGTTCTGGCACAGTATCCTTTTGAAGATATTATGATTTGTGTGCTTCTTGGCATATCTATACTGTATTTGTGTTTTACTGAGACCAATGGTGGGACAAAATACTAAGGATTCCTCTGAGGATTTCATTATAGTAAAAAAAGACTTTTAGTTTAGGAGTTTAACAATGTCAGCATTTAAAATAAGTTAAGGGTAGAGATTAAAAAGAGGATCTGAGCCCTGGGAAATTATTGTTATGCCTATGTGAAGTTTTCTGAATCTCTATTGGTGTTTCCTGTCGTTTCCTAAGGGCTATAGCCATGAGTTTTTTTATAAAATTCTAGGATGTATGATCTCACATACTGGCTATCATATGGTGGTGTTCTTGGAAATATGATGGCATGTGTTCTGGATGAAGTTGTGTTTAAAAAAGTCCTAGACCTCATCATGTTCAATTAATTGAATATCATTGTTAGTCATCTTATTTTGGTAAAAGAATGAATTCTGAACTATGTTAACATATCATATTGAGAAATGCTTCTTCACATGCTGCCTCACATCTCTCACCTATTGAATAATGTTTAAGGAATGAGAGTGTACGATCGAAGAATTGTAATAAAATAGTAAAAATTGAATGGATGTGAATTAATGTGTGTTAGTGTGCATGTAGCACTATTCTTTCATATTCAAGGTCACATTAACAATTATAACCAAAACATATAGTAAATGTTATTCACTTTCTTTTGTAAGAAAAACATATATATGATTTTGTTATAAAAAAAAAAAAAAAACATATATATGATTTTGCCGCTGCTGCTTCAATTTCATTTTACAAAAAACTAGGGCAATAAATTCAATTGGGTTTTGGCCCTTGGGCTTCTCACTTTCGGTTCGGTGCTATGACGTATTGCTGTTGGATTTTACTTCGCATTCAATAGTTGTATTGGGTACCAAACTTCGTTTAACATATGGATTGGTAAAATTAGCATTCAGGTAGAAGTTACTCAATTGTGGAAGTGTACAAGACTTCTAGAAGTGAGTAATATGCATAGGGATCCATCGCCCTTATAACAACTAATACTCTATGTTTAAAGAAATAGTGAAAAGTTCATTGTTTCATAATCATTTATGATTATGTGGTTTTTTTTCTTTTATCACATATATCCATGTGTTTTGTAAAAAATAAAAAATTACAGGGATATATATGATAAAAAAAATATTTTTTTACAAATTACAGGAACATATGTGATAAAAAAAATCATAAGGATATATGTGATTTTGAAATAAATCACAAGAGCATTGTAAATTTTTTCCAAAGAAATAAAAGTCCAAGTGAAACCTTAAGATAGGTAGCATTGCTAACAAACTCTCAATTGGTTCAGTTCCGAACTAAGGAAAATAGCTCGGTTCTTTAACTGGTCTGTAGGAAATTGTTCGATTTTTAAATCGGTTTAGAAATATATAATAGAGTTTGGTTTGGTTTGCGGTTGGATTCAATTTATTTGGTTTTATTATAGGGTTTGTTTTTTATGCGGTCACTGCAGTTAAGTTATCTGCAGTAAGTTCAATACGATGTCGTTTTGAGTGAAACTCATAATGTTTTTATAATTTTAATTTATTTTTGGGTTATTATAGTCTTTATAATTATAATTTTTTAATTTTTCAATCCCAAAACGATATCAAAACGACGTCGCTTTGGGAGTAAATGCAGTAACTGCAGAAATATTTTTCTCTATATTATATTCCTAAAAATAGGTATTGTTTTGTTCCTAGTCCAATGTAGTTTTGAAAAAACAATTCAATTCTTGAACCACTTTGAATTTAACATTTATCCTTTTAAAGGATACAAGTTATGTACTTTTAATTTTTAATATTATGTATTAGTAGTACATAATTTTAATATAAAAAGTTATTTTTTTTCTCTCTCCACGTCAGCTGAAGTGATTGAGGAGAGAGAAAAAGAGAAAAAATTTATATTATAATCATGTACTACCCATAATATATAATGTTAAAAATTAAAATGACACAACGTGTCATTTAAAAGGACAAATTTTTTCCCTTGAATAAAATAGTTCATTTTTTGAATTAGTTCAAAAAAATATAGTTCTTTTGATGTAATTTAGATCAATTCACAATTCAGTTCGATTTTTTTGTTTTTTTCACACCCATATATATGAAAGTTGTATTACTCGTTAAATTTGAATAAATCCGAGATAATTATTTTGCACCGTTGGAACAAATTAACAATAGCAGTAAAAATGTGCATTTAAAATGTTGTGCTAACATTTCTCCAATACAGCTCCACTTTGCAAGTTAGTGGTTATAGAATCCTGTTCTTCCTCACGCACATAAATGTGACATTGTAGTGGCTAGTTCAAGTGTATCCATCCATACTTTTCCAGCACCACTTACTACTCAATTATCTAGCTGTTCAGATTATTGACTCAATGCAATTAAACATTTACTAAACAAAAGATACCAGTACAAGATATCCCGAATTATTTGATGGATTTAATTTGTGAAAGATTATATAGGGATAGCTGTTGTCCAAAGCCAGCTTTTGTCGTTATGTATGTACTAAGTGCTTGTTTAGTATGATATATAAGGTTTAACAGTGTAATCTTATACTATATATTATGATATTTTTAGTTGTTTGGTATGATCATTATATAATATAAGCTTATACAACATAGTTCCTTAATACATCAAAATGATATATAATTTAATCGGACCTAAAGGGGTGAGATTAGACATGATAAGAGTTGATATATTAACATCGTTGATCAGCGCAATTCTCAAGAATTAATATATTATTTTAATATTAATCCATTTAAATAATTTTTTTTCTATCTATTAATTTTTAAAATATTGGAGATTTTTATTTTTATAAAAGTTAATATATTTTTTGATACATTGATCAATAGATTTTTTTATTCTATCTAGTATTATACAATGTATTACCAAACACCAAATAATATTATCTTATACAATACATTATCTTAAACAATATTATGTCAAATATTAAATAATATTAAAATTTAATCAAAACTTATATTATCAGACTTTATCCTATAATACGCGTCCACTTATTTAATTTATCCTATAGCAAATATCCGAAACAATAGTTTGCTCAACAAGTTGAGTTAGAGTGCTGAGAGAGTGTTATCCAAAAAAAAAAAAAATGCTGAGAGAGTTGTACCAAGTTACACAACATGCATAACAATGTGGGTCAGAAATCTTATACTATTTTGCTTTATTCTGGCACGTTAGATACACATAAAGGTCATACAAAAAGTTCATGTCTCCATTTTCTATTTGCAATTACAGCCAACAGTTCCAACTGGTTTATGTAAATAGTAAGCAAAATACATCTCATCGTAGCTGTACTCTTTTGGTGACCAGTTGTTTACAAGTAATTGCACATTGACATAAAGGAATGTAATATTTATTGATTTCTAAAGCATCAAAGACTCGTTCAAATTAACAATGTATTACATAAAAGACTCGTTCTAATCAAAGTTTGATCCTTTCAAGAACTTTACAAATTAGTGACTATTCCTTACTCAATGTTGTTGAATTGAATACGTATGATGTATCGTTTAGCCAATTTTTTATATCGTATATCGTAAATTGTATTGAATCATAAAATATATATACATAATAAAAAGTAATTTAAAAATATATTAAAATATTTATTTAATTATTTCCTTTATTATTATACATATTTTTTATATTGATTTTTGAATTTAAATCACAAATCAAAATTTCCTTTTCTTTTCCTTAGGAATAATAATTTTTTATATTTTTTAATTTAAATCATAAATTAAATATTTTTTTCTTTTTTATATTAAAAATTAAATATTTTAATTTAATTTTTGTATCGTATGATATACGATACATATCATATCCTATCATACAAACCCATTTTTCGATACACTCTATGATATATATTGTTGTGCTCGTGAATGGTATCATACCATGCACTATATGATCGTGATAACTATGTTCTTACTTAAAATCTGAGATTGATATCGGTCACATGAATCAATCTTAAATCAAAGCATCTCCTCTCTTTTTTTTGCGTTAGTTTTATGGAGTATGCAAGGAAATAGGAACAAAAGCAGCATATACTTATGCTATGGACCAACATAGCAAATCCATGTTATGTTACCCACTTGTGCAGAATCAAAACACATGCAAAGGTCCCCTAAAACGTGGGACCCTTAGATTAACGTCGCAAATTTCCCACATGTAATCACATGATGGGTATGGAATACCATCACTGTTGTCACAAATAAATCACCATAAAACCATAATTTCATCGTAATAAAGAGACATGAATCCACAATAAACACACCCTCATTCCCTCTTTTGCAAGTCAAGTTTTGAAATTAAGAAAAGGAAATCATTACCCAACTAAAGAACCTAAAACTTTTTTAACCGAAAAAGGAAACAAGCCACCACAAATGCCAACGTACATTGTCACAATTTAAAATAACAAAGGGGGCATTTTGGCCAATAAAAGTAGGGATTTAATTTTCTCATGTTGCATGAGAATTCAATTCTCATGTTGTGACTCAACTAGTGGTGGGTTCCATATTTATTAAAAAAAGAAAAAAAAAAACTTTTCACGCAAATCGAAGAGTCACTAACATGAAAATTGAATTCTCATATAACACGAGAAAATGTTTTCCATAGAAGTACCTACCCTTAACCTATTTTACTAGTTTTACATCACCCTTATATATACCCACACTATCTGACATCAGAATTTCAAGAACTCTAAATTGCTCATTACTCATTACTCATTGGTCATGGCAGAGCTTGAGAATCCTAATGAGATGCCAGAGCTTATAGCTTTTCTCTCTTCTTTGCTCAAAAGGGTAGCTGAATCAAATGATCTTAACAAACAACTCCTACACCAAAAGATCTCAGTTTTCCATGGCTTGACTCGCCCCACTATCTCAATTCATAGCTACCTTGAGAGAATTTTCAAGTATGCCAATTGTAGTCCATCATGCTTCATTGTTGCATATGTCTATCTTGATCGTTTCACTCAAAGGCAACCCTCTTTGCCCATCAACTCCTTCAATGTGCATCGGTTACTCATTACCAGTGTTATGGTTGCTGCTAAATTCATGGATGACTTGTAAGTTTTCTTAATGTTGTTAACACACTGCTAAATTTTTGTTTATTATGATAATCAATGATGAATTCTTGACATGGAAGAGTATATATTTAAGACTACAATTCAGGTGATTCTTGAATTTCTTTGTGAGAAATTGTTGTTGTCAGATAGAACTGATAAAGAGAAAAACAGAAAAGGTGGCTCAATTGCTCTGTCATTCCTCAGTTTGGAGATCCTTGTTTTTCACTCTTGATTTCAAAGTAGTTCAGGAAAAAATCATTGTGTATATTCATATTTTAAGAAAATATTACATCACAATTCATAGGAATCAATTAGAATAATTTTTAATATTTCCTTAATTAGGATTTCTTTTTTAATTATTAATATTTTAAACATAGACTATCTGTGTAAATTACAATCTCTCTTCATATGAGAAAAAAAATCTCTGATTAATCCAGATCTTGCATTTTATTTATTTTCTTACCATAATTATATGACATTTATTTTCATGAATTTTGTCTTGCTTGTGAATAATGCCATGTCCAGTCTGGCTTTCCCATCAGACAGAGACAACCTACCCATGTGACCCTACCAGTTTATTGCATGTCTGCAGCATCTAACTTTAAGCACAATTGCAAATTTCCAGAAAATTATATCTGTATATAATTTATAAAGTCTTAAATTTTCTGTCTTTATTTTGAAATCCTCAGGTACTACAACAATGCTTACTATGCAAAAGTTGGAGGAATCACCACAATAGAGATGAACTTTCTTGAAGTGGATTTTCTATTTGGTTTGGGTTTCCATTTAAATGTAACACCTGGCACATTCCAAGCCTACTGTGACCATCTCCAAAGAGAAATGCTGCTGATGCAGCCTCTAAATTTCACAGATTCTTCACTAAGTTTAGGAAAATCATTAAAGGCTCATTTATGCTTCAACGAGGATGAATCTTCCAATCAAAAGCAACAACAATTAGCTGTTTGATTTCCTGCATTTTCTCAATGCATGTAATCTAGCTTTAGATGTAGTGAACCAATTACAGACTTGCACATTAAATCATTTTACTTATGGACTCAATTTCTTTTCACTAGTTTTATGTTCTACCCTTTTTTTATTTCTGGATTCTGATTAAAGTATTTAGCATTGTACAGAAAATTGTCTCTGGCTAGAAAAGTCTGGTATTTTAATTCGATTAAATATAATAATTTACTGTTTCTTTATATGGTTGAATAAAAAATTATTAATGTATTGAACAAAATTTTTGGGTGAGAAAACAGCCATTTTGGTCATATGGAGACAAAAGATTTACGTACACAGAGAAACTTTTATTTCATTTCAATTTAAATATTTTTTGCTATTTTTCTTTTTTTGAAAGAGATGTTGATACATCTGATGCAAAAAACAAAAACAAAAAACACTCCTAAGATTAATTGACAGTTGTGCTAATTCTTGGGTACAAATGATGTACAGAGAAATGAGAGTAGATTCTCTCATGTGAAAAAATTATCATATTATTTGATTTAAAATTATATATATTTTTCTTTTATCTCATCATCAATAAATGATTGTGATCAAATAACATAATCAGTTTTTCGCGTTAGAAAATTCACTCTCACACAGAATTGACAGTTGTACAACTATGTACACAGACAAATAGAGGTACTAGATGTAACACTTTTTTTCTAGGGACAAGAGTTTGTGCTAATTCTTGAGAAGTGAAAATAAAACATGTGCAATAATGGACAACCAGAGATTGGTTGTATATAGAGAGAGACAGAGAAAGAGACCAAACAATGCCAACTGTAGCAGTGCCAGCACCAAGCAGAAAGATTGACTGTTTGGTCGGCTTCTTTTAGGCGATTTTGTAGTGAGCTATCCTTTAATTTCATTTTATTTTACATTTTCTAATAATCTTCTACCAACTGTATCTCATTCTCAAAACAATTTGAGTTTAATAATAACAATTAATTTAAAGATTTGAGATATTTATAATTATTTGGCTTTTTTTATGAGTATCTCTTCCCTAGGTAGATAAGTTATATATCTGATTTGTCAAGATTAATCAAGATGATTGACTAGTTTCTCAAGATATAGTCAAGCATTAAAGCTAAGATCTTTTAAACAGTAATTTTTTTTTTTTCATAAACAAATTTTGGATTTAAATTTAAAATTACATTCTTAACAGACTATAAAGCAGTGGTGGGCAATTGCCCACTCACTTTTTAAAAATCAACCGTTAGTATTGCTATTTTAGTAGTCATTTTTTCTTTTTTTAATATAAATATTTAAATCCCTTATCATTTACATCAATCTTAATGGCTTGTAGTCATATTTGACATCACTCATTATGTTGTTACAAGAATTATTTGCTATTTTTTTTCTAATTTTGTCATATGATAATATTATTTGAATTAGTTTAAGAGATATAAAAATATGTAAAATATATTGAAAAGATATAAAATAATAAAAATTGTTGAAAATAGATTTAAAGATAACAAATTTAATTTAATTTTCTAATTTATCTCAAATATATTTGATGTTTATCTAAATATCAATATATGATAATTAAATATATAAGATAAAAATAATTGAATTTGGATTTCAAAATTAGAAAAATATAAATCTAAACATGATAAAATTGATTTTGTTTTTGGAAAAAATATTTTCCTTTTAAATGAGATATAAATGTGTCATTTTAAGAGAGAGCAAGACATAACCTAGTATTTTAAAAATTTAAATTTTAAAAAAATATTCACTTTCTATCTCTTAAAATGACATAACTCTATGTCTTTTAAAATGATAAACACTAAACCTTTTGTTTTTTTAGTCTATCTCAAATATATTTGATGTATATCTAAATATGAATATATAATATATAAATAAGAGAAGAATAACATAATTACAATTTGAAAATTGAATATAAAGTAAATTTAAACATTATAAAATTTATTTAATTTTCTAATCAATCTCAAGATGTTAATATATATATATATATATATATATATATATATATATGTATATATATATATATATGATTTGAGTTCATGATCTTCAGATTTGGGGGTGAGAGAGGAGAAGACGGAGGAAAAAGAAGAAATATTTTGGGTTTTTAAAATAGGATTTTATCTTTGTTGTGTTACATGATGTAACAACTTTCCTACTCACAAAATTTTATGTGGGTCTCATCCCTTAATTTTTCTCTTTCCTTTCTTCTCTCTCCTCTCTCTTTTCAATTGTGTGTAGGAAAGTTATGTTACATCATGTAACACAACAAACATAAAATCCTTTAAAATAATGTCATTTTTTCAAAGCCAAAATAAAAAATATAATTTCATATATGAAAATTGTATGTTACATCATGCACAAAATATAGAATTTTTAGTGCTTGTTTGGATATCTTCTTATTTAATTTTTTTTTCTTACAAGCAGAAAGTTAGGTTAAAGAGATTTTTTGAGAAAAATTTTTATAATAAAAAACTCTTTTTATAAAAAAAAAAAATTAAAAATTAAAAGTCAAAAACTCTTGAGAAGAACTTTTTTTTAAGCTCTTTTTAACTTTTCTTGAAATGAAACGTTGAGGTTGTCTTTTGAGTTTGGAGCGCTGCCATAGTCTTCATCTATTGTTTAGATTTCTCTCGGCAAATAGCATGTTCAAATGTTCTCTCTCTCTCTCATGCTATTTTAAGCTAAAAATTTTATATTCAAACAACTTTTAGCTTTTTTTTTAGCTTTAGTTTGAAAACAACTTTTAAGAAGGAGAGGTACCAAACAGGCCTTAATATGTTATCTGAGTATAATTCTATGAAGTCTACTGAGAAATCTTGACACAAGGATCAACGTTATAGATATTTGTGGTTTTTGAGATCATAGGTAGGATTTTAAATTTTCAGATTATTCAGTCTAATGTTCAAACTCTCATGAACGAATTAGGAATTTGCTTTAATTATACAAAGTTTCCTATCACAACTAGATACAATATAATTTGCATATATATGTGCTTATACCTAAGTGACCTTAATATAAAGGTGTTAGGCAGCAAAGACCAGAAACTCATTCAAGTCATCTGCATTTCAGCTACAAAATTAGAATCAATCCTTTCTAAAATCATTACAAATTTCAATACTTTCAAAGTAATTTTTCTTAGAACTGCAAATAAGTAGAACATGATCAACCATGAGCTGAATCTGATTAAGCATCTTGATTCTGAATGACATGCTTTCTTAAGAATAAGCTGAAGATAAAAACCACAAGTCTTACAGCAAAGGGTCCCGCAGCAGTGATAAGGACATAGCGTAAATTGATTGATTCCTCAGGGGAGACAGCAAAAATGGCTGATCCATAAGTCACAGCCATGGAAAGAGTGGCAACCCATATCTCAAAATGAAAAGGAAACTTGTGTGTGAGTGACAAAATGACCAAGATTGAATTAGAGAAACCCAAAGTATTGAAGATGAGGAAAACATAATAAGCTTTTTTCTGTGAAGCATATATATATTGCTCTCCCTGCAATGTGTCCATTGCTACTATATATATATATATATATCTCTTGCCAAATTAACCCAACCAGGAGGATTCACACCAGCTTCAAATGTCACTGCAGCCACCAAAGTGAAGATTATCAGAAGAATGTTTCTTGTGTCACTTGGTGTGTCCCTTCCTTCTTCATACTGAAAATATCTTAGCCAATTGGAAGACTAGCCATTTTTTGTTTTGATCATAACTCTTACGAGTTTATTAAATGGGTTTTATAAGAGTTATGTTGTAGGAAAAATGATTGTGTAATGTTATAGAGATTCGTTTTGCGTGCCATAGTTTTTTTTTTTTTTGTTGCTTTAAAAAGTGTGAGCCTCACAAAATGTTGTGTGTGTAAGAAAGTTTTTATGGTGATGTTAAATGACAAACTAAAACCCCTTATTAAATTTAGTGCCTTATATATAGACAATTTCAGCAAAGAAAATCAGGGAGAAAAGTATTACATATATAGTTATTGAGGAAATGCCTTTGTTTAAATTGCTATTCAAATTTGAAAATCAGAAAGTGGACATGTAATTAAATTCATTTATTGCTTATTAAACGTCAAAAGAACTTCCGGGTCAATCTATGTAACCCGAAACAGTCATATATATTTCTCTTCTTAATGTTATTTATGTACTTATCTTCAATATCTTGTATAGCCTTGGAGGTAAGGTTTTAAATTTTTACAAAACAACTTATAATTATATACTTTGATTATTAGAAATTTCACAAAGTTTAATGATGCATGACAATCTAGTCAATACTAAATAGAGTTTCTTTTTAACAAGTTTTTATATAAATGTACATAGTATTTATATTAAAAATATTATTATATTTCTATTTTTTATTGGATTTGAATTGAAAAGAAAGTCCTTGATTTCATCATAGTACCAATTGATCTTATTGTAATACGGTGACCTACCATTTGTGGTTCCTCTATGTAGTGTTAAAAAGGTTGCCACCACAATAAGATCGAGATTAAAGTCTTTCAACATTTAACATTTAGGGTGTGTTTGATTTACTAAAAATTAAGGGATAATACAATACAAATAAAATGATATTTTATTGTTAAAATAGTAAATTACAGGACAAAAATCATTTCAAGAGACAGCATAAATCTCAGAATTTCTGTTACCCACCAAACTAGGTTACAAAATGTTGTTCACTGCACAAAATGAGGATTAAGTCATACTCTTTTATATCCTAATGCTATAGTACATTAAATAATGCAACATAACGGATATTACAATAAATTATACATTATTCTATTCCTGAATATCACCAAATCTTTTAATTTTATAAGTAGGTCACATGTGAACAAATTGACAACACAAAATTAGAAAATGATTGTTTACAAATTTTTGCAAATTACATTATATATTCTCAGAAAATACATAATATGATTTGTAAACAAAAAATTTATAAATATAAGTCTCTCAAAAAAAAATTATCATGTGACTCATCTATTTATGCTTTACTGTTCTGTTTAAATTATCTCTTAATATGGATCAAACACAATGCCATGTAGGTAAAATTGGACCGGGTTACCTACTAATTGAAAACTGATATTTACAACACCGGTCTCAAACCAGTCAAAATGTTGGACCAGTTCAAGGCCCACAATAACATTGGATCGTTTGGGTTGTTTATAGAAAAATGTAACAAAATTGAATTTTTCATTCAGAATTTTTGACATAATGATTTGACATGTTTTTTAACATTAGATATACGACTACTGTCTACTTCACAACCAACAACCATTGATGAATCTATTTTAATTTTATTAAAACTCTGTCTATTCTTTTTTATAACTGTGTAACATTATTCTTATTCATGTGATATAATGAAATTATTATATATATCGCATAAGTTTAAAATTGACAAAACTACTCAAAAAATGAATCGCTACATTGTTTCTTGTTGTAAATGGGCTAGGCTAGCCTACAGAGGTTTACGATCTAGCTTATATTAGGTCAGACTTGACTTATTATAAATAGTAAAATAGAAAGTCTAGGCTTTTAAGAAAACCTATTTAAAAAATAGGTCATAAGCTTTTTTGTACATGTCGGGCCTCTAAGCCTTCAGGCCGGCTTATATCATATTATTTATTTAAAATATAATAAATAAAATTATTATTTTAATAATTTTAAATAATAAAATAATATTATTTTAGATGTTCTTTTAATTGTTCAATATTTAATAGGTTTAATCACGCTAACAAGCCTAGGCCAATGTTTTTATTTTTTAAATATAAGTCAGACCATACTTATAATTTGTGGCCTATATAGGCTAATAGGTCAGGTCACTCCCAATATTTTTTATACACGTCTGAGTTATTTAAGTCAAAGACTAACATAACCTAACCTATTTATACCCCTAATTCTGAGGATAGCACTTTGTCAATACAGTATCAATATTTATACATTAAAATACTGAAATTTATATAATATATCATGCTTTGTTATTTATATATTTATATTCAAATTATTTCTATATTGAGAAATTTATTAATTTTATAAACGTTTCTGTAATATTAACTTATTATGCATGTCATAATTTATTTTGATTATATTCAGTATATTTTGTTTTCGTTCATTAACTTTCTAATATACTAAACAAAAACATTATATTTTTATCCCATGACCAAGACAAAAAAATCCCCCACATTTATTTATAAATTATTTATAAGGGTTAAGTTAATTTCATGCAGCATAAGATGGAGAGTTTCTCTCACGATCTTTCGATATCCGTGTTTGCCCTTTTTTTAAGGGAAAAATTACTCTTATATTACATGTGATAAATTTCTCTCCTATATACCCTTTGATAACTGTGTCACTTTTTTTTCTTTTTTTATTTTTCAGATGGTGGAGCTCACAAATTTATCTCTATGACATAAGATAACTTATCTCCTTTAACATGATATTAATAAAACTCTTTTTTAAAAAAACTAATGAAACCACATATATTGAGTCTATCACATAAATATATTTGCAAACATGAGAATAATAATTTCCTATTTAGAAACATATAAACATGAATATTTATTTATACAAGGAGGAATAAAATCTCCATGGTTTCCCTTTATCTTTACCCTCTCCTTTTTCTAAAAAAAAGGAAAAATACATATTATTGAGGACTAATTTTTTTAAGATCAATTTACTCTTCTTGCTCGTTACGCTATGCCAATGCTTGGTTAGAAAAACCCTAAGCCAAGAGTGGCATTAAAATCACTCACTAAAAAGAATAGGAAAGAAAAAAAAAACCTCTCTTCTCATTTCCGAAAAACCCCACACTCAGTTTCTTACAACAACAAAAAAAAAACAACATAGAACAGAACAGAATGGTTGGAGGTCGATTTCGCGAGCTGTTGAAGAAATACGGAAAAGTAGCGTTGGGCGTTCATTGCGGCGTCTCTGCAGTTTCTGTCACTGGTCTCTACGTTGCTATCAGAAACAACGTTGATGTCGAAGCCATCCTCGAGAAGTTCCACATGGGCGCTGTCTCCGATAAAGAAAACCCTAATCCTAACCCCAACCCTAACCCTGATCCTTCCGGTGACGATGCCTCCGTGCCCGTCAAGAACCGAACGGCTCAGCTCGCCACCTCCGCCGGCGGCGCATTCACCCTCGCCATCCTCTGCAACAAGGCTCTGTTTCCCGTACGTGTTCCCATCACCGTCGCCCTCACGCCCCCTATCGCGAGGTTCTTGGCCCGGAGGAACATCGTGAAGAGTGGTGTTTGACTTGCAATTTGGTATGTGGGTTGTGATGTATTGTTGATTGTGAACAACGATTACAAGGATGATGAAATTATCTATATATTGTTTCCTTGTTAGTTTTTGTGGTCGTGGTTTAGACATTCAGAGTCGAATAAATAACAGGAGGATTTTTAATTAGTAAAGGTTATGGTCTTATGCTACATGCTTATTTTTCTTTTGTTGATTGTGACAATTATGTAAGAATTAGATTTCATTGCAAAATTGGAGAAGGATGAGACATGTAACATGTGCCTTGTTAGTTTTTATTGTCATGGTTTGGACATGAAAATGGAAAAGGAAGAAAGATTTTGAATTAATAAAGGACTGTATGAAGTTGGTTTTCATCTTAACTTGTAGTGTATTAGCTTATAGATTTATTTGTGAGGAGAGTTGGATATTTCGTAGATTGACATGCTGATCCTCACAATGTGGGATATGCTGCTTGATAGTTTGGTGGACATGATTGGAGACAGGGAGAGAGGATCGGTTATTTGGTTAACCTCAAAGTAGTTTAATTTTTGTTGTATTATGTGTTGATTCTTGCTCTCAGCTGTGCTTGACAAGATCTAGACTTGGTCTGGCCCTAAGCAGCATAATAGAGCTACCCAACCCTTGAGTGAGTGGGGAGTTTATCAGTGTATTAAAAAGGAATCCTAAGCGAGGCATTAGTATTGCATATAGCCTTCGAATACTTGGGAGTTAGAGTACATTAGATCATACGGTGCACAGTAAATAGAGGTGCAAGATTCTATCACGTGACTAAATAACTTACTTTATTTTTAGCCAAGAAATAACCTCCTTCCTTAATCCCTAAGATGATAGTTTTTTCTTGGAAACCACCTCAAGGTTATCTGAAGGTCAATTTTCATGGTGCATCGTTCCGTATTCAGAAAACTTAGGTATAGTGTTATCATTTGAGATGATCAGGCTCACTGGGAAAGCTATTTTAACGTAGCTTTTAATTATTTTGAAAGGGCTGAAGATAAGCAGTGCTTTCCACCTTCAAGTTGAATCAGATTCATAGTTGGCAAATCACCTTGTAAACACACTGAAAACACTTCATCTCATCCTCTTATGTACCTATTGTTGAACTGCCCCAAGTGGAAATTTCAAACATCTACAGAGAAATGAGAATAGGAACCATCCCAATTTAAAAAATGGCTTTGCTGTTCAGGATAACCACCAGATAAAGCAGGACAAGTTTGAGTCGATTTTTCTGTTTGATGAATTACTTTATTTGATTGTGTTGCTCGATGTTGACATTATGGGTAATGTAAGAATTTCTTACAGCTCTTTTATCAAGGACTCCAGATAACCGTAACAAACCCTGCAATACTGTATTTTGTGTTGAGTTCATTCCCTTTGTAATCACAGAAAAAAATAAATAAAGATTTCAAGATGCCTGTTATTATCATGTTGACATGTTTATTGAAAGGGTTAATTCTTATTCCACTAGTCCAGAAAATTTATCAAAACTAGTTCACAACTTATTTTTAACAAAAGGTGGTTTGGACAGTTAGCAATTACATTTCCTTCCTTATTAGTATTTTACAATAGGAGAAATGCAAGGTTGTGAATGTGCACAAATATCATTAGTTTCACTGAGTCTGAGATGCTTCCAAGGTAGGTATTGTTTAGGTGACCCATTTCTCATGGAAGTTTCAAATCATCCATACAAGCTAATATTTAACAAGTTTATGGCAGAAGCCTCCAAACCAGCGCCGGAAACATCACACTAATAACAGCACTCCTCCTGCACTAGCTTGACCACTTGTGCCTTTGGAAGTACCATCAAGTCTTGACCCAATTATTCCTAAGAAGCTCCCTTCCTACCAAACGATCCTGTTTGAGATAGTGGTCATTGCGATCTCCTGAATGACTAATGTCAAAGGTTAATGCAAGGTTCCTTACTAGCCTCTGTCGTCGGATGCTCTGCTAATTCCCAGCTTAAAAACTAAACATCTTCCAGTAATATGTGCAATCTTGATTGTACAGAAAATCTACACATACCGAAGTTAAAACGATTAGGAACTTGTATACCCCTTCTTGGAAGCCCATATGTAGCTTTGCTGAAGGGTCTAGGATTAAGATGTTTCATCTTGCGGGTGAGGGACTGAGGGTTAAAAGAGCGAGCCTCCAGCAAAGGTAAAATTGCTCATTTGTGATATAAAGGTTACAGGTTTGATTATGAGAAATAGTTTCTTTGTAAATATGTAAGGGTAAGACTGTGTACAAGAATTATTCTCATCTCACTCTTGCTAGTCGAGATTTAATGGAGAATATTTTTATCTTGGGGATGAGGGTTGGAATGGCGCATGCAACATCTACCTGTGCAGGGAAAATTGGATGGTTTATAAGCCAATTCGTCAATTCCCCTCACCTTTTTAATGGATATTTTATGGGTATATTTGTGTACTGGGTATTTATAAATACGTAAATATATCTGTCTGTGTGTATAAATATATTCATATGATTGTAATATATAAATATACTGGCACAGAAATGGATTCTCTCATGTGAAGAGAGGTAGGCACAAAATTTTTGCATAACCAGATCATGTGAATTTTTAACATGAGAGAATCTATTCTCATACTGACACAATTATTTTTTGTAATAATTTTATAACTAGATTGAATATACTTATTTATTTGCTATTCTCGTTATAGTTTTTTTTTTTCATTCTTTTTGTTATAATAATTAACATGAGGTAGCTAGGGTGAGACCACGGATTTTTGAGATTTTGATATACTTGAGTAGGGTATGAAAAGTTTTTTTTGAGACCGGGGGTTCGAGGCGAGTAAAACCATGTCCTATTGCCAGTTCTATTTGGTATTACGTTGTAAAAAAGAATGCAGAAAATAGTGTTGGAAATACGGATTAGTCTTTGAGACATTGTAAAGCATTGAGGATAGGACTCATTACAATTAAAAGCAAAAATATCAAAATGCTAACGTGAAGCTTGTGAGCGTAGAAACCATTGATAAAAAAAAATGGCTGGTATTCATTCTTTTTTATTTATTTAATTCATCAGTTTCTAACATGCAGGATTGAATCAATCAAAAGGCAAGACAACATAACGTCTCAATAACAATAATGACCAATCGGTTAGTGGTTGTCTCTCTAAATGTGACGAGAGACCTACCCACCAATAATAAGGCTATGAAAACTGGATTGATAATTGATCTATTAAAGGAATTAATTCATGATTGAATGATGAGATGAATCAAACTCATTTGTTAGCCTAACTTTCAAGAAGTGTTTATCGTATTAAAGAACAATTAACATTGTATCCATTTATTACTTGATAAGTGTGTCATCGTAGCATGTCGTGCCCATTTATTATTAGGGAAGTGTCATTGTAACAGAATCATTTGTACCCATTTATCACTTGGTAAGTGTCTTTGTAACACAATTGATACAAATGGAAGAGTTTCATTCTTCCTAATGGAACATTTGTCTTCTCCTTTTAGGCTGATGAGGTCTGAAGCTAAATGGGCATCCACCATAAGGGTAATGTCCTTGCAAAATGGATCCAACCCGCAGAAATTTCGATAAATTGAGTAAAAACGTACTTGTACTTATAGGGATAACTGTTAGTATGTGTGGAACCTTTGGCACAAAGGTAGAAATTAGGACAGAAATATAGAGGTTAGAATTTTTGTATTCTTTTTTTGGGGAAATAGAAGGCAATACAAAAAAAAGATACAAATTGTGCTAAGGGGTTTTAGTTTGTCCTTTGACTTGACCAAAATAACTTTTTTACACACATAACATTTTGTGGGGTCCACACTTTTTAAAGCAAAAAAAAACTATGGCACACAAAACGAATCTCTATAACATTACACAATCATTTTTCCTACAACATAACTCTTATAAAACCCTTGTGCTAATTGCAGCACATACATGGGTGTCGGCAACTACTCTCCATGGCTGGTCTATAAGCAACTTGATCCTATAAACAATGGATGGTTGTCCTAGCAGCCATGAATGATGAAATCTATTGCTAAAGATGAGTCACCTTCGACCCACACTTTTCTATAGCCCAAATTTCATGCTAACTCTAGCCCAAGGTAGAAGCCCCATAGTTCTGCTACCATAGAGTTTCCTACACTAATTTTTTTAGAAAAACCTGAGATCCACCTGCCTCTATGATCCCGGATTACACCTCCATATTCATACCTTTGGCCCTGCATAGAGCTTGAACCATCTACACTAACAACAGCCTCAAGAGTATTATTCAGCTAACAACAGCCACAAGAAGAACTGGATCCTTTGAGAACCTTCTCATTTCCAAGCATGGTTCCACTTGGTGTTAGTATGCTCCATGACATTATGAGACAAGATAGCATATGCAGACTTAATTGTGAAAGAACCATCACTTGAATGGTTTTAAATAACTCTGTAGAAGAGTTTGGAACTTGAGGAGACATCATATTTGCTATTTGTTAAACTGCTTATGCTTGGATGAGGTGCTGGAATTTCTCCTAGCTCTAATAACTTGGGAGGATACATAGTCTGCAACTTTAAAGTGAAGAAATTCTGGCGAGCAACTTTAAAGGCGGAAATTTAATCCTTGGTATAAAGTTTGAAATATGCCCCTCTATATCTATATATAAGTGAGAACTTAGCTAAGAATGTAACAGTACAGCGTTAAGGACGAGATTATTTATTGGTGCGGGACCACCATTTTTTAGGTGGTCCCTTAGTGTAGATGGAGAGGTAAAATTAGAAAAGAGAAAAAATAGTAGGAATAAAAAAGGAAAGAAAAAATTGATGATGTGAGAGGGAGCACCAGATCATTGGGTGGTCCTGGACCATAATAAATATTTCCGTTAAGGACATGTTTGGTACTAACTATATGAGCAAGCTTTATAATATAAGATACGATAATATAAGATATGATTGTATAAAATCTGATTAAATTTTAATGGGTTTAGCATTTGTTGTTTTAAAGGACATAGAGTTATGTCATTTTAAGTGAGAAAAAGACACCAGCAATAGAAATCATATGAGAGAAAGTGAGTATTTTTTTAAGATTTAAATTTTAAATAAAAAAATACTAGGTTGTGTCTTTCTCTTACTTACAATGACACAATTATTTTTCCTTTAAAAGGACAAATATATTTCCCAATGTTAATAGTATCCAGCGTTTGACATGATATTGTATAAGATAATGTATTATATAAGATAATATCATCCAATGTTTGGTAATGCACGATATAATATTAAATAGGATAAAAATAAATATTTTTGATAAAAATATTTTTTAATAAAGAATTTATATAATTCTTCCATATATATCATATAATATTAATTTTTATAAATATCTAATAATCAGTGTGTCCAAAAAATATATTAATTTTTATAAAAATTAAAATGTCCAATATTTTACAAATTAATATATTGAAAAATTATTTTTTATTTTAATATATTAATATTAAAATAGTATATTAATTCTTGAGAATTACACTTGTCAATAATGTTAATTTCTTATCATGTCTAAACCCACCCCTATAAATTTGATTAAGTTATACATCATTTTGATGTATTAAGAAATTCTACTGTATAAGCTTATATTATATGATGATCACACCAAATAATTAAAAATATCATAACATATAATATAAATTTATACTACCAGATCTTATACATCATATCAAACGCATAACAACCACTTAAGCCCTAAGATTTATAATATAAGCATAAAGATTTCAAAGGCCGAGTTATTTTAATTTTTGTTTACTATTGAACGCATACAATAGTAATAACTTTTTTTTCGAATTCCCGAGAATTTTTTGTTTCAAAAATTATATACCATAATAAATTTATATAAATATAATATATTTATGTATAGGATATTCTTACAAAACTATGTTAATCTATATATTATTATTATATAATACATCACCGTACATAAGATAATACAACGTTACATTAAACACCGGGTAATATTAATTTTTTTTTCCAAAGTTATGTGTGATATCCTATTATGCGTACTAATTTGTTCTTAAATTTGAAAATTAACCCTAAGGCCTAATATTAGTTGGATATAACGTGTAATTTTCTGAACAAACGATTGGAATTGACCATCTTGGATTCTGATAAATAAAAACGAATAGAATATTGTGTTTTTTTTTCATATTTATTTTACCTATTCATCTCTAATATTATCAAATCAAAATTTTAATTAATATTTTTTTTCTTCTCTTGATATTTTGATCTAACGGTATTAGAAATAAATATGTAAAGTAGAATAGACATTATTACCAAAAAAAAAGGTAGGATAGACATAATATCTTATTCTAATAAAAAAATGAGAATGAGAGAAAATTAGAAATAGATAATATAAATAAGGATAGGATATTACATCAATCAATTAGTATTACTACTAGAGGTGTTTATGGGCCGAGCCGAACCGAGCTTTGGTCTTAAAAGGCTAAGCCTGTGTTGAAATGTGTTGGCCCTACCAAGCCTGTTACCTGTTATGGATATAATTATCGGTCTGTGACCTGCCTTATTTACAAAAAATAAAAGCCTGATTTAGCCTGTTAAAAAAAAATAAGACAACAAAAATTTATCCAAACATAATATACAATCAACAACACTAGTAATTCCTTAAATATTCATAAATTTAATGTATATCCAAAGAGCATAATATATAACAAAATCATTCAAAACTAATAAAATAGGGGTAAAAGGGATTGAGGGAAGAGATATGGCTATTACAAATAGTATAAAAAATATAAATAAAAATAAAAATTAATATACTAGGCCAGCCTGAGAGACTCCAAGGCCGAGCTTTTGAGTTGGAGCCTAAGGCATTTTTATTAAACGAGTTTTTATAAAAGTCCAAGCCTGGTTCTAATAACCAATATTAGGCATGTAAGCTAAGGCCTTCACGAGCCGAGTCAAAGGCCTCTGGCTCGTTTATCACCCCTAGTTACTACCAATGTTATTACCAATCAATTTTACCGTTTGATCGATTACGTTAATCTAACGCTTATATTTATTTTTATCTTTGTATGGTTATGATTCTCTATATTTAATATTTATTTATTTATTTTCACATTTGTATGATTATGATTTTTCATATTTAATGTTTTAATATTTTTTATTTATTTTTACCTTTATATGGTTATAATTTTGCATATTTAATGCTTTTACATAAAATATGGAGAATCATAACTGTACAAAGATGAATATAAATATAACCGTTGGATCAACATAATCGATCTAATAGTGAAATTAAGTGTATTTCCTACTACTGTTTGTGAGAAAGATTTTAAACGTATAATTTTTCACAATCCCTTAAAAAAGAAGAAGCATTAGCCTTGTATAATAAACTATGCCAGTAGGCTCATTCACACCAGAACACTTTCTGGTGTTTTTGTTTTTCATTCAATTCATCGATTTGATAGGTGCGGGTGCGGCGAGATCCAGGTAGACCGTGATCGTCGTTGGCACTCTTGCCTGAGAAGATGATCGTCTGCGTCGCCGTCGTCGGTCACCAGGTCAGTCTCCGTCCCTTTCCGGTTCCCGATTTCAACGTCGCCGAAGAAAACGGCCATTCGCTTATCGCCGATCTGAACTCGAACTCGAATTTCATCTGATTTTTTTTTATTTTTTTTGGGTTTCTACGATGATTGCAGAACAATCCGCTATACATACAGAGCTTCACAGAGGCTGATGATGCTCTCAAGCTTCATCACATCGTTCATTGCTCTCTCGATGTGGTCGACGAGAGAGGTGCGTTTATTATGCAATCGTGCTCATTTTGCTAACCTATGTTTTTTTTGGGAATTTTTTATTCAACTACATTTTTTTTAATGCAAATGGTTGAGATTTTGGGACACTCCAATTTAGAGAGAGTTTCAATTTCTCTTTCTTTTATTGGGTACCTCTGAATCTCATGAAATGTGTTTACTTGGCAGTGAACAATCCTAAGAAATCTGGGCCGATGCTGAATGAGACGTTTCTGGGACTGCTTTATCCTATTGAAAATTACAAAGTGTGAGTGCATTTGTTGTCTGTTAGAAAAGTTTTGTTCGATTTATCTTTAATCCGAAATGAAAAATGGATGGGTTTTTCTTCTTTTTTGTTTCAAAATTTGATTTGCAGCTATGGGTATCTGACTAATACAAAGGTGAAGTTTATCCTGGTGACCACGGATCTGGATGTTAAAGATGCAGATGTAAGAAATGTGAGTATGGATAGAATTTGATGGTTCTTTCATTTGCCTAGAGTAATTTCAGGGAAATATGTTTCTACTTTCTCCTTAGACCAGTTGAATGGAAGTATTTAACTCTCGAAGTTATTGTTTTGGCAATGATGTTAAGGATATATTGAAGTAAGTACTGATAAGTGGTACTAGTACTACTTTGATCCCAAGATTTGTGGTTAGATGGTTATTGGATAATCTTATGTTAATTTCTTTTGTCATATAATTTAACTGCCATACCGATTAATTTTTATGAAATTGGTAAATGCTGATGCTTTTTTAAGCGTGAGCAGTGATTGGTGACACGTAATAGGGCAGCAGCTATTGCCATTGTACTTATTATATTTAGAATCAGGGTTTTTGTTGGATGTTAAGAGAAATAGAAAGAGTAGTAACTAGTACCCCATACAGGCAATGGGGGAAATGCAAGGAGAGATCATCTTATGGATCTGAATTGTATCCACGTGGCATGGAGGTAGGATTGGGAAGGCAAGGGAGAAATCAGGTAGCATATATAAATGGAGGATAGGGAGAGAGAAGAGATAAGACAGAGCTGGGGGAGGGAGGTGCAGCCCCTCAAAGTGCTGCTCTAGCTTTTTCTCTTTGTTTTTCTTCTTTTACTACTTGTACAGATCTTCCTCTCTACCTCTTCAAAGTAGTAGTAGAGAGAAATTCATAGAGAACCATTTTCCAGTTTTGAAATCTGGTTTCTATAAGGTTTTAACTGAAATATTGTATGAGCCTGTTTGGCATATCTTTCTTTTTAAGCTAAAGTTAAAAAAAAAAAAAAAAAAAAACTTAAAAAAAAAAGTTAAAAGCTGTTTGGTGATTAAATAAAGCTATTCTAATGGTTTTGAAATAGGGAAGATAAAATAATTTGTTATTATGATGGATTATTAGGGTAAAGGATAAAATTTATAAATACAAGTTTAGAATAAGGGTAAAACTGAAAAATAAATATGAGGACTCCAAAATGATGACATTCATCTTAAAAAAAAGCTCTTCCTGGGAGCTTTTAGCTTAGAGCCCGTTTGTTTCCCCTTTTAAAAAAAGTAACTTTTATCTCTTCCTTATTTTAGAAGTTCTTTTTACAAAAGTTAAAGCTATTATATTTTTATAAAAATATTTAGTTTTTGAAAAAAATATTTAGCTTTTGACTTCTGCTTTTTTTAGAAGTTAAAATTTTTAGCTTATGGAAAAAGTAGGTTTTTGACTTTTTTTGTGACTTCTGCTTTTTTTAAAAGCAGACATCCAAATGAACTAAAACTGAAAAGTGCTTTTTTTTCAAGAAAAAAAGCAGCTTTTGAAGAAAAAAAAGTCCATCCAAACGGGCCCTTAGTTCTTTATTATAAAAAGCTCTTTTTATAATAAAAGATTTTATAAAATTATGTTTGGTTAACCTTATGCTTTTAAGGAGATGAGAAGCTAAAAATAAGATATGCAAAAAGGCACTATGTAGTCATGATCTTGTTAACTTGTCAAATGGTTGGAAATTGAATTTAGTTATGAGAGCCATATTGGCATATTTCATGTATGTGTGATTCAGTATTTTTAGGTGGGAGACTAGCATGCTTTGGGGGTTAATTTCATGGCTTCCCTTTGATGCTCCCCATATCATCATGGGATTTCCTTGATAAAAATACAAAGGGATTGGAAAGCTCTTTTGTTAATGGTTTTTCCTTGCTTTGTTCTCTTTGAGGAAGATATGTCATCATTTTTTCTCCTAGCATTTTTTTTCTTGTATTATTTTTGTTTTATAAAAATTAAAAATCTTGAATTATTTGTTTTTGATGTTAGCACAGATGTTTCACTTAAGAATGTGACACTTTGTGTTTCCCTTTTGTCATTTTTTCCATTGATGAAATACGTGCCTTTGTTTACTTTTACATGTTGGTGATATGGAGTTAAGAGCCTGGCATCAGACAGTCCAAGAGTACTCACTCCTCTAGAGCCAAGTGCTCATCTGACTCAAGATTCAGATGCTCTTTGAATGAAAAGAAATACCAATATCTATAATCATCAAAAGCTTCTCACACTGATGGATTTTTTTATAGACCCAAAATCCAACATAGAATAACATACCTAAATGACAAATAACAGTGAATAATCCCAAATCAAAAACCCTGATTGCGAATTTAAAACCATAAATAAATAACAAAACCAATCAACATCAGAGCCCCTGAATGATTTCTTTCATGAAGTTGCTTAGAAGTTTACAATTTTGCATACCATTATGTTATGATACCATTGTGTTCCATGAGCATTTTCTTGTAAGTTGAATACCAATGCGTAGGATTTATATGAGATATGAATAGTCTTCATTTGACACATCACCGTAGATATGATCTCTCCTATGAAATATTGAACTGTTTGGTGCCATTTTCTCCAAGCTAACTACTGGTGCATTGTACTGTGCAGTTTTTCAGGAGGTTCCATGCTGCATATGTAGATGCAGTCTCAAATCCATTCCATGTGCCCGGTAAGAAGATAACCTCCAGAACATTTGCCGAAAGAGTGAGCACAATTGTCAAGTCATTTGGTTTGAGTTCGGCTGGGTGAACATCTCTAACTGGTGCTAGTCCTTCGTTGATGTCTGTTACAGAACTTTACTATTATTATTTTGTCTTGCAATTTTAGTTTTCCTTAGGAATTGAATTTTATCGTGGTAAAATGATTAGGATAATTTTGAACATAATTCAATATTCAATATATAATATTCAAAATGAATCATCACATTTGTTTTATATTTTACATTCTTTAAATTCGAGTTTTTAAAATTTATTGATATACTTAAAAGGTAAATTTATTTTGTCTAATATTTGGTATTTGGGGGCGGTGATTGATGTATGCTTTCGCAGTTTGCTAATATAGTCGACCTTGATTACATTCCAATATTGGCAACTCCATTTATCGAGATCAAATAATAATGAAAATTACATGAGGTTATCAGTTGAATACTTTCCTTAAGATGATAGTGAGTATTAATTCTATTTTCTAAATTAATTATTCTTAACTCATCAACATAAGCGAAATGAAATGGCCTGCATGACTAACGATCGTTCAAATCTGATGACTCTGCTAATCAGACGGCTAATTAGCTATATCAAATGCCATTTAAGCGAAAACAGACGGAAGATATAGGAAGAAATTAGATACTAGTTATGCTACTCAAAGATGCTTTTTCATTTTATTATTCAAATTAGCTATAAGAAGAGGTGTCTCTGACTAATAGTACGAGAATGGAGAGGTTGGATGGCAAATGTTTACTTATTCTCATAATGTATTAAGGTTTCGTGTTTTTTATATTACAGAAGATAAAATTATCATATACATATATATAAAAGAGTGTATAGCCTCATGTAAGATCATGTGAAGGGAAAAAAAAAGAAAAAGAGAAAGTATAGGCTCCGCACTTTTATATATGTGTAAGAAAAAAAATTATCTCTTATACCATGAGAAATATTAATCTCATGTATTAAATTATATAATATTGCCCAAAACATGTAACAATCAAAAAGTTAATTGAGATATCCCACTAGAATCCACAACCACTCACCCTTCTTGAGGCACTGAGGGAGTGTTTGTTAGGAAGTTTTTTTTTTTTTTTTGTATACCTATGAAAATGAGAATAGATTTTTAGTTATACCATATTTGATATCATTTTTTAAAAAAATTATCTAGAAAAATTAGGTGTCCGGTAATCATTGTGCGTGTAATTTGTGAAAAAAAATTATTGTTAATTGATGGGAAAGTAGAAAAAGGGTTAGCAAAAAAAGTGACAAAAGTAACCTGTGTAATCCCTATCTGGTTGAAAAAGAAACCAAATCGGAGGTATATATATAATATCACATCAAATTTTCAGTAATATTTTATAATCAACCAAACATAGACTTAATAAATTTTACCCAATATTCTCACTAAAATTTTGGCATACCAAACAACTTTTTGATTACATTACCGATAATCTCATTTTTCTATCACATTACAGATAATTGTAATTCTAGATAAAAAAAATTCTCCTATATCAAAATTCCCACGCCTAAAAGCATGAGTGTCCTTAGAGAGCAAAAAGCGGTGTCTTTCACGAATGCGTCAATCAAAAGGTTTAGCATCTTTCTAGCTCCTAAAAAACATTTAACCTTTAGCAATTTTTACTTCAAAACATTACTATATGCATGTTTTCTTTTGCATATTTTATTATCTGTTTACAAATATACGTTTTCCAAGAAACAGATTCCACAATTGACCATATGCTATTGCTAAGGCAACCTTTGGAGAACCTCAGTGAATCGATGATTCCAATTTGGACCCATCTACTTAGATTCGTGGCATATTTGCTCATCTCTTGCGTATCGGTATCATGCTCAAAGACATCTTATTAGACCATTCCATGGCATAATTATAATTGGTTTTTGACCTTCTAGTTATGTGAAGCGTCAAACTAACCAACTGTATGACCAATTAACCCAAGATCGATATAATGACTGTTGTCCTTCACAATCACATGGAATATGGGCCCCACAATTGATAATTGTGAACGATCAACTTTGTCGAATAAAACTATATTCACATCCATGCAGAGTTGAACAGAAGACTATCTGCCAAAAAAGATGGATCTGTATGGTATGGGTTCACATTTTCGTCTATCTATCATAGTTTTGATCTTTAATTTTATGAGTCAGGCTTCAAATAATTAAGCTGGTCTTTTTCTTCTTATATTCTCTTAGATGATTCAAAACTTGAAAACCCCTTCATTAATCTCTTGTCAAGCAGGTTTATTTCTTGAACAAAATCTGCCGATAGTTGAACTTAAGGGCATGTTTGGTACATAGTATAGAATAAGACCTGATAGTATAAGACCTGATTGAATTTTAATACTATCCAGCATTTGACACGATATTGTATAAAATAATATATTGTATCAGATAATATCATCTAGTATTTGATAATGCAGTGTATAATACTATATATGATAAAAATAAATATTTTTAATAAAAATATCCTTTAATAAAGAATTTATATAATTCTTCAAAAAATATCATATGATATTAATTTTTATAAAAATTTATTGATCAGTGTGTCCAAAATATAAATTAATTTTTATAAAATAAAAATATTCAATATTTTAAAATTAATATATTGAAAAATTAATTTTTATTTTAATAGATTAATATCAAAATAATATATTAATTTTTGAGAATTACATTGGTCAACGATGTTAATACATCAATTTCTTATTAGGTCTTATCCCTCACCCTTAGGCCGGATTAAGTTATACATCGTTTTGATGTATTAAGGGATTATGCTTTATAAGCTTATACTATTCGACAGTCACACCAAACAACTGAAAATGTCATAACGTATAGTATAAAATTATACTATCATGCCTTATACGTCACACCAAATAGACCCTAAAGTATTTCATCATAACGAGATGTATATGATATAACTTAGTTACTTATGTATGCACCAAACTTTTTTACTAAATAAATATATCTCAACAGGACCACGTTAGAGAAGATTAAATCCTAGACTGTTATATATATATATATATATATATATATATATATATATATATATATATATATATATATGAGGTAGGATCCTTTGACACCGGTGTCAAATTTAAATTTTGACACCTCATCTGAGAGCCATTAGATCAAAAAAGATCAATGACTCTGATTTGTAAGCATGTGACACCATTGATATTTTTTGATCTAATGGCTCTCAGATGAGGTGTCAAAATTCAAATTTGACACTGGTGTCAAAGGATCCTACCTATATATATATATATATATATATATATATATATGTGAGGAAGGATATTCTAATAACCAAGTGGTCTTACTACCATGTTACTACCAATCAATCTCACTGTTAGATCAATTATGTTGATCCAACAGTTATATTTATTTCCATCTTTGTACGGTCATGATTTTTCAAATTTAATACTTTATATTTATTTTCACCTTTATATGATTATGATTTTCCATATTTAATGCTTTCATTTTAAATATAGGAAATCATAACCATACAAAGATGGAAATAATGTAACCGTTGGATCAACATAATCAATCTAACGGTGAGATTGATTGGTAGTAATATGGTAGTAACACGACTTGGTTGTTACAATATTCTTCCCCTAGTTTAATTTGTCTATTGTCACTTTAAAAAAAATTACTCTAAAGTTTATACTCACATTTATTAGTAATTTGACACATTCTTTATTGATTATCAACCCATATTTAATTAATATAAAGGCAATAAATAATAATGTCTTAAGACATTATTGGATACATTCTAATTAAAGTCCTTTATTATTAATTGCGAGAAAATCGATATCTTTTAAAAATAGCAGTTTCATGAATATTAATTAATTGTAAATGACCAATTCTTTGAAAAGTTAAAGTAACAAGATAAATATTTATGAATAATGTCATATTTATATGTTCCTTTATGTAAAAGTCAGATAGATTTAAAGCATGGACAATGTATAACTAACTTTTATTTTAAATTTTATTTAAAAAATAAAAAAGACAAAGATCAAACTTTAAATTACTAAATCATAGAGAATTTGATATCACATTCACATTCATAACTAACTTTTTAAAAAGTTTAAATTATTAAAGGGAATGTTCATAAGTAATTTTATATCAAATATTATTAGTATTATAAAATATATGTAGGTGGACCATTTTCATGAATGGAAAAATGCACAACCTAGACTAAATGCATTGTTCTCGTACGAGACATGACTATACGAGAGATTAAAAGCATTATCCGCATTGTCTATTACCCATTCTTGTGGCCGGTGGTTGGCGATGATAAGATGGTTCAGCAAAGTTCCATATTTCAAATTCATCTAGGTTTTATAAGAATTATATTTTAGAAAAAGTGATTCTGTAATGTTATAGAGATTTGTTTTGCGTGTCGTAATTTTCTTTTTTTATTTCAAAAAGTGTGGACTCCACAAAATGTTATGTGTATAGAAAAATTTATTGTGTCATGTTAAAAGACAAATACAAACTCCTTCGTCTATTTATATAATCTTATGTTATTTTATTCTCTCTCTTGCGTAAACAAAAGCTAGAAAAATGAAGGGTAAGCCTCATTTTGGTTATTGAAAAACTTTAAGTTTTCGAAAATTTATAAATTTCACCTTAAAATGTCATAACTCATATAGTTGATGAGAAAAGGAAAATGGACTACGTGTCTATGCAAATTTCCTCATATATCATATACTAATTAATTAATGATGAACAAGGAAAGTGAAATTTTGATTAAATTCGCTTGTGCATATATACTATATACCATATTTTGAAGCCTTTTTTCTCACGTGGGGGCAGACATATACATAATCCAATAAAAATATGCCCCTTGAATTAAGCCATCAAATTATAATTATTGCCAACCTTCCAAGCATTTACATTTTCTTTGTTTTTATTTATTTATTTAATAAGTTTTCTTTATATATTTTCAACTGATACTAATTCATTTTTTAAGGTATTGATGTTGTCCTTCTTCACAGTTAACGTTTTCAAGTTCATATATATTCGTAATTATAAAGGTTTTCTAGCCTTAGTTTAAACTAGAGGTGACAATATGGGTTGAGTCCGGCGGACCAACTCGCCAAAACGGAGCAGATTGAGTTGAAGTTTTCAACCCACCAACCCACTGTCCGCTCCACCTAGAAATGGATCAAAACGGGTTCGGCAGGTTGACTCGCC